TTCGGATTTGGAGGAGGTATGATTGTAGAAGGTTGCTTTCATGATCCCTTTAATGCAAACACTTCAAGTGCAAGACTGTTACACTAAATGTTCTACAATGTTGTGTTCCTCTTCCTCGGAGTCAATGCTAGATTAGTAGTCTCAAAGGGAGGCAAAAGCTTGTGCGTGGGCCGCTAAACATCCAAGTCTCCATGCGGTAACTTTTTTTATTGTAGGCTAATGAGTGTCCAAAACGCACGATTTTCTCTACCTCCCTTTCATTATGTACCGCGCGTTAATTTTTACTTGACATAGTTAAAACATAATTATTTTAAGACGGGTTTACGTGGATTATAACCAGTCAATTGAAATCACGTACCAGAATAAAGAAAGTATATTTACATATCGTTTAACCAAAATAGTATTTATGACTGATAATTTTGAACATTAGCGTGAAAATTACACAATATACGTGACTATTAATTTAGAATGGTTGGTTTTAGTAGTTCATGATGAGTTAGTACACTAGGATATATTCTTACATGAAAGTAAGGTCATCCTTTTCAAGGAGATATGTGTAGCTCATGATTAATAATCTATCTTTAGTTTTTTTTAGCTTAGTGATTCATGGGAGCTCCATGATTACAAAAATATTCCTCAATGCACACGTAGAATGGTGGACTATCAATTCACTACTATTTTTGTCTTTTGTAACTTTATTTTGCTACTTATATATGACATGTGTAATGTGTTTTTTCCTTATTTTCTTCCAACTGTCCACATTTTTTTGGGTGGTAACTTTTCATATCCTAATTACACTTGGTTATCTTTTCCTTTTTCATGCATTTTAAATAACTAAATAAATGTGACAAAAGTGTTAAAAAACAACAAGTTCAATGCTCTCTCTATTTCAAATTAACAATAATATTTTATTATATATTTATTGCTTTGATGCATAACTTTGAGTTTTTGACCATTATAAGTTTTGGTTACATAGTAAAAAAATGTACTACAAAAATTAATATTTAGAAAATATTTAAATAATTTTTTAAGTAATATTTTCTTAATTTTTTTTTTTGAATAGTTCTTAATTAAATTAAGTTTTGGTTAAAATAAAATATTATCGAAGTTTATAAGTTTATTTTGACTATAGATAAATGTACCCGTTAAATTAGGACAAGAATATTTACTATTATTGACGTTGCATGTCGTTAACGTAAGACTCAAATTTTGTTGTTTCATACTATATTGTAATGAAAAAAAATGCCTAAAATGAAGGAATCTTGTTTTTAATTTTAATTTTTCAAACGCTTGTTATAATTAACTTGCCTGAAGTAGAAGTGGAAAATTGAGATAGGCTATGATAATGCAACTTTACACTTGTTGAGATTAGAAGTCATGAGTTTACAAACAATTCGATCTACCAACTTCAATTTTATCATATGATGTCATGTTTATGTGATCATTTGGCATGGAGAAATTAATAATTTTAACCTTGTACAATTGTTGTTTGGTTACCCTTTTCACTAACAAGATAATGTGAAGTAATTTAGCTAACTTAGTAAGAAAAGAAATAGGGAAAAGAACAGTTTAATTTGTCACCATGAAATCCCATCAAAATTACTATCTATGGGATTAGATTAAATTTTGTCATTAATTTTAAATTAATACGTAGTATTTAATCATTGTATCATGTTAGAATTTTTTTTAAAAAATGTAATATGAGACTAGACTTAATGTACTTCATTTCATATGTGAATCCGTTATGAGGACCATTAAAATAAATTGTTAAGTCCTACTAATCAACTTTATACTTAGTATATATTTGCAATGAAATTTTACTATATATTTTAGTCATCTAACCAGGCCTCCACAATACAATTATGTGTTAATCATCTGATCTCTACCATCTTCTTTAGTTACGAACAATTCAATTCAACTTATAACAAATATGACTTTGTTTTTCCTTTTATGATAGAATTGCTAGTCTTGGTGAATATCATCATAAACCAGCTAGCTAGATCAAAGCCTCAAAGTAATACCTAGCTACCTTAAAACTTTTTATTGATCTAAAGTTTATTCATCATCTAGCAAGCTAGAATAATAATGGTTAACTTTAGTTTGAAGGTGGCAGTGGCACAGTAAATTGGATAATGGTAGTTGCTTAATTGTGTTGGCACACTTGTATGAAAGCACACTATTTTGACTTATCCACTTATTCCTCATGTCAAATAGCAAGCCGAAACATCAAAAAGGGTTTTAAAGGTCACTATATCTTCAAACTTAATCCAAAGTGACTCTTGAGCGCATAATCTTGTAACTATAGTCAATTCAAAATTAAATCCTGATTATCTTGAGTAAATATATGCCTTTAATCATATAGGGCACTAATTACGTTCAAAAGAAACAATTTTTGTGATTTTAATTAGGGTTTAGTATTACTTCTTTACTATAGTATTATATATGAATCTTATATGGCAAAGTGTGTACTCTATGCATGGATGCCTTGTTATTCCAACTAGCTAACGACAACCTTGGTATGTATGTAGGTTATACTACATAGTAAGAAACACTTTAACAGTACATGTGTGTTAGTAGCTACGAGCTAACAATAAATCAATAATGTTAAATGACCAATTCAACCAAAAGCTTAAGCTGATGGTTGAGGCCCAAGAACATGTTTTATACTCTATCACTCCCTCTCACATGAAAGACCTTTTGGGCTTGAAATGTGGATGCAACACAGGCCCACCCATACCTGGTGCACCTGTGACGACCTTTGTGTCGTGCTGGCTTCGATACCATGTTAGAGGACCGACTCAACCAAAAGTTTAAGCTGATGGTTGAGGCCCAGGAACATGCTTTATACTCTATCAAATAATATATGCTGCATGGACGGTATGTCTGTAACTTGAGGAAGAAAGTCGATCTCATCCCAATGTCCATTGAAATACTAGTTCAATACACCAACAATGTACAACAACAATAACATACGACAAATTGGCAACAATAAAGCCTTAAGGCCTGTTCTCTTCATATTATTTTCAGTCCAGTTCAGCTCCAATAAGTTTAGTTCAGGTCAGTTCTTAATTTCCTTATCTCATAAAATATTTAGTTTAGTTCAGTTCAACTCCAGTAAGTTCAGTTTAGTCAATAAGAACAAACCCTTAGTTTGTTATACGTGTTTATTAATTTAAGAAGATAATAATAAATAATAAGAAATTTTGTCATGAATAATACCACCTTTACGCGGGCTTCCCAAAATAGAACGACCTTTTGATTATTTCAAAATAGAACGACCTTTAACGTACATTTGCTGTAAATGGAACATGACCTGCTAGTAACTTGTTTAATAGGTCACCTATGACACGTGTCACAATATCATTGGCCAATTTATTTTTTTATAATTTTGGTTAAAAAAATGAAAAAAAATCTTTAAATTAAATTATAAACAAAACTAACCCCCCCTCCCCTTCCCTTTCATCGGTTTCCACCAGCCCACAACCCTGTTCCAAACCCCTTCCCTTTCCCGTCCCCATTCCCGGCGCCACATCCCCTTCCCTTCCCTTCCCCAATTTCCAGTGAGGAGTTTGGTGGAGGGAACAGGTGTATTCCGGTCAAAGGGGGAGGGGGCTGGGTAAAGGGAATTTTTTTTTTTTTTTAGTTTTAAGGTTTTTTTTTAATTAAACCATTAATATTTAAATCAAAAAATGTTAAAAAAATACAATATTAACAAATGACGACGCAACACGTGGCAAATGTAACCTGTAAAAGGTTTTTTGTTCCATTTATGGCAGATGTGTGTCAAAGGTTGTTCCATTTTGAAATAATTTAAAGGTTATACTATTTTTGGAAGACCACTGAAAGGTGGTGTTATTCTCGGCAAATTTTCCTAAATAATAAATTGCAGTACGTTAAGTTTTTAATATGTTTATCTGATCCGTCAAAAAAAAAAAAAAAAAAAACTCCAAATTGAACAAATTGATTGTTGTATATTCTAACTCAATAGTACAATAATTTATTAGATAAATTTAATTTGCTAGCCATTTTCCATTTAATGTTAGGTATAATCTAGTTTAGTTATTTTATTAATGTAGGTCAAGCAAGCTAAGAATATTATGGAGATGCTAAAAATTTCACTTCTTTTTAGGTTAATGAAAAGGTATATAAGCCAATAGTGATTGAGATGCCAAGCTTGAATTGCATGGTGTAGAGCTGGGATTGGTACATCTTGTTATCTTTAAGCTAAGGTCAGAATCTGAGTCCCCAATTAGAATAAACGAAGAGCTAGCTTATAATATTTATGTCAGATTCAGATGATAAATAGACCCATTATCTTTAAGATTCAGATGATAAAAGACCCATTAATTTAATTGAGAAACTTAAATTAACCCGATAAGATTAATTAAACTAGCAAGCTATAAAACTAACAGTGAATTTTAAAGTATAGCTTAAGACACCTATATGGCTAATGATATTGATGTTTGGTTGAATACAGATGTTTTTTACTCCCGAGTCCCAACTTATGTACTAACATTTATGTTCAAATAAATATATTGAATTAATAAGTTTAGACAAAATAAATTTCAAATTTAGACAAAATAGTTAAGTTAAGTCTATATGAATTTAGACGAATCAAAATAGGATGAAGAGACTATACAGCTTAAATATCTTAGATAAGGGATATCATTAAGATGTTTTGTTATTCAAATTTAATTGAACCAAATTTAGAAAAAGTTAAGGTATTGTATTATTATAAGACTGACTAAAAATATATGAGTGACTTGTATAGTTGTATCTTATAATTTTGAATGAGAGTATCACTAATGGGACACTAGTATCGGAGATTATAGGTGTTGAGATCTTGTGGTGATATACAATAACACAGATATATATACTCCGTATTACAAATCTTTGAGCAACAAATAAAATTGATGTAGATGAGATTCGATTATAAATTGAAAACTGCAGCCTAGCTAGCTAGCTCAAATCCCAATACTAATTATACTTCATAACAAACATAGGTAGTTGTCTTTCAATTCATACAAATTAAACTTTCTATCAATCACTTCTTGTATAATTTGGCTTGTACCTCCACAACAACAGCCATGTTTCCAATGTGAATTTTCTTTCATATTTAACTTTCGCACCGAATAAAATATAACCTAAAAAAGCATATATAAGAAAGTAGCAATTATACCAATCATCCTTAATCAACTGTCTAGTTATATGTAGAAACATCTCTCTCTTTAAACTTACAATCAATAAACCTTTGTCCTTTCTTATCTAACCAAAACAAAAAAAAAGTCCTAAAATTAAAAGGAAACTATCTCCACTTCCATCTAATTTCTTAGCTTCAACCACAATCATCATTTATATATAATATATTATCCAACTCTTATATTATATATATGTATATGTCAAACAACTTAACCTAACCTAATTAATTTAATCCCCTCTTAGTTAGGATATTGTCATATATACTAAGCTATATTATCAATATGGTACAAAACATAAAAACTATGGTGGAAAATAATGAGAATATGTTAGATATGAAGCAGCTTCCTCTAGGGTTTAGGTTTGATCCTACTGATGAAGAGCTTGTACTTCATTTCTTGCACTCTAAGCTTAAGCTTTCGTCCTCTTCGCGTAATTATCCTTCCAACAATTGTAATAATCCTCATCTTATTCCTGAGTTAGAGGATTTTTTTCATCACTATCATCCTTGTCAACTTCATGGTACGTAATTACTTACTTATCTTTGATTAGTCACTTGTTTAATTTGTTATAGTTATATATTCTAAATTAAGCTGCCCTTTATCTTAATTAGTTTATCTAAAATGTTCTTCATTACTTCAATAATTTGATCATATCTCTAACATATAGTATAATTACATGTATCTACTACAAGTAAGTATAAGGGTAATTATATGATTGATTGATGCATCTACTCTATAATTTAATTAATTATAATGTCATTTTTTTGTTGATTAGTTTACTATGATTTGGTAAAGTTAATTTTTCTTTAGTGGTAAACCTTTTATTTTAATTTATTAAGAGAGGAACAATGCCAAAGTTCCAAATATCATCCTTTGCTTTTATTTTTCTTTGTTTAACCTCCTCAATGTGATTTTGATCACATACTTACATAAACTTATAGCCAAATTAAATTACTAGTAATACTACTTAAAATTTACCTTAAAATTTTATAATTCACTAATTAAATCATAAAAAAAAAAAAAAATTATGATGAGAAGTTTTTTTTTTCCCCACTAAATAATGATATACTAAGTAAATATATGAGTATATATTTTGTAAATTGAACATAGAAATAAAATGGTTAAGCCTTATGATTTAGACTTTTTCTAAATTTGCATGTATGTATGATGATATGAAGGTGAGGCGTTTGAGAGCTGTGGACAATGGTACTTCTACACCAGAAAGACAGAGAACCGGGTATCCGAAAACGGGTACTGGGAGGAATTAGTGGGCATGGATCAACCCATTTATGCTGGAAATAATTGTAACAAGTTAGTAGGGTTGAAGAAATGGTTGGTATTCAACAACAAGGGCATGTATGCATCATCAGGAGTCAAAAATGGATGGTTCATGCAAGAATATCATGCATGTAGCAATAATAATCTCTCTAAAAGAAGAAAATCAAAACAACCAGCAGCTGTAAGTACCCTTACTTACTATAACATTACAATATTTAATAATTACTTGGAATTGAATATTCCATGCGACATAATTAACGTTGAAATTAACTTTAAACATATATAGATACTCCGACAGTCTGATTCTCCTAAATTCCTGTTCTTTTTTTGGTGGGTGAGAAGGGGTATTATCGTTTTAATTGTGAATTGCATATGTATGTGGTGCGCCCATTATATAAACATTTTAACATGTTGCCATTGCTTAAAATATATATGAAATATATTGATAAATCTATATATCTTTTGTGGTGGTAGTTGCATTTTAAAACCATGTTACATACATACATTATTGTTACAATGTTACATTGAATTAATAAGGGTAGTCCATGCATGTATATATATGCATATTATATTAATTAAAACTCAAAATTATTGAGCTTTCCTAATTATACAAAGCATACTTAAGCTAGATTGATTAAGAAGTAGACACTCATGCAATTATTTGATGGTTAATTAAGCATGCAATAAGTAAAAATTTCCCAATTTTTTTGGACTTCAATTATGTTATAATGCTGCCCTTAATTTATTTTTTTAATTTAATCTCTAGCAATTTGATTCATATGATTAGGATGTGATGAACAAATGGGTTCTATGTCGGGTGCAACAAGTATGTGATGAATCTCAATGGATGAACACCTTCAATGAAGACAAATCTAACAACGAGGTGGAGCTTTCTTCGTCCGACGAAGCTGTGTATTTAGCTATGGAGGAGAATGATGAGCATGAAGTAACTTACCCATACTAAAAACATTATACGAAGTACGTAGTATTATATATACCACCACTAAGCTTGCACAAAAAAGAAAAAACATAGCAATATAGGAAAGAAAAAAAAAGAGAGACAAAAGTATAATTAATTTAACATAAGCATTTTTTTTTTCCTTGGTAAATATATATTAGTTCAAGTGAAGTTTCATTTTTCTTATTTATAAAGCTAATTATATAGAGTTAATTAGCTATATATAATGTTGTATCTTGTATGTGTCATTTTCATTAATGAAGTTTCTTGTACATCCTCCATATTAGTTCTTGATTGAATTAATTATTTCAAGGGAACAATTCGCTGTGCAGGAATTAATGGCAACCTAAGATGAAGCTTTGAACCATCAAAGCATAGTATCACTTATGTAGAGGAAGAGGTTGGATTAACTAAGGGTCTGTTCTCATTGATTGAACTCAGCTGGATTGAACTGAACTGAGCTGAACTGAAATGAATTGAACTGAACTGAACTGAATATTTTTATAAGAGAATGAAATTAGGAGCTGAACTGAACTGAATATTTTTATAAGAGAATGAAATTAGGAGCTGAACTGAACTGAAATGAGCTGAGCTGCTGAACTGAACTGAACTTCAACATATGAGAACAGGCCCTAAGTGTTAGGTTAGTTTAAATTGATTTCAACAAATCAGCCATAATTTCATTACTTAAAGAAGGATGATGTTAAATTTATATGAGCTTCAATTTAAACAAATCAACTAGTAGAATAGGTTTTATTTTAAGTTGTATGTTTGGGTACTCAAATGGCTTACCACTGTTGGGCCTCTAACTTTTTGAGTAAGCCTATAACAACGTCCATATTCCCTTATAGGAATTGGACCGGTGAAAGAGAAAAAAAACTACAACAATAATACAGGCGTAAAGGTGCATCTATCTTGTTTGTCGATTAAAAATGGCCATCAAAGGCATCAAGATATGCATATACCCTCTCACCTATATTACATGTATTTAGATGCCTATGATGCAGGCTTTAATCAAACATAATCCAACTAACTCAATCTCAAATTCCCTATCATAAATTGTAAATTAAATTCGCATAAGGTGATTGTTTCTACACTAATAATACGTAAGCAAATTCAAATTTGGTCAATAGAAGATCATTATTCATTATATTCATGATGGTAAGGATACTATACCAAAAATGTTATGTAATCGTATGGAATAAATCATTTCTATAATTCTATGTCTATATTATCCATATCCAAAAAAAGATGGGCACCCATCATATTATAAATGTAGATCTTAAAAATGATACTCTCTTACTTTTTTTTTAAAATGTTTTTTTCCCCCCCCTTAAATTATTAAAGATTTTGGTGACTTGTGAATGGATTATATTAATCGAGACAAAACAATAGCAAAAATATTTTTAACAGAATATATAATCGATTATATCATGGACGTAGTCACATAATAATATAATTCAAAACAATCTTCATGATATGGTGGTTTCACGCATGAAATCATTTGATCGTGGTCAACCATTCAAATTAAATACAAATATAATCCAATCTCTATAATCGTGCTCAATTTAATCAATCTTTTTATAAGATCATCCAAATTCCAAATCCAACCCATAAATTTGGCATATTAAAATATACTTCAACAACAAATAAACGTTTTTATCAAGTTAATTTGATGTGTACACTCTGTACCGTACGCTTTTAATTAGATTTAATGGCTCGATCGGGTCGGACCTGTCCCAGCCCGAAATTTTAAAATATGAATTTGGATTGGACAATCCTTAAGATAAGGAACTACTACACGACTTAAAATCTGACCCGACTGACTCAACTCAACCCAATTCAAAAAGGTCCAATCTAACTCGATCCAATTTACGTGTCTAGTGATGTGATTCATAGCCGGAATCTTAGCCCGAAATATTTCACCTTTTAACCCGACCCATAATCACCTCTATATAAACGTTAAATAGACTACCAAAGTGGCAAATGTTAGTTGGTTTAAAAGGATATGAACAAACACGCAAACATAAGTGTCAATCTTTCCTACTCATCATCTCCAAATTGTCTTCGTACTAAATAATAATCCTCAATTTTCAAAATAATCCTCTTTTACAATTTTCTTCCACAATTCTTTCCCCTTTTAGATATTATCAATGGCATCATCATTAACAAGATCAAGAGCTCTAATTAACAAATTAAGATCAAATTTGGGTTCAATTAGTATGCTTAATTACCCCAACTCATCAAAAATTCTTCTTGTTAATCCAAATTTTATTTCTCGTCGTTTTGAATCCACAATAGCCCAGAAACAAATTAATTTTACTTCAGATGATGATGATGAACAGGTTAATCTTTTTAGTTGCTTAATTTTAATGCATGCATTACTCTGTTTTTTAGTTTAATTGTTGTAACTTTGTTAATTTAATTTTTTAATTATATGGTTGATTATATGACATAGTATTTTTCTTATTTATATATACTTTATAATTCAACGAGGGGCATAGAAAAAACTTTAAAATAAATTACCTGTTTTTTGGGGGTTTTTTGCTAACAAATATAAATCAGAATTCAGAACACTTTTTTATTCCCAGTGATCTTCAAGGGTTGGTGTTCTAACTTCTAAAGCTTACTATTATAATGATTTTATGTCATGTTCCCGTACCCGTGTCTAAAATTGTATGTCCGACCCTTGAATATGTACCCATACGGCCATACCCAAGTCCGATGAACATAGGTACGTGACTAAATTAATCTTACACGTCGTGGTGGTAAACAAAGGTTACAACTTTTAACCCCCTTAGGAAAAAAATCATGTAATATAATGCTTGATTGTAAAATTGACTAGGCATGAAAGCATTGTCTAAAGCAATGTCTTAAGTAATGCTGCTAATTAATGTTGTGGTTTTGAGTCGTATACTCATATTTGATCAAATATGACAATAATAGCGCGATTTTTCAAGTATAACCGTCTTTTTCCATCCTTGAAGTTGATCATTTGAGGAATGACTCTAACTTGAGTCATATTATAATGACAGGACTTAGATTTTCCTGGTGGCAAGGTTGGAATTACCTCTCAAATGAGGTTCATCTCGGAAACTAATGGTCGTAGGGTCGAATGCTATAGGGTCCTTGGTGATGATGGCGAGCTTTTGAAAAACCCACCTATGCAGGTAAGATCAAATGTTTGAAAACTTGTCGCGGTCTTGGAGCTTGCAGGAAATTTGTTACTCAGTCTTACTGATTAGTTGATTGTATATCAGGTCGGCGAGGTACTTGCTGTCAAGATGTATGAAAATATGGTTGCCTTACAAGTGATGGATACTATATTCTATGAAGCACAAAGGCAAGGAAGAATCTCATTCTATCTCACTACTATGGGAGAAGAAGCCATCAATATCGCCTCAGCAGCTGCTCTCAGTGCAGACGATGTTATATTCCCTCAGGTAGCTAACTGAATATAACTGATGATTCTGAAAATTACTCGAGTTCAACGTGTATGTGCAAGAAAGTTTAGTCTTAATTTACCTGGATTCAAATTTTGCAGTATAGGGAGCCAGGTCTTCTGTTATGGCGAGGTTTCACCCTGCAAGAATTTGCTAATCAATGTTTCGGTAACAAAGCTGATAATGGAAAGGGCAGGCAGATGCCTATACATTATGGTTCAAACAAGCTGAATTACGTTACAGTATCCTCAACTGTCGCGTAAGATTTTTAGTTTTTGACAGCCTGTTGTTCTTTCATTCTGTCTGATGTACATTAGCCTTTATATAAATGTATCTCAGCTCGCAAATTCCTTCTGTGTTTGTTTCGTTTTCAGTACGCAACTACTCCATGCAGTCGGTGCTGCTTATTCTTTGAAAATGGACAACAAAAATGCATGTACAATTACTTATTTTGGAGATGGTGGCACCAGCACAGTAAGTATAACTATAAGTTTATACTAGCCTCTGCACTTTGCTGGCCTGAAAAAAGCTTCTGTTCGTCTGTCAGTGATTACGATTTTGCTACTTATGGTTCTTGAGAATAAAAAGCCTTGACTTTGTGTAATGGCCTAACTCATTTCAGGGAGATTTCCATGCTGCTTTGAACTTTGCAGCAGTCCTAGAGGCTCCGGTCATATTTTTCTGCCGCAACAATGGTTGGGCAATTAGCACCCCAATTTCTGACCAGCTAAGAGGTGTGTATCGACTATGATACTGTTTTCCACTACTTACATTTTCAGCACTTAATTTCTTTTTACCTTTTACAGGTGACGGAGTGGTTGTCCGAGGGCAGGCTTATGGAATTGAAAGCATCCGAGTTGATGGCAATGATGCTCTTGCTATTTACAATGCAGTGCACGAAGCTCGAAGAATTGCCATTAGTGAAAAAAGACCTATCTTGATTGAGGTGAGTAAAGGTTATTGCTGATCTTTGTTCTGTGTTTTAGGAAAAGTTGAGCTAATAAAAAAATAAATCTGTTATTGTAGGCATTAACATATAGAGCAGGGCATCACTCTACTTCTGATGATTCTACAAAGTACCGTCCACTTGAGGAAATTGAATGGTGGAGAAAAACTCGAGACCCAGTACCTAGATTTAGAAAATGGATTGATGGCAATGGGTGGTGGAACGATCATAGAGATTTAGAGTTGAGAAGCAGTGTCCGAAAACAGGTAATAACTGCTACATTATGAAAGAGTTCCTAGTTATTCTGAAATACTCCATAGCTAAGCTTTTAAAATTTAAATAAGTGTATTCTAGTTTTGAACTTATTAATTATGATTACAAGTTAAACTTTGATTCAGCTGTTTGACTGCTGTTTTTTTATGTTACAGCTCTTGCAAGCTATTCAAGTTGCAGAGAACCTTGATAAACCACCAGTAGCCGATCTTTTTACTGATGTCTATGATGTTCTCCCCCCAAATCTCCAGGAGCAAGAAAGATTGTTAAGGAAGACCATTACAGAACACAGGAAAGATTATCCAACAAATATTCCTGTATAGTTGATTAACTTGATTCTTTAGCACATCAAGATATGTGCTAATAGTTGTGCAAATGTACATAAAAATTTATCAGGAATAATGGTATTGTATTTAATGCTATTTTGGTATAGAGATTAATATGTATACTTAAAGCCGATATTTGCTTTTGGTGGCTGTCTTAGTAAGAGCAGGAAAAAAAAAAAGAAAAAAAAACCAACTAAACTACGTAGCCTAGACCAGTCAATCAATACATAAAAATTGTGCAAACAAAAAAATAGACCAACATTTTATTAATTTTTATAAATGCTTCAGTTTCTCATCTACGATCTTCCCCAAAAACTCTAGTACGTTGTTTTACAGTATGTCAAACTGACATTAATCGTTATGTAAAATAGAAAGGGGCATCAAATTGAAGATAAACACTATTGTTACATTAGAGAAAGCAGCACTACAAGGATGCAGCCTTCTCCTCTATGGACTGTTGAATTGCCTTCAGAAGGGCTGGCATTAGCTTCTGGTTGCAAGCTATTATGCCTTTGTACAGGTCAAGATACTTCCCTTTCGAAAAATCTAATGGGTTTCCTGCAGCGTCTGAAACGATACCTCCAGCTTCTGCAATACCCACCATATCCCCCCCCCCCCAAAAAAAAAAAAGAAAAAAAAAAAAGAGAAGCCTAGAGTTCAGGAAACATTTGAAGAAAGAAGAGGGGGAAAAAACCAACTAGGGGCAAATTATGTCACTTTACCTGTAACGACAATAGACCCAGCGGCATGGTCCCATATCTTTTCTCGATAACCTGCTTTCGGGAAACGCAAATATATAGCCCCATCACCTCTGCTCAAAGCCCCATACTTTGCTTGGCTATCAATCCTAACTGGAGGTGCTTTGACACCAAGTTTCTGTCGAAATATTTTGATGATTAAGCAGCTTTTCAATGTACAACAAATTTTCTAAAGAATGTAAGTAGTGAATACCAAATCTTACTTTTGCTATGGAGCTACTCAGATCAAAGGAGGAATGAGCTGCTTCATATGATTCAAAGAATGATGCCTCTTCAGAATTTTCTGTAGGGCTGACATTTACCTGTGATAGTTGAAACCAAAGGATATAGAGAAAAAAAAAAAAAAAGCATGAGATTCTGTACTGATTTCAGTGGAATAGATGTACAGTACATTTGCAATCAGATTAAGAGCACACTTTGACTGGGGAAGAACCATCAAGTGATTCCATATAGGTTCCTTCACCAAGGACAGCTGAGAAAAGACAGCCAGTTTGACCGGCAGAGCTCTGCACACCAAGAGGTGCTAAAGGAAGATTTGGACAAGCCAAGACCCCAAGGACTACTCTTCCTTGATCTAGCAATGCTAATGCTATTGCATACTGATCCCCCCTCACAAACCTGGTATAATGCAATCTTAGCTTAGATGTATCAAAATCAGGAAAAACAGAACAAAATAGGGAGTTTAAACTAAGAGATGTATGCATTCATCAAAGATGACTTATTTGCAAAATCAATAATTCTTTAAAAGAAAAAACAGGGATCAACTAATCATAGACAGATGAAGTTTGACTCGTTTACTGTATATCAGGAGGATAAAAACTAAACCTTAGTGTTCTACTAATTTTCTCAATAACATACCCTTTAGTACCATCTATAGGGTCCAAAACCCAGTGCCGACCTACAGCACCACCTTCAGATCTACCACTATCGATAGCAGCAAGTACACCATCAGCTGACAAAGGTGAAACACTGTATGTACTCTCACTGGCAATAGTATCATTTACAAGCACTCTGATACGCTCTAAAGTATCTTGTGCACCATCCTCTCTCAGGTCTCCAGAGTCCTGAAATATTCAAAAGTTGTAATGTAAATTCGCCAAAGTAAACAGAGAAGTGTAACCATTAAGGAGCACCAACATTTTACCTCCTCGGCCACCAAAGAAAATGGTTCTGCAGAAAGTTCATGTTCAAGAACAAAACTAACAACAGCTTGTGAACCTGGTAAATACACACAAGGAGTACAATATTAGTCATATATTTGCACCTGTGTAATGAGTCTACTGAGCCCTAATTTGCTGACAAAAGTCCCATTTATCTTTCTTTTACATGTTGGTCCACTTTGGAGCCATTGCTTGCCATGCAGAGATCAATTAATTGACATAAAGCACTCATTACTAAGATAAACCGCCCAGAATAACCCAAATCTGCAATAACAACCCAGCCTTAGTGACAGATGGAAATGACTTCAAGCACCATTACATGGACAGCATTTCAAGCTTGCGCAATCCACAGAACCCAGTAAATTCCAGGAAGATTTCCCTCAAGCTATGTTACAGGAAGATTTATAAACCAAGAAGGTTGACAGGCTGTGGAAAAAAAAATAACAAAAAAAATCCCTACAGTTTCTAAAGGTATTGTAAGATTTGGTCTGGTTGATAATCTAAGTGGGTGTTTGGTATAAACACCGTAAATGGAAAGGATTTAAATAAATAGGGGAAAGAGTAATGATAAACATTACCTTTACTATATGTTTGGTATCCAAATGGAATGAAAACAATTTGTGTTGATTGTGATTGAGTAAGAAAACATATTTTGTTTCCACTAGTTTGTCAAGGGTAACAAATTGGGGGATTTTGTTACCCTCCACAAACGGTATTTGTTACTTAATGCTATACCAAACAACTAGAAATGAAAACACTTAATCGAATCCGTTTCCTATATCTAAAATTACTATACCAAACGCCCCCTAAGTGTAATGGTGCTTTTATGAATAAATGAGGTTCGGTATCATATTGAGTCAGAGTGAGGGAAGTTTTCACGCAAAAAAGTTACTGCATTTTCCCATCTCAACATTCACATTGAAAGTGTGCAGCCTTTGAAAGTGGTACCAAATGCTAATGTAATACGTGATCGACATTTTTCAACCATATAGGCATAGAGCTTATACTAATGGCAAGTATACATCACAGGCTATAAGAAACCCATTTTTGATTAGTGATACCATAAAGCAAAATATGAGCAGATATCGGCATTATCTAAGACATTAGATATACATAGAAAGGTTATACAAACCATAATCCGCAACTGTTACAGGGCTCTTGTCCAGTTTTGATTGAACATCAGATTGCAACAATGATTTTTGTACTTTCTGCAGATAGTCCCAAAATATAGGAGCATAAGATTCAACAGAAGTTTGATGCCATTGTTATAGAAAGCCAGGTATAACAATAGGAAACATTGTACCCAAAACTGCATATATATCAAGAAACCAAGACTATATAACAAACCAAACTAATCCAATGGTTGATCATACGGGCCGTGCCGCGAACCGTCGAATTTTTGGCAATTTACTAGCTAAATATGATCCAGAGTACATTTTGCAATCAAATAACAGGGCAAGTATACATTTCCATTGAATTTCATATACACAGATTTTGCAATCAGCCCAGAATTTCATCCAACAATCTAAATCCTTTCACCCTGAAATTCCACTACTTCATACAATTTTCAGTGCACAAAGAACAAATTATGAATATATACAAGATCTATCAACAAAAATTCTATCTCCATTCAAATTCAATCAAATGAAAAACCCCCAAAATCAATCTCAGCCAAAATTATAACAATAAATATTGTACCCGCTAAAATTTACCCCAATCCCAGAAAAATTCTGACAGATTCTAATCTGGGTATTCAAATAAATATTGAAATGCATCATTTTGAATTGTATACAGCAATGAAGGAGGATAAAGAAACCTGGCAAAGTTTGGCAGCAAGACTAGCAGCTTTCTTGGCAGCAACAAGCTCCTTTTGGTAAGACATTGAAGAAAAAGAAGAATTGAGGAGAGAGAAAATAGAGGATTTGGGTTTATGGTTGAGAGTAGGAATAACGAAGTGGGTTCTAATTCTTAAGCTGCTTAAGCCTATATACATGGTGACTGAGTTGTTCCTTGTTCTTGCCACCTTCTCTAATTTTACTTCTCTACCTACTCATTATTTCATTTCTAGATTATCAAATTAATAATTTGTGGGGGATAAAAAAAATAATAATCCCTCAGTTTTTAAACACTTACACCACTTTTCACTTGCGGCCGTTTTTAAATACTTGCTCTCTTTATTTGAAAAGCATTTACAATAATTAATTAATTTCTCTCACCTAGTGGACCTAACATATATTCTCTTTCCTCCAATTCTCTCTACTACTTTTGTTTTCTACAATTTTTTTTATTTTTTTACCAATCCCACTATCTCCATATTTTATTACTTCCTTCAATTTCTCCTTAAACTCCGCGCATGGAGATATGGAGCAAGTATTTAAAAACGGAGGGAGTAATAAAATTAAATAGTCAAGTATACAAGTATTATATTGGATGAACTTTTACATTATTCATATGTTGTGTTTGATGGAAAGCTGAATATATATAATAATTTATATTGAATAATATTTATACATTAAACTTAAAACTTATTGCAGATAAACATTTGATCGATCATAATACAAAGGCAAGGCATGGCCAATCGAATAACTAGCCGCTTAATACAACAACCAACTATGGTCGTTACTTATTTATTAATTATAATCGAAAGATTAAAAAGACTAAATCACACAAGCTTCAACATCAAAGTAAAGTTACAAGCTCAGTAAATACATAGATAACATATCGAAAGAACCAAATCGAACATTTCCACATGAACATTTCAAGAATAAGTTGTATCATATCATAATTGAATGAGTTGAACTCAAATAACTTTGGGATTTCCTTCCATTGTCGGGTTAGGCTTTGGTTCAAAAAATTTTCCAAATGAAGTATACTTTGTTTCTATGGCATCTTTTCCTGCAACAAAAATTATATCCATTAAAAAAATGTTAATTAGAAATTGACTCGAATTGTTTGATAGAAGTGGTATCTTTTTATCTTTTGTTTCCTTTTTTTTTAACAAAAAATCTTACCATGCCACCAAAATGCTGGGTTGGGCCTTGGTTTGAAATCCTTTGCCAAAGAAGTGTATATTGTTTCTATGTCATCTTTTCCTACATATTAATTACATACCATGCAAAAAAAATAAAAATAAAAATAAAATAGTGGTAATTTGTTAGTTCAAATTACTTGTAGCAAAAAATATATTTGTTGCCTTATTCTTTACTCTAAAATAGTCTTACCATGCCACCCTGATGCCGGATTGGGCCTTGGTTCAAAGTCTTTTGTGAAAGAAGTATATCTTGTTTCTCTGTCTTTTGGAACTGATTTTCCTTCTTCCTTTAAGAAATCGTAGAGATTGTACTTGAGGTGTTCAATGCCTCTCTTTCCCCAATAATCTCCAATGTCCATCAGTTGTTTTGGCTAGCTATATTATAATTAATGTATTAGTAAGAATTCAATTTAATAATTGTTACAATATCACAAGGCTTAAAAAAAAAAAAAAAAAAAAAAAAAAAAAAAAAAAACATTAATTTGCAGTGATGCTTACCATGAATAGTGCAAGAAGAAGAAAAGTGAGAAAGAATTTCATTTTTGAATATTCCATGCTTAGATTTCTTAATTCTGTATATGATTTCCAGCTATTAATATACTTGCTATTTATAGAAAACCTTCAATTACTTAGTAAGAAGATACTCCGTAATAAGCATATTGCATTGTACTCGCTCCTAAAGTCCTAATACCTAATAATGCATACCAATTATTAGAGAGTGATAAACAGTCATGAAGTATTATTATTAAGCAATCATAATACCCCAAATCAAAATAATTTTAATTCATTGTTCTTAGAACATGCTTTTCATGCTAAACAGTACAAGTCATTGTTCCTAAATTATTCATGACGAAAGTTGATCAGCTGATTGGATATATAATGCCGATTACTCTTTTTGTCCCTAAATGTTTAATTTTTCCCACTTACTTTATGATCGTTCCCTTTAAGTCCCCCCCCCCCCCCCCGCGGCCACCGACCCACCCCATACCATACATGGTTATGTGAGACCTCAAATTTACTTTCACAAGTTACACCAATTACTTTAGGTCGATCTCACTACTTTTCTATCTCATAAACTCTTCCCAACCAATAATCATTATTCTTATGGAGCAAAAAATTAAGGGACAACAGAGGGAGTAATTTAAGTAAACCCACTATGAGCCGTAACGTAGTTATTGACCGTTCTACATAGATTTTATTTTTCATTAATCATAATGCTTATCCCAATGTAGTCCGAATGAGGTAGGGTGACATTACTAATTGCAAATAATAGGGAAATTCATACCAGACCTAATATTTATTGTGTCGACATAGCTAATCCATACCAATTATTAGGGAGTGCTAAACAGTCATGAAGTACTATTATTAAGCAATCATAGTACCCTAACTAAATCAAGATTATTTTACTTCATTGTCTAAGAACATGCTTTTCATGCAAAACATGTCTTTGTTCCTGAATTATTCATGACGAATGTTAATCCGCTGATTGGATAATTCCAAAAATTTTAAACCAACCATGGACCATGGTAGTTGAACCTCCTATATAGATTTTATTTCTCATAATGTAATACTTGTAATGCTTATCTCGATACAGTTTGAGTGTGACATAAGGGCATTACAAATACAGGATAGAAAATTCAAAAAGTCTAATCAAATACCAAATTAGTAATTAGATTTTTTTTTTTTATTTTTTAGTATTGATTGATTGAGCATTGTTTGATTTCATCATACAGAGTACATACATATATATAGTAACATAGATATAACACTCCTTATCCAAGCTAAGCTTGTGTAGCATAATAGCGTTGTTTAGAGCTTGAGTGGTATAAACAAACTTCAAGATGCTTCTCAAATCGAGTTTGGCCCTATATATGTTCCTTCAAATGGCAATGGTAAGCTTTATATGTAGTTTATTTATTTATTTGCATGATCATATATCATATTCAAAAAATATAAACTCTATATAGAGAACGCTGATCAATGTTTTATGTTCGATGTTTCTCACATATATATAACACTATACTTTTTAATTTCAACCAATAATAAATAGTTGTTCAATGTGTTTTGTTGTGAAATACTCCATATTTATTTTGATGAATTTCTTCTTATATTAACAATGAGGTCATGATCTGATGCATGTAGTTGGTGAATGCCAATACGGAGAAGTCCCTTGATCAAATGATGGAGGACATCAACCAAGTCTTCATACACTACAATAACCTTAATAAGGTTGGATTAAACATCCCAATTTACTTTGGAGGTGCATTTTCTTCTCAAATCCCCCGTTTTCTTCCCAAGGAAAAGGCCGATTTAATGCCTTTCTCATCCCTAGATCTACCCTTTCTTCTACGAGTTTTCGGCTTTGCTCCAGGATCTCCTCAAGCTAGAGCCATGGACAATACGCTAAAGATGTGTGGAATGAAAATGCACCATGAAACTAAAAAATGTGTTTCCTCCTTAGAGTCTATGCTTGATTTTATTCGCGAAACATTTAACAGTAACAGTAGCATTAGCAGTAACAGTAACAGTAACAGTAACAGTGATAAAAAATGATCAATCTCTTAAGGTGTTAAGTACTAGTCCTCTCCCGAAATCTACAAAACTTATCCAAAATTATACCATAGTGAAACAAGCACAACAAGTACCAAGTCCTAAAATGGTTTCGTGTCATATGATGACCTATCCTTATGCAGTCTTTCATTGTCATTACCCGGAACCTGAGAACCGTGTGTTCGAGGTTTCATTAAGGGGCGACGATGGAACATTGATGGATGCTATCGTGACTTGTCACATGAACACCTCTAGTTTTGACCCTAATCACGTTGCATTTCATATCTTAGGGTTTAAGCCCCGTGATTTTCCGATTTGTCATTTTCTTCCTTCAAATGATCTAGTTTGGGTACCTAATGCTGAGAATTAAGGGAGAATTATAGGATGAATAATTCTACTTAATGAATTATTCGTCTGTTTGCATGGTTCATTTACATTTCTAAGCGTGATTTGTATTTTGTACACATTAAATAAACTTGTTTGTGTTGTTTTAATTTTCAATTGAATTCTTTGTTCCTTTGTTTTACCAATAATGATGTAAATCAAAAATAAAATTGTGTTTTTTTTTTTGGTTACTTTTTTGTAATAATGATTAACAAGTAACAACGCATTATTATTGTAATTGATTGTTGAAGAAGAATACTATTTTTATATTATTTTTTGGCGGAAAATTATAATCACGATCGATATTAACTTCATGCCTTCATTTTAGCATATGTAAAGTAAAAACTAAATATTGCCTTTTAATTTCTCAAAAAAAAAAAATGTCAGTTCCGATCCCCTCCCAATTGTTGTTGCGGAGGATCGAATACGGATTTTTCCCTACTAAATGTAGTCTCAATCACCACTACACCAACGATCAATTGGTATTGCTATTTATATTTTTACATATATAGTTGGATTATATTGTGGTTTAGATACTTGAAAGGAAATCCATAAGTTGGAAACAACACCAAACATTGCATGACTAAAATAAAAACGTTACATACATAGAACAACTTAGTACTAATCCTTAGGCATAACAAAGCATAACTGATGAACGTTCATTCTACAATAGTACATCAAATAGACTCTAAACAAACCCCCTTTATTTATTAATAGACACTTACTTAATTAGCTTACTCATAGTCAGATTAGTCTTATGCCACACTAGATTAACTACGGGGCTTGATCTAGCATACCACACCATTAGCCAGTCTGGCTAGTTGAACTCGAACCTGGTCACAACAGATTTGATAGTTGGCCAAACATCCTTGGTAGGGTTAGCCGCCCCATGGTGCCATTGTAGAACATGGTTAATCTTAGGCTCGAAATCTCTCACAAAATATTTGGCTATGGATACCTCATCATCATGACTAGCCGCACCATGGTGCCATTGTAGGACATGGTTAGGCTTAGGCACAAAGTCTTTCACAAAATATATTGGGGCTACATCATCATCATCATGACTAGCCGCACCATGGTGCCATTGTAGAACATGGTTAGGCTTGGGCACAAAGTCTTTAACAAAATACATTGTTGTTGCCACATTTTCCGATTTAGGATTAGTATCCAAATATTGCCATTGATTAGGCTTAAATTTAAAGTCTTTTACAATAAAATTAAATTTGTGTACATCTTTAGACTTTAAGCCTACTAGGGCTTCAATTGCTTTCTTTCCCCAATACTTGCCGGAGTTTTGGCGTCCCTCGTTCGACTTTATGCCTGAAAGGGTTTCAATTGCTTTCTTTCCCCAGTACTCTCCCACACCGTCGTCACATCCATGAGCTACATTGACAACCTGTATATATATGTAAATCTATAAGACGTATGTACAATACACGACGCCTTCCTCTGTCTCATTTTACTTGTCAAATTTTCTAATTTGCATATCTCAAAATCAATATTTATAAGTCAATTAAAGACGTCTAAAAGATATGAGACGGTAGAAGTATAATGTACTAAATCAACTCTTTATACTCCGTATTAAATATGTATATTATTCAACAAAGTAAAAATTACACATTAGCACTTTTAGTTAGAATCTCTGTTAAACGAATGACAGAATGAACGAACACTCATTTAACATGCATTATATTGTTGTATTCGAACAATCAAGGTTTTTTTTTTAAATTTTATTTATTTTAATAAGGCTTTTTAAAAGTTTGACCAATGTGCAATCAATATAATTTTAATTCCTCGATGTTTTTTTTTTAAGATAAAACAATAACATTTTTCATGCATGCTAATTGGTGGAGAATATGAACATATCTTAATATCTATCATATATAATGCATAAACTAAATATTTAATAATTTTTTTGCAATAAGTAAAATTGAAACATATGATTATGTTTTTTTCTTTTGTAAAAGTAAAAAAAAAATGATAATGTTATCAAATATTTAAGAGAATGTAGGAAGTACTTTATAATTAACTACGAGAAGAAGCTAATAATCTAACACTTTATTGTTGAAAGAAAGGTATTAACGCCGAATGAATATGTTATCAAACTATTTATACGGAGTATTTGAAATGTAAATCAGAGTAACCAAACCTAAAGATTAAAAATAAAAGAGCAAATTATTAAAATAAATTTTAACAAAAAAGTTGTATCTAAAAGAAGAGGAGATAAATGCTTACGAATAGAAGTGCCAGAAGAAGAGTAGAAATGATCGATAGCTTCATTTTCGTCTAATGTCTCCAACAACTGTTGTGTATGTTCCCCAAACCAAGCCACTTGCATAAGAGCTGTATATAGACTGATTTTTCATTATTCTAAATAGTTCAAGTGGTTAGAGCGAGTTTTCTTCTTGATTTAAAGAGATTCTAGGATTGATTGTCATCACTTGCCGTTATAGTTGGCATTCTTGGCAAAACTAAAAAAAATATTAAAAAAATATTTTTAAAAATATGGTTACCCAAGTTTAAATTATAACTAAAATTAGCTTTAAAAGGCCTAATAAGTTCAGATTAGTTTAGATAAGTTAAGTTAAGTTCGAATAAGTGAAAATCAAGTAAATAAAATATTATTAAATGACTTATCAAGTCAATAAGCAATACCCGTGACATCGTAGAATAGTGTAATTCTCCTTAGTTGGAGCATTCTCATTAATCAATATATATAGGTGTCATTACAACCTAAACACGACAATACAATATTTACTAAATTACACTCAAAGTAATCAAACAGAATACGTACATACGAGCTAGATTATTTATAATCTTCATCTTAAATGAATTAAATGTTGAATTATTTAGAGTATTGGTGACAAATATTCATGTGTTTGATTGAACTTCTTAGGTTAAGGTGTTGAAATTCAATTAAACAAGTAAAAGGGCAATTTATATATCGGTTTAGAGAATTGTTCCTCGCCTTGTAGTCCGTCCTATGGCGCGCCCGGCAGCTTCGCCTGGTAATAAGGCATGAGAGCGAAGAAAATTAAATGATGTCACCGCCCGGCATGGCAATTGTCGCCTGGTATGGCACGAGAGCACCTAAATTTTTCTGGGTTGCTTGGCTTCTCTCGCCCGGTAGTGCGAAGGGCCTCCCGACAGGGCGTGGGTGTAAGCGTAGGCAATATAATTTTGACGGTTATTGTTCAGTTTTGCTTAGTTTATTACTCTTGATATAAATATGATAGTTCATATTGATCATGATGAAACATATTCAAGGAACCGATTATGTTCTTCTTGAAAAACCTTGCATGCAAGTTTATTGATTATCATTTCAAATCACAAAAGCTTATTTACATGGTATTGTAATCATCCTACTTGTGATTGCAATTGACCTTTGTTATATATCTTGAGTAATTTTCCGTGATACCCGGTTGTAACTACTTTTAGAAAAGTATAGGGTCGGAATTATACTTTTGAGAAAGTGATCCTGTTTACTCCTCAAAGATTTTCCCGTTTGCAATTTTCTTTCTGATCCTTGTAAACACAAAATACCCAACATTAAAAATTGGGTGAATGTCAACCAACTTATATTTTTATGCTTTTCAAAGTTTTGGAAAATGACATCGAATGTGTAGCATCGAATCTTAGCTACCCGTGTAGCAATACACACACACACACAAAAAGTCTCCTTGTAAATATTTCTTTAAAAGATATCTTCTATTTGTTACATATATAAACTAATATATATATATGGCCCTTATTTTCACTTAATTGAAGAAAAAAATTCTAGAAAAATTATTCTAGAAAAATAAGCTCAAATAATTGATAAAAAAAGGCCGAGTTTTAATATGTGCTTCATATGCATCTAGTACTATTTTTCAACATTAATATAATTTAATTTAATCAAGATTAAGGGCCTGTTCTGATTGACTAAATTGAGCTAAACTGAACTAAACTGAATTTCTCATAGCTGAACTTAACTGAACTGAATATTTTATTAGAGAAGGTAATTAAGAACTGAACTGAAAATAAGCTGAGAAAAACAAACCCTAAGATTTTGTTTATGATGATAAACTACATACATACATACTAATGTTACATGTATTTCAATTATAGATCTTACAAGATATTAAATCGTATGAAATTAAAATCTTAGCCACAAGTCTAGCTTAAGACTTTTTCCATTTTCTTCAAAAATGTCAAGCAAGTCTCAAGTTGAGTTTCAACTTAAGACTTGAGATTGAGACCCGCTTCACCCACTTCTGTTTTATTTTTATTATCTTTTTTTTTTTACACTTTTCTACGTATAATATGTCAAATATTTAAGTCTTAGGGTTAAAGTGATAAATTTGTGTAAATCTTAGTGAGTTTTAACAAATGATGACATCATTTTCAATGGGGACCACAAAAAATGATGTCACATCCAAGTCTTAAGACTTGAGGCTAAACTTGCATTTGAAGAAGATTAAACATCAAAAGATTAAAATGAGTGCAATCAATTAATAATTAATCATACTACTTCGTACATACGTAGTATATAGGCAAAGGTTGGTTATTGTAGTGTTTACACCTCATCGAGTCCTAAGCTAATTTTCTCTTAAATATCTAAGTACTTAGCTTCACGAGTCTACTTGTAAGCTGAAATGAATTGTAACTCGAAAATCTATATGTCCTGGTTTTATTTATAAAAATGGTGTTTGTTTTATTCACCAAACTTCCACTTATTTTATAAATATAAATTCAAATAATACATATTAATAACTTTTAAAAAGTTCAAAATTTTAGATTAGTCCGTCAAAATTAAAATAAAAGGAGTTTCCATTAGATAAAAGTTAAATAAGAGTTATTCAAATTTTTACGGCTGAACTATATAGTTTAAATAAGTCATTATATTAAGGGTATGTTCTCTTCAGATTATTTTCAGTTCAGTTCTTAATTTTCTTCTCTCATAAAATATTCAGTTCAGCTCCAATAAATTCAGTTCAGTTTAGTTCAGCTCAGTTCAGTCAATTAGAACAGACCCTAAATTTTAATAATTATGTTCTAAAAGTATAAATTATGTGAGGAAAACACTATCTCGAATAGATGATGTTCAAAGAAAATTATCTCTCTCAAATAGATGATGTTCAAACTAATTAATATGGGAGCAATGAAAATGTTAGAACATCACATGCGTTACTTCCCTCAATTAAATCTCTCTCTTGCATTGCATGTATGCTTTTATGTTTTGGATAGAATTCTTTCAAAACTTGTTGGAAATAATCTAACCATAATTTAAAAGCACGAATTGTAATGCATGCATGAATGGTCAAAGACATGCAAGACGTACAATCGGTCATTTTTCATCAATTTCCTGAAAATATTTAACAATATCAAGACAATCATGACCGTTGATAATTCATCCAAATAATCCTATCTTTTAATCACCAATAGCTATGCATGCGCATGCACAATATAGACATGCAAGACGTACAATTGTCATTGCTTATCTGTTTTTCTAATTTAAATATTTCTTTTTAATACTTTTACGTGCATCTTTTAATCAGTTCTTGAATACATAGTGAAAGTATGTATGTATACATCAATCGCTCCAAAATGTAAATGATTTTTGTAACACATATAAATATTTAATAAACTTTTATATCCCGTTAAAAAAAAAAAAAAAAAAAAGAAAAAATACCCCTTCATTTTGTATTTATACCCCTTCTTCCTCTTTCTCTCTCCTCAATACTCTCGCTTTTTTCTCTCTCTCTCTCAAAACAAATTAAACTTCCTTTTTCTTTCTTCTCTTTGCTTGCTTATAAAAATGAAAAGAATTATTATAATCTTGTAAAGATAGGCAAACAATGGTGAATCCTGCAGGAACAACTCCTTCTACTTCTAACTCTAGTTGGGCCTCTCAGGCCCAATTAGCCTTCAATTCCGGCCCATCGAGAAAGCGGAGTAATAGTAAAATTCAGTGTGCTCTACAATCCACAATACAAGACAACAACAACAAAAACAAAAATAACACCATTTCTATTTCTATTAATACTAAGCCTGAACCTGTTCAGAAGTGGAACATCTTCCGGAAGGCGGCTGCGGCCGCCTTAGACATGGTTGAAACCGCTCTCGAGCGGTCTCAACCACTACCAAAGACGTCCGACCCCCAGGTGCAAATAGCTGGGAACTTCGCCCCTGTACCAGAGATGCCTGTTAAACAAGGTCTCCCTGTAAGCGGTGAAATCCCGGGTTGCATTGACGGTGTTTACGTAAGAAACGGTGCTAACCCGTTGTTTGAACCAACCGCGGGACATCACTTGTTCGATGGTGATGGGATGGTCCATGCAGTAGCAATCCACGAAGGTGTCGCTAGCTACGCCTGTCGGTTTACGGAAACCAGCAGGCTAGCGCAAGAGCGAGAACTTGGACGACCCGTGTTTCCGAAGGCCATTGGTGAGCTTCACGGACATTCGGGGATTGCTAGACTGGTCTTGTTTTACTCTCGAGGACTTTTCGGTTTGCTAGATAATGAACATGGGACGGGAGTTGCTAACGCTGGTTTGGTCTATTTTAATGACCGGTTACTAGCTATGTCCGAGGATGATATTCCCTACCAAGTTAGGGTCACCCCTTCGGGTGACCTTAAGACGGTAGGGCGGTTTGATTTCCAGGGTCAGCTAACATCGTCGATGATAGCTCACCCTAAACTCGACCCTGAGACAAAAGAGTTGTTTGATCTTAGCTACGACGTTTTAAAAGCGCCGTATCTCAAGTACTTCAAGTTCACGCAACACGGCGAAAAATCACCCGACGTTGATATCCCATTAAATGAGCCTACCATGATGCATGACTTCGCTATTACGAAAAACTTTGTGGTAATTCCTGACCAACAAGTTGTGTTCAGGATGAAGGAGATGATCACAAGAGGATCACCCGTTGTGTACGACAAGAACAAAACGTCGCGTTTTGGTGTTATGCTAAGGATGCTACTGATGCGTCGGATATTACATGGGTTACTTCAAAAGATACATTTTGTTTTCACCTTTGGAATGCTTGGGAAGAGCCGGAAACGGAGGAGATTGTTGTGATTGGATCATGTATGAATCCGCCCGACTCGATTTTCAACGACTGTGACGAGTGTCTTAAGATTGTGCTCTCCGAAATCCGGCTTAATCTACGGACGGGTGAGTCCACTCGCCTACCTATTATTGACTTAACACAGCATAGTCATATAAATCTTGAGGCTGGTATGGTGAACCGGAACTTACTAGGGCGAAAAACCCGGTTCGCTTACTTGGCGATCGCAGAGCCGTGGCCTAAGGTCTCCGGGTTCGCCAAGGTTGATTTGGTCACGGGTGAGGTAAAAAAGTTTATGTATGGTGGTGAAAAGTTCGGTGGTGAACCCTTCTTTTTACCACGCGACAATACTATTTTGGAAGATACGGAAGATGATGGGTACGTCATGGGATTTGTTTATGACGAAGAGAAATGCACTTCGGAATTATTGATAGTAAATGCACAAAGTTTAGAGCTTGAAGCGTCCGTTCAATTGCCTTCAAGAGTTCCGTATGGATTTCACGGTACCTTTGTAAGATCCGAGGATTTGAGTCATCTAGCTTAACTAAACCAACCATGGAACATGGTAGTTGAACCTCCTATATAGATTTTCTTTCTCATAATGTAATACTTGTAATGCTTATCTCGGTATAGTTTGAGTGTGACATAAGGACATTATAAATTACAAATAGAGGATAGAAAATTATTCAAAAAGTCTAATCAAATACCAAATCAGTAATTAGATTTTTTTTTTTGTTGACACAATCACTAATTAACATTTTTTTAGTAGTGATTGATTGAGCATTAATTGATTTCATGATATAGAGTATATAAATATACATATATACACGAAGCATATATATAACACTCCTTATCCAAGCTTGTGTAGCATAATAGCATTGTTTAGAGCTTGAGTGGTACCAACAAACTTCAAGATGCTTCTCAAATCGAGTTTGGCCCTATATATGTTCCTTCAAATGGCAATGGTAAGCTTTATATGTTACTTTTACAGTATACGGTGTACATGACATTATAGTTGATTTATTTATTTGCATGATCGTTTCATATATATATATATATATATATAGAAATGGGATCATGTGAGAACCCATGGCTTAGGTGAAAACCAATATAAAATGAGAACCAATCTAAGACCATTCATTTTTATTAGATGAATGGTTCAGATTTATTAGTAACTATAGTGGGAATTCACGTGGGCCAGCTTGAAAAGGTAATGATTGTTTGTAATTTTTTTATTTTATTTTTATTTTTGTGCATTAGAAGACGTTGTATTCCATTGGAATACATTATGGGTCAGTCATTGGAAGACGTTATCTCAGCCATTGGAATAGATTCAGCCATTGGAATACATTATCAAAGGTTAGAGCTCAATTTTTTTTTATTTTTTTTTCTGTAGTTATATTAAGCATGGATTTGTCTGTTGAATTTGGTACGTCTAATGTTCTTCATGCTTTTACCCCTGGTGGAACGAAGATATGGATTCCATGTTGTGATAGTGAAATTAGACCAACTATAGGTATGAAATTTTCAAAACTTGATGAAGGTTTGCGTTTTTATGAGTCCTACGCAGCTGTTGTAGGATTTATTACTAGAAAGTCGATGGTCAAAAAAAGAAAAAAATGGTATTATTTCTTTTCAAATTATTGTATGTAATAAAGCTGGGTTTAAAGAAAAACAAAATAATGTGGTGACAGAGAAAGTTGATAGTATCGGGGAAGAAGATGATAATTTTGTAGATGATATGAATGTTGAAGAAGTGGTTGTTGGTCAAGATAAAGAAGACTATGATTGTCAAGAAGCGAATACTCCTATGGTTAAAAGAAGATTGTCTACTCGAGTTGGTTGTAAGGCAAAGATGATTTTAAAGTATTGCGAAGATGGAGGTTACATTGTTTCTAATTTTGGAGAAGGGCATACTCATCATATGTATTCATCCGAGAACTCTCATTTTCAGAAGTCCAAAAGAAAGCTGACAATGTTTCATAAGAAAATGATAATTGATAATTCAAAGGTATTTGAATATGGTTTTGTTTAAAATGATTAAATTTTAAATGTGAAGTAACAATTGTGTACATATATGAAACATTGGTACTGTAATATGAAATATATATTGTTTTGGATGGAACAATCGTATTTGAATATGGTTTTGTTTAAAATGATTAAATTTTAAATGTGAAGTAACAATTGTGTACATATATGAAACATTAGTACTGTAATATGAAATATATATTGTTTTTGATGGAACAATTGTTTGTAATGTATATACTCAAGTAGGTGTAAGTACAACTGTATGGAACAATGGTTTTGATAAATGGAACAATATTACGTATAATTGAAACATAGTTGGAGCGATTGGTTGTAAAGGTTTAAAATTATTTCGTTATTATAACAAATGTAACAATAGGGTAATGCGTAGGAACAGTAGGTCAGATATATGGAACAATAAAGTGCATTTTTGGAACAGGTGGTCAGATATATGGAACAATAAAGTGCATTTTTGTTTCATATAATATGTCATCATCGAATTTCGCACTATCCATCAAGAATAACGTGTACCGTTATTTGTTATTAAATGTGTGCCTTTTTGTTTTTTGTTCACATCTATATTTAGAATCTTTGAAATCTTTTTTGCCTTTTTTTCATAAAATTAAATATGCACTGTTAGATCTGTTTCCATATATATCATGGTCCTCAAACAGTCTAGTCTTTTTACATTCTGTCTCCACAGGTGAATATTGGTCCTGTCAAGACATACAGAATGGTGAAGGAATATGTTGGTGGGTATGAGAATATAGGCGCTAGTAGGAATGACTTCAAAAAATTTCATAGAGATTTGAAGGCGTATATTGAAGGATCGGACGCCCAGATGTTTGTTGATAATTTTAAGAGGAAAAAGTTGATGTGGTCGGCTTATTTTTTTGATTACGAAATGGATGAAGACGACTGTACTATGTAGAGCTTTATGGGCAGATCCTATTTGCCGGAGAAATTATGCCGTATTTGGTGATATGCTCTCGTTTGATACAACCTACCAAAGCAACAGGTATCATAGTGTTATTTTTAAAGTTTTTTGAATTTTTTTTTGGGTTTTACAATTTGATGTAACATTTGTTTTAATTTTCGGAACATTGGAATAATATTACGAAACAGTAGACATAAATATGGAATCGTAATTTCAGCGTATGTTTCATGTTTTCCAGATATAATATGGTATTTGGTCCATTCACGGGAGTCGATCACCACAAGAAATGTGTCACTTTTGCTGCTGGTTTTATTGCAAAGGAAGATGTTGCTTCATTCGAATGGCTATTTAGAACATTTGTTAAGGCAATGGGTGGTAGGGAGCCCAATTGTTTAATTACGGATCAAGATCCAGCTATGAAAATTGCTGTAAATTCTGTTTTCCAACAATGTGAGCACAGGTATTTATTTTATTGTACTGCAACTAGAATGATTCATTTGTGAATACTATTGTTTCAAAATATGTGTCTGATGTTTCATATTAGTTTATTCATGTTTCCAGCTGTTGTTATGATGTTAAATATTATTGTTTCAAATTTATTGGTTCAGATTAGTATTTATTTTATTGTACTGCAACTAGAATGATTCATTTGTGAATACTATTGTTTCATATTATTGTTTCAAATTAATGATGTTAAATATTATTGATAAAAAAAAAATCTTGTTCCTAAATAGTGTTTTATTGTTTCAAATTTATGTTCTGATGTTCCATTAGGTTAATCAATTGTTACGAGAATTTGCCTAATTATTCCAATTATTTTTTTATTATTTCAAATCTTCAAGATAATGTTCCGGAATTTTACTACAATGTTACAGTATTAAAAGCTAATGTTCCTAAATAGTGGTCTAATGTCCCATAATTAATGTCATTGATTCATTTGTGAATACTATTGTTTCAAAATACGTGTCTGATGTTTCATATTAGTTGATTGATGTTTCCTGTTGTGATGATGTTAAATATTATTATTCTGATTTTTTTTTAAAAAAAAAATTGTTCCTATATAGTGTTTTATTGTTTCAAATTTATGTTCTGCGTTCCATTAGGTTAATCAATTGTTACGAGAATTCGCCTAGTTATTTCAATTATTTATTTTATTATTTCAAATCTTCAAGATGATGTTCCGGAATTTTACTATAATGTTACAGTTTTAAAAGATAATGTTTCAAAATATTGGTCTAATGTCCCATAATTAATGTCCTTCAGATTTTGTATGTGGCACATAATGAAAAAGCTGCCTGATAAAGTTGGAAGGAATATCATTCAGGATACTGAATTTTTGAAGGAACTCAGTAAGTGTGTTTGGAATTTAGAAATTGAGGCACCTGAATTTGAAGAGAAGTGGAACAATATTCTTGTTGAGTTTAAATTACAAGATCATGATTGGTTGAATTTGATGTTTGAGATGAGAGCTATGTGGATTCCAGCGTATTTTAGAGATGTCTTTATGGGTGGTATTATGAGAACTACCTCAAGGTCAGAGAGTGAGAATAATTTTTTTACATCCGTTGTAAATCCTCACGTGTCTCTTGTGGAGTTTTTCATGAGGTATGAAACTGCGTTGGATGCACAGAGACATTGTTAGGCAGAGAATGACAATGAATCACAGGAGAAATTCCCTCAATGTAAGACAAAATTGTTGATTGAGAGGCATGGTTCTGAGGTGTACACCGTTTCTGTATTTTATGAATTTCAAGATGAAGTTCATAGTGCTTTTTATTGTTGTGGTGTAGATGAATTGAGGAAGGAAGATGGTATTGATGTAGCAATTGTTACTGAGGCAAATAGGAGAAGGAAATTTAAAGTTTTGTTTGAGTGCTTTAGTCATGACACTACCTGCTCTTGTAAGCAGTTTTATAGGATAGGAATCCCATGCAGACATATGATATGGATGTGGAAGGCAAAGAATTTAAAAAGCATTCCAAAGCAATATATCTTAGATCGTTGGACAATAAATGCTACTCAGAAACCAGTGTTAGATATAAGTTGTTTAGACACCGAAGATGATAGGCGGGTGGTTATAAATGAAATGTGGTCGGAGATATTTTCTTGTGTGAGTTGGGTTAAAGGTCATGAGGAGGACTTTATTAAGAATATTCGAGAGTTCAAGAATAAAATTGAAGCGACAAAAAATGTTACTTTGGAAGATACTCAGAATGTAAGATCTAGTGAACATGATATTGAGATGTTAATAGGATGTAGCATTCCTGATGAAATACTTGTTCAGCCTCCTAAAGTGTCGAAGAATAAAGGTACAGGTGTTCACGATGGCTCTGGAACTAGTGGGTCTAAAAGATTAAAGGGTGCCAAAGAAATAGCGGTTGAACAATCTAAAAAGAAAACGAAGAGGAAATGCAGTGGCTGTGGCGAGCTAGCATATCATGATATTCGGAATTGTCCTCACAAAGCATGATGATTTGTGCAGTTGTTGTTCCTTCTTATAGGAATGTTTTACTCATTTTTATGTTTGTTGTAATGGAACAATTAGTTACATTTGAGAAACATAAGTTTTAATATATGTTACATCAGTTTTGAGAAGCATCAGTTTTAAGAAACACTAGTTCTAATATATGTAACAATTGTTTCATTTATGGGAACAGTAGGAACATTCCCTGAAACATTAAGATTCGTTTTAGCATGTTTTGTAAGCATGTTTTATATAAAAAAGTTACGGAGTATATAATATTTTTCACAAAGTGTGCAAATTGATTTTATGTGGCAGCGTGTATTGATTTGACTAGTCATCTTTTTTTAAAAGTACTGGTGTGGTATTGTTGCTTTGGGAACATATTTATTGTAAAGTTAAAAAGCAACCTTACACTTGTCAGTTTCATGTGGAAACGTGTTCAGTTGTGACAGTGCATGGTTTAAATTTATTTCTTACCGTTGACAATGCATGTTGTTTCATATTGTTTCATATTGTTTCATATTACGTTACCGTTGTTTCATTTTATCTATTTATAGTTTCATTTAATAATTCTAATTATGGGAAAATAATCCAGAACATGTTTAGCTAAACCTATAATCACATTGTTTCATATTACCTAGTTGTTGTTTCATTTTATATATTTAAAGTTTCATTTAATACTTCTAATGTGTCATATTAATAGTTCACAATTGACAATAATATACGCACATCTTTACATACGAAACATAAAAAGATGTTTAGCTAAATTATCCAGGACATGCATAAAAATTTTGTATCTTACAACTAATGTGGAAACATTATAAACATTGTTTACTGATTAACATGATGAAGCTGCTCTAATGCCCAGGTCTTTGATTTGGCTATAACTTCATCTTGTAGTACGTTTGCAGGGCTTGTCAATATTTTCCCACAATACTCAATCCTCAGTTTCTTCATTATATCAGGCTGAAATATATTAACAATTCAAAATAAATACCGGAACAATGAACCATAAATTATGTATAAATTAATATAAGAATTACACAAAAACTCACATCTTTTGGGTCGAATCCAATATCCCAACATTCATCTAGCTGTCCCATGTAAGTTTCCATGTGTTTGAGAGCGTATACACCGCAGTCATTATAATTCTCATTATTCTTCCATCTCATTTCCTTCATAGTGGTATTGAATCTAGACACTCCCCGTCCATTCCCAACTTTCTTTTCATTTAGAAATTTAGCAAATGCCTTGATCTGTGTAATATGAAACAATTAGATGTACCAAGGAACAATGGCACAACAAATATATACAATGAAACAATTGATATATAATATGAAACAGGCTAAATGAAAAATGAAATATCAGATGTATGAATATGAAATAACATATTATATGTACAATGAAACATATCAAATGTATTATTTGAAACCATATATACATATATTGAAACAAATTCAATATAATAAGAAACAACAAATATATACAATGAAACAATTTATATATAATATGAAACAGCGTAAATGAAAAATGAAACATCAGATGTATGAATATGAAATAACATATTCTATGTACAATGAAACCTATTTAATTTAATATGAATTAGCAGTAATGAAAAAATGGAACATCAAATGTATTATTTGAAACCATATATATATATATATATTGAAACAAATTCTATATAATCAGAAACAGCAGAAATCAACAATGAAACACCAGATATACTAATTGAAACATCAAAAAATAAAAAATGGAACACCAGTGATGTTTAGTGAAACAGTGTCATATTTTTACCATGGTAGTTGGGAAATTGCCGTACTTTGCATCCATTTCAACACCTTCTTCTAGAAATCTGTTGTCTATAATTTGCAGTTGCTTGCGTGAAAAATTGAAACAGAACAAATAATAGCGTTCAAATGCTGGGACGAGAAAGAAAACCTATAATGAAACAATAAGTAAGTTATATGTAACATTAAGTATGTCTTTTTAAGCAAATATATATGCTAAGAATCAGTACTAGTTTAGTATCTAACCAAATCTACTTTGTCAAAAGAAGTTATTTTAGAATGATTCATCTCGTCCACCATCCTGCTCTTGAAAGCGTTGTATCTCTCTGCAAACTTGGTATTTGGAGTAAAGTACTTGTTACCGCACAACATATTCTGTTTTTTTCCAGGTAATTAATCATTGTTGTAGTTGTTAGTGTATCAAGAATATTATAATGTATCAATACTATAAAACTGAAGTATTTTATACGGAGCATAATATATTAAAAATGAAACATTGGCACTATATACAAAGAAACGATTGATATATAATATGAAACAACATAAATGAAAAATGAAACATCAGATGTATGAAACATTGGCACTATATAGTCAAACATTGGCACTGTATACAATGAAATAATTGATATATAATATGAAACAACGTAAATGAAAAATGAAACATCAGATGTATGAAACATTGGCACTATATAGTGAAACATTGGCAATGTATACAATGAAACATATTGTATGTACAATGAAATATATTTTATTTAATATGAAACAAAAGTAATGAAAAATGGAACAATATGTTAATGAAACAAATTATATGATAAATGAAACATTAGAACTTAAAAGTGAAACTGTAAAATAATTTTAGACATAATTACCCAACATTCAGAGGAGCAGAAAAAACGGTTGATAGCGCCTGGTTGCCTTCTTTTGTTTGTCATGTTAAGGATGTGGCCCTAGGAGTCTATTATATTGTTGAGCACATAGTTGTCACCTTGTAGTCCTAAAATGTCTTCCCTACTGATGAAGTTAAGCCCGTCATTGTACAGCTGCTCACTGAAATTGATGGGACAGGAAAACAATTTAATGAAACAATATGTATATAATATGAAACAATATAATATTGTATATACTATGAAACAATATGTATATAATATGAGACAAAGCATTCCAGGAAATTCTCACGATTTTGGGCCTGCACAAAAGGCATATTCGGCGGCTGTTCTTTGTAGGGCATCAATTTTTGCTGAAATTTTTTCATTCTACACCATGAATGGGGATCGAAGGTTCATAGGAAGATTTTGTGTGATTTTTTTTTCTCTTTGCATACCAGTCACTGGCTCCTCACAATGTTCCATTGTTATCTTATGAACGATGGATTCAGTGAGTGACTCCAAGTGCTGCTCCGTTGGAGATTCTTCCTGCTCTGGTGACTTTCCTTTTGCTGGGGGTGTTGGAGGCAACGCCTATGAACCTACAAACAGATTATAGTTTGGCTGGAATTCAGATAATGGAACAATGTCATGAACGGAATCATTGTGGGGTGTAGCTTGTGGGGGTACAACATTCTCAGGGGGGGGTTCATCTTGTTGTTCATCTTGTGGGGCTTGAAAATTTGCCCATGCTTTGTTCATCACATCACTGAGCTCAGATAAAAACGCTGGCTCATGAAATAAGTTCTCATCTTGAGATAGAAAACCCGGGGTCTTGATTCCTTGGGAACTCATAGTGGGTTGTACTGATGTGTACTTGCCCCATACATTTCTTATGAGCTCCTTCATCTCATCTGGGATCTCCACCTCCTCAATCAATTTGTATGCCTTGTCAATCAGTGCATACATTGACTGGACATGGCCAACAAGTTCCTTGGAAATGTTGTTGAATTCATCAAGTATAAATCCCTATAACAAACCAACAATAGCATGTGGCCAATATGAAACATCAGATTTATTATATGAAACAGCGTAGACAAAACATTAAACACTTAAAATGTATGAAGCAATAGGTATATAAAATGAAACGATAGGCATATTAAATGAACCAACATACATCTAAATCATATACATTATTTTGAACCAACAATAATATGTAATGAAACAAATTATATTTAATATGAAACAATGAAACATCATGTATATTAATTGTCATGTTTTTTTGTTTTTCTTTTTTTTTTTACCTTAACATCTTCAGGAGCAGAGGACGACGAAGGCCCTTGATTTTCTTCACCAGAATTTGTGTTTATAGCAGTTAACCTGTCGAGGACTTTACCTTGTCCAAATCCTCTCTTCTTCTCCACCTTCATTCGTTCTTGTATCATCTTCTTGTTCCAAACGGCTATTAGGGGTATTGTCCTTCGTGGTTGAGCTGTACCACGCTTCAGTCTATCAAAGTACATAACCTGTTTGAGCAAGTATGAAAAACTGTTGGTTGAAATTTTGAAACAACAGGCATATAAAATGAAACAACATACATCTTAAATATATTTGTGAAACAGAACATACATTTGATATCACATATTTTGAATATATGTTGTTACATATTTAACATATGGTGTTTCATTTTATAATAAATGTGATTTCAAATGTATGTTCTGTTTCACAATAAAATGAAACACCATCTGTTAAATATGTAACAACAGTTATATGAAACAACAGTAATATGTAATGAAACAAATGACATATAATGTGAAACAGCATAAGTAACAATGAAACATCAGGTATATGAAACAACAGTAATATGTAATGAAACAAATGGCATATAATGTGAAACAGCATAAGTAACAATGAAACATCAGGTATATATATGTTGTTCCATTTTATATGCCAACTGTTTTATATTTTAAACCAACATTTTTCCATATTTTAAACAGGTTATGTACTTTGACAGAAGATATCAAAGTACAAATACTACCAGTTCGTTTATCATATGTAACAACAAATAAACAATATGAAACAGTTGATTTTAAATATGAATATGTAACAACAGACGTTTATTATGAACTGCATATTTATTATAAGAAACATAATATATTTAACATGAAACAACTTACATAAAATATGAAACAGCTAATAGTAAAGCAAGTACTCAAATTAACAGTGTAACAGTAAGGATTATTTTAGTAACATTGTAATTCTTCAGTGAAACAGTTTATTTAGATTCTGAAACAATATCTGAATTCCAGATCTGAATTCCAGCATCTGCACAACTTACATCAGCAACTTACATTGTGTTGCTAATACTGAAACATTATATATTTAACATGAAACAACTTACATAAAATATGAAATAGCTAATAGTAAAGAAAGTACTCAAATTAACAGTGTAACAGTAAGGATTATTTTAGAAAACATTGTAGTTATTCAGTGAAACAGTTTATTAGGATTCTGAAACAATATCTGAATTCCAGTATCTGAATAAGTTACATAAGCAACTTACATTGTGTTGCTAATACTGAAACATTATGTATTTAACATGAAACAACTTACATAAAATATGAAACAGCTAATACTAAAGTAAGTACTCAAATTAACAGTGTAACAGTAAGGATTATTTTCGTAACATTGTAATTATTCAGTGAAACAATTTATTAAGATTCTGAAACAATATATTTACCATCAAGAATGGCAGAGGTCCTGTGAAGTATGCAGCTCCTTCCTTCCATTCTGCTACGGAGTTTATCAGATTCTCAAATGTGTATGTACACCAATCGTAAGTCTTAATTTGTGAGACATTCTCACAGCAATACAAAAATTTAAAATTTAATGTTGAACGAGATGTAGATCGTACACAACAATTTATGGCAGTCACAATGAAATTCCAGATGAATTCATTGGTTACATCTTCATCTTTTTGGGTCTCAATCAGCTGTATTAATGAGGTATTGGTTGGACTTCCATCATCAAATTGATCTCTCCATTTTTGCAGGAAAACCTGCGATTCTTCATCCTCTTCAATCCACTTATTGTCTTTAATTTCTCTCCCTCCAATTGGAAGACCAAATACAACATGGACGTCTTCCGGGAGGACTTCTATCTCCTCTCTATTTGGCAATTGAAGGGAGGCTCTGTCGGGGTTGAACCTTGCCACAAGCTCGTGACAAAAACTGTTTTTGTTAGAATCCAGGTCCAATAGTAGGAAGGACCCAAAGCCTACATCCCTTACAGCTTGCTTGTGAGCTTCCGGAAGTCCTACAATAACATGTTTAATGAATTTGGCTGGTGGAATACGTTGTCTAAATGCCACTTGTTCCTCCTCATCACTGTCTTCTTGCACATGTCTGATTTTTTTCCCCTTCGCAGACTGTACATTTGCTGGAGTTTCCTTCCTTTTTTTTGGCACGGGTACCACTTTTTCCTTATCAACGACCCTAATATAAAATATGAAACAAAATAGATTTAATGCATGAAACAATGTAATTAGTATATGAAACAATACATGTATTTTATGGAACATAATTAGTATAAAATGAAACAGAATTGTTATTATTCCAGAAAATGGAAAACTGAATTAATTTATATATTATAAAATGAAACAGAATTGTTTTTTTAATTTTGAAACAATAACAACAACTTATGGAACAAATCAAAATTACTCTTATAATTCAAAACATAACAACGTTCAGAAACAATGGTTCATTTTTCCGTTATAATAATTCCAAATACAGAAACACTATAACAAAATTATGGAACAAAATTAATTTGATACTAATTTTAAATCCCTAGCTGCAGTAATTTGAAAAATGCCAAAACAAAATCTATATAATTTTTGAAACCCTAAGTATAATTCGCGCGACATTAACAATAAAATTGGAAACATTACTTTGTCAATTGAGCTTCCGTCGTTGGTGGTTGTACGTTTTCCGTCGCTTGTTCGGCTGCAGCGGGAACGCCGGCCTCCTCCGTAGGGTTTTCCCCCTCCACTCCATCCAACTCTCTTCGCAACCTTTCTCTGTTAAAAACCAAACATTTTGAAAATTTAAAACCCTAACTGTTTACATTATCTTATTTTCATCATAATTTACTGAATTATAAAAAACTTACTGAAATTTCTTGAAACTCTCCTTGCTTCGGTAGTTCTTTTTCTGCGTTTGTTCTTTCATTTTGCTAACAAAATCGAGAATGGGTATTTTTGGGTAGTTTTTGGGGTTTTTATAGAACAATGTAGCAGTTACTTCCGTTTTTTTCCCAATGGAAGTTATGGGCGCGAACACAATTGAAGTAAGATAATTGGTTTTTGAAATGATGTAAATTTGTAAGAATAATCGGTGTGTAAGGGAAGCAAACCAACCGTCAGTTTTGATTAGACATTAAAATTGCAGTTTTAAATTTTCGAGGGAAAAGTGATCATTGTCTCAATAAATGCACAATGGGTATACATGTGCATATGTCTAATCTCAGCCGTTAGTTTCATAATTTTTAATGGCATAAGATTGGTTCTCATTTTAACTTGGTTCTCATATAAGGCTTGGTTCTCACATGATCCCTCCCCTATATATATATATATATATATATATATATATATATATATATATATATATATATATATATATATATATATATATATATATAAACTCTATATAGAGAACGCTGATCAATATTTTTATGTTCGGTGTTTCTCACATATATATATAACACTATACTTTTTAATTTCAACCAATAATAAGTAGTTGATCAATGTGTTTTGTTGTGAAATACACCATATTTGTTTTGATGAATTTCTTCTTATACTAATAATGATGAGGTCATGATATGATGCATGTAGTTGGTGAATGCTAATATGGAGAAGTCCCTTGATCAAGTGAAGGAGGACATCAACCAAGTCTTCATACACTACAATAACCTTAATAAGGTTGGATTAAACATCCCAATTTACTTTGGAGGTGCATTTCCTTCTCAAATCCCCCGTTTTCTTCCCAAGGAAAAGGCCGATTTAATGCCTTTCTCATCCCTAGATCTACCCTTTCTTCTACGAGTTTTCGGCTTTGCTCCAAGATCTCCTCAAGCTAGAGCCATGGACAATACGCTAAAGTTGTGTGGGATGAAAATGCACCATGAAACTAAAAAATGTGTTTCCTCCTTAGAGTCTATGCTTGATTTTATTCACGAAACATTTGACAGTTTCAGTAACAGTAATAGTGATAAAAACGATCAATCTCTTAAGGTGTTCAGTACTAGTCCTCTCCTGAAATCTACAAAACTTGTCCAAAATTATACCACAGTGAAACAACCACAACAAGTACCAAGTCCTAAAATGGTTACGTGTCATATGATGACCTATCCTTATGCAGTCTTGCATTGTACGTCATTACCCGGAACCTGAGAACCGTGTGTTCGAGGTTTCATTAAGGGGCGACGATGGAACATCGATGGATGCTATCGTGACTTGTCACATGAACACCTCTAGTTTTGACCCTAATCACGTCGCATTTCACATCTTAGGGTTTAAGCCCGGTGATTTTCCGGTTTGTCATTTCCTTCCTTCAAATGATCTAGTTTGGGTACCTAATGCTAAGAATTAAGGGAGAATTATAGGATGAATAATTCTACTCAATGAATTATTCGTCTGTTTGGATGGTTCATTTACTTTTCTAAGCGTGATTTGTATTTTGTACACATAAATTAAATAAACTTGTTTGCGTTGTTTTAATTTTCAATTGAACTCCACCAAAAAAAAATTCAATTGAATACTTTGTCCTTTTGTTTTACCAATAATGATGTAAATCAAAAATAAAATTGTGTCATGTGAAACATTAAGACATGCATAGTACTATAGTAGGAATTGTTTTTTTTTTTGTTTACTTTTTTGTAATAATGATTAACAACGCATTATTATTGTAATTGATTGTTGAAGAAGAATAATATTTATATATTATTTTTTGGCCGAAGAAAATTATAATCACGATCGATATTAACTTCATGTCTTCATTTTAGCATATATAAAGTAAAAACTAGATATTGCCTTTTAATTTCTCAACAAAAAAAAAAAAAAAAAAAAAAAAAAAAAAAAAAAATCAAAATTTGTCTTTAGGTTCCAATCCCCTTCCAATTATTGTTGCGGATGGTCGAATATGGATCCTCCCTACCAACTGTAATCCCAATCACCACTACATCAACGATCAATTGGTATTGGCGTTTATATTATACATATATAGTTGGATTATTTTGTGGTTTAAATACTTGAAAGGAAATCCATAAGTTGGAAACAACACCAAACATTGCATGACTAAAATAAAAACGTTACATACATACAGCAACTTAGTACTAATCCTTACGCATAACAAAGCATAACTGATGAACGTTCATTCTATCTTAGTACATCAAATAGACTCTAAACAAACCACCTTTATTTATTAATAGACACTTACTTAATTAGCTTACTCATAGTCAGATTAGTCTTATGCCACACTAGATAAACTACGGGGCTTGATCTAGCATACCACACCATTAGCCGGTCTGGCTAGTTGAACTTGAACCCGGTCACAACAGATTTGATAGTTGGCCAAACATCCTTGGTAGGGTTAGCCGCCCCATGGTGCCATTGTAGAACATGGTTAATCTTAGGCTCGAAATCTCTCACAAAATATTTGGCTGTGGATACCTCATCATCATGACTAGCCGCACCATGGTGCCATTGTAGGACATGGTTAGGCTTAGGCACAAAATCTTTCACAAAATATATTGGGGCTACCTCATCATCATCATGACTAGCCGCACCATGGTGCCATTGTAGAACATGGTTAGGCTTAGGCACAAAGTCTTTAACAAAATACGTTGTTGTTTCCCCATTTTCCAATTTAGGATTAGTATCCAAATATTGCCATTGATTAGGCTTAAACTTAAAGTCTTTGACAATTGAATTAAATTTGTGTACATCGTTAGACTTTAAGCCTACTAGGGCTTCAATTGCTTTCTTTCCCCAATACTCGCCGGAGTTTTGGCGTTCCTCGTTCGATTTTATGCCTGAAAGTGTTTCAATTGCTTTCTTTCCCCAGTACTCTCCAACACCGCCGTCGTCGTTACATCCATGAGCTACATTGACAACCTGTACGTATAAATATGTAAAACTATAAGACATATATACATACTACGTTTTCCTTTGTCTCATTTTAGTTGTAACTAATTTTCTAATTTGTGTTTCTCAAATTTAATTTATACAAAAGTAATCTAAAATATAACAATCATTTTTTATTGGGATTGTAATTCCTAATTTTTTAAAATAAAAACACTAAAAAATTTCATGCATGTCATTTGGTGGAGAATATGAAATATCTATCATCAATAATAACATTTAGTATTTCATTTTATCAATAAGTAAAAATATTAAAAATTGAATATTTGGAAAGTATACACCAACACAAATATAATAAAGTTGAAAAATCCCACATTTTTATTTTATTTTATTTTATTTTTAATTTTATTTTTTGTTTTTTTAAAGTATAGATGAACAAAATAAATGATAATCGTATTATGGTAAAAAGGAAAATGTTTTATTTAGGAGAATGAAGGAATTGAAGTACTTCATAGTTAACTGCAAGAAGAAGCTAATGATCCTATTAGTAAAAAAAAAAAAAAAAAAAAAAAAAAAAAAAGAAGCTAATAATCCTATATACTTCATAGTTGAAAGAAAGGTATTTAAGCCAAATATGTTCTCAAATAATATGTACCGAGTATATCTGAGGAAGAATAAAATGTAAAAAAGTACTGTAAAATTTAACCCAAAAAAAAAAAGAGTTGTAGTGCTAAAAGAAGAGGAGATAAATGATTTACCAATAGAAGTGCCAGAAGAAGAGTAGAAGTAATAGATAGCTTCATTTCCGTCAAATGTCTCCAACAACTGTTGTGTATGTTCCCCAGCCAAGCCACTTGCATAAGAGCTATATATAGACTAATATTTCATCATTTTAAAATTTAAATATCTCATGTGGTTAGAGTTTTTCTTTCAATTTCTGAGGATTCTGGGATCAGTAATTCTTGTCACCGGCTTTTATGGCTTTACTTAACCACCCAAATAATAAATTGCTCTCTTTATCCCAAAAGAAAATTGACACGGTCAAACTTTACACATATGCTGATCTATTAGTTTGACCTTATTTATATGTAATTAAATATTAATGAAAATGAAAAAAATTATAATATAAAACTTTATATTAATACCAATCTAACAACATATTTATGACAAAATATGTTTTTGTTATGTTATTCCCTCCGTGTTTTATTAATAAGCATTACAGTTTGACTTTTTTTTACTATTCACATAATGGTTTCAACTGGATTAATTTACTAATATATTAAAATCAAAGATTATTGTATAACACATTGTTGGATTCTTCGTTGTAATGTATACTTTCATATTATAAAATTTTCTATGATTTTACTAGCATATAATTAGATAAATCAATGGTCAAGTCATGTCTTGGTATGAGTATTTGGTCAATGTGTAACACTTATTAAAACACGGAGGGAGTAGTAAAAATTCATAATCAAAGTTAATACATGAATAATGAAAAAAAGTTCATCAACATCTCAGTTATTCTAGGATGAATGGAGTATTAAAAAAATTACAGTTACTATCCTTTTATGATAAGTTCAAAAGTAAATACTAAATATAGGGCATTTAATTATTTATCTAATACGTATTTACTTTAAATATTCTCTTTCCCACCCAAAAAGTTAATTATAAAATGACTTGTTAAACTAGATTGTGAAACATCTATATATAAACATGAAATTTTAATTTGAAACTGAGAAAATATATATTTAAGAGCCAGTAATTGATGCAAAGTAAGTACTCGTTATTTGATTTTAAATTATTGTTTACCCCAGGCGATGTTTCGGAACATACGTTATATGTTATTGTATTATAGTTTTCATGTATTATATATTATTGAAACTTAGGGTCTGTTCTCTTACTTTGAAATGCAGTTCATTTCAATTCAGTTCAGCTCAGTTCAGTTCAGTTCAACTCATAATTTTCTTCTCTTATAAAATATTAATTTCAGTTCAGTTCAGTTCAGCTCAGTTCAGTCAATGAAAACAGGCCCTTAGCTACCAGTGTTACATATATCCTTTTAAAGATTTTTTTAAGGCTATCATCTATTAATTTGTTACATACTCGTATATATAAACTATTGTAGTATATTATACGGCCTTTATTTTAACTTAATTGAAGAAAAAAAAAAGGTTCTAGTGAGATTATTTTAGAAAAATAAGTTTAAATGATTGATAATAAGACCGTGGTTTATGCTTCATACGCGTCCAGGCCAGTAAGTATATAACTTTTATAGAATTTAATCAAGATTAAAATGATACTGGTGTTTTGTTTATAATAAACTATGTACATACGCACTAATGTTACGTACATGTATTTCAATTATAAACGCTACAAGAAATCTTAAGAAAGTTACATCATTTAGATAGGATTAAACAAAAAAAGATTAAAATGAGTAGTGCGATCAATAATTAATCATACTACTTTCGTACAATCGTACATACATAGTAGTATATAGTTTAGGCAAAGGTTGGATAATTGTTTACACATTATCGAGTCCTAATTTTCTTTTAAATCTCCAAGTACATGTGTCTACTCATAAACTGAAATAAATTCTAACTTAAAATTTTACTCTAACTTTTTTTTGAATTGGATTTATTTATAAAATTGACATTTGTTTTAGTCACCTTACTTCCACTTAAATCATTAGAGTAAATTTAGATAAAGTTAATAAGTTCAAAAATATTTTGATAAGATAAATTCATTGAAATTTAAGTTTTAATAAGTGTTATATATTTTAAGTTCATTCTATAGCTAAACTTCAAAAAATGTTGCGTAGACCTGGTCTACAATAATATTATTGTGGACCTAAAGTTTATACACACGTAACTGTTATTATATTCAACATAGTGACCCTTAATTTTAATATAGTAATGACCTTATTTTAAACATGGTAACCTTTTTTAAAACTTGTGTGACCTTTAATGTTATGATGAACTTTAAGTACGACATTATGTTGAATATAGACTTAATTTTAATATAGTGGTCTTTAATAATAATATTACCATTATACTCAAAATTTCATTAAAAAAATGGAAAATGTTACACATAGCCCAAGGCTATATATAAGCATTAAATTTACACTTGAAAATCGTAAAAAGTTGAGAAATCATCAAAATATAAACACTAATAACACTGATATGTGTGTTTTTGTCATGAATTCCTAATTTTATGCAATTTCCAAGAATATATTTAATGTTTATATTTAGCACTTAGGGCTACATATAACATTACCCTAAAAAATTAACCTCTTATAGCTTATGTTAATATAGTGACTTTTTTTTTTTATTAACAAAACAATCATATTGTCTCTAATATTGGTGGTCCACAATAAATTAGTGTGAACCAGGTTCATTTAAGAATTTGTAGCTAAACTTTAGTTTTAATAAGATATTAAGTTGTAATAATTATATATACTACGTATATGTTAAGAAAAGTATAAATTATGTGAGTAATATACACCCTACCCTAAACTTCGACAAATGATAGATGGATATCAAAGAGAATTTGTAAGAGGAAATTACAAATCAATTAATTGTTGTATCTCTCAATTAGATGTTCAAAATAATATGGGACCAATGAAAAGTTTCGAACATCACATGCGTTACTTCCCTCAATTATATCTCTCTCTTGCATTGCATGCTTTTATTTTTGGATAGAATTCTTTCAAAACTTGTTGGAAATAGACTTATAAAAATGCCAAGTGTTAAACCTAAACCAACCAAATTTAAGAACACAAATTGCAATGCATGAATGCTCAAAGACATGCATGCAACATGCAAGACGTACAATTGGTCATTTTTCATCAATTTCTTTAAAATATGTTCCCAAGCCTTTTAACAATATCAAGACAATCATGACCGTTAATAATTTATCCAAACAATCTTATCTTTTAATCTGCAATAGCTATACATGCGCATGCACAATAATAGGCTTATAGTTATGCATAGTATATAGACATGCAAGACGTACAATGTCATTGATTATCTGTTTTTCTAAATAATTCTTTTAATATTTTACGTGCTATGTTTATTAAATTACTTTTGTTAATTCAATCAAAATATCATAATACATAATTACAAATTTTTATACGTTGATAGTCACACCGTGTGGCCGGATTTACTCGAGTTATTCGATCATGAGTTATTCGAATTATTCAGTCAGGTATTATTTGAGAGGTTCGGTCAGGGGTTACTTGAGGGTTTGGTCAGAAGTTACTCGAGGGGTTCGATCAAAGTTACTTTAATTGAGGGGTTGCTTGATCAGGGGTTACTTGAGGGGTCGAGTATCTCCTGATCTGACTGAGTAATTCGAGTAACGAACCATGACCACACGGTGTGGCCAGACATATAGAAAAATCCCCATATATAATAACAAATTAACAATAAGAAAATTTTCGTTAATTGGAGCTTGATATTACAAAATACTACCCATGGAGACAATGTGTTAATGTGGTCGGTGATTATGAGTGAAAAAGTGAGTGTATAAAAAAATGAACATTATAAGAAAGGGTAAAATGGAAAAGTATAATTAAATATCATGAGGAAAGAGGGATAATAGGGTAAAGTATTAAATTAGGTTTGTCAAAAACTCAAAACTATAATAAAGTTAAGTGTAAGGAAATACAAAAGAGAGTCAAATTCATAAATTACGTGAATAATAATATAGATGGTGAATAGCAATGTTACCATAAACAACTTTATCTTTTATACCTAAAACTAAAAATTCCAGCTATAACTATTTCATTTTACTTGTCTCCTTACAACAGGTAGAAAAATAAAATAAAATTAATTAATAAAATCCAAAAACAAAAATGGACTAATAAATAATGTAGTTTTCATATTTTAAAATTTTACTTTACTAGATAAATAAGACCATCTTTGAATTGGAAGTGTACGTCATACTTCCTTTGTTATTTGCCGTTTTTTTTCTTTCAATAACTCGGGATAGAGTTATTGCATTACTTTTTGAAAACAGACTAATTGCAATGCCAAGTGTTAAACAAACTATAAATTAACTGTTATTCATGCACATGCATATTGATAGGCTAATAGTTATGCATGCATAAAGATAAGTACAAATGCAATTCATACAATTGTCATTAGTTTTATGGTTTTTTATTTTTATTTTTATTTTTATTTTTATTCTTTTTTTATTTTATTTTTTTTAAATAGATTAAAACCTAATTTTTTTTAAAGCGAACAACATTCCATATAATTTGATATTGACTATATAACACAGAAGTCTATAACATATATTGTAATAAAGTCAATAGAATCAACTATCTTAAATGGTACGAGTAAAAAAAAAAAGAGGGGTTGGTTGGTAGTTTGGTACACATCAAATTGTAGATAAATTCCACTGGCCTTTTATGACCAAAGGGCAGAGTTATGTTCAAAATAATTCAATGAGATTGGATCAAATCCTAAATTTTAAAAGTTTAAAAAAAAAGACTTACAACTGAAATAAATTACTTAATGTGTGAAGAGATTTGGAGCAATTTGAATACACATATTTATGTAGTTCAATATACGTTATACATTTATACATGTGCAAGATATGTGTAACGTAACATATTTTAGGGAGTAAAGGGAGCAAACTTCGTCTAACAATCCTTAATGATGCTCGCTATTAACCTTAAAACTAGGATGACATTAACATAAGTTTCACCATCATGTACCCCTTCTCGCTAAATTATACTCCCTCCATTACATATTACTCGCAACAAATGAATATTTTATTTCTCACAAATAATACATCTTTGTTGCGAGTAATTCGTAACGGAGGAAGTATATCTAACTATCCTTAAATAATAATCTGTCTTGTTTCTCACAAGTCTCAATACTAAATACTACCTCCGTTTTTTTTAGTTGACACCTTTTTCTTTTCACGCTTGTCAATGTACTATTTTAACGTTTAATATCTTTATATCTCAACATTGTAAAATTATAAAAAGTATATTTTAATAAAATATACCTTGAGACGATTCAAACAAGATCCCACTTGATTATATTTTGTCATAGCTATTAATCATAAAAGTTAGTCAAAGTGTAATTAATGAATAGTGTAAAAGTCAAATAATATCAACTAAAAAAACGGAGAAAGTATCTCAAACATGGTGTGAATTTTAATTTATGTGAGAATCTTGATTTGAATTAGTCTTAATTTAAAATTAAAATTAAAATTCACATCAATTCAAATATTTTCCGATCCGATGACATTAAGAGTCTTAAACTCCTCATTCATCTTAATATCATCGGATCGGAAAATATTTGAATTGATACACACATCCAAGGAACACCTTATTTTGCTACAGTAACTTACATAGTATTGATGGGTGAACACATATATATGCTACAGGCTTAAAATCTAACTATTTCTCAATCACTCTTACATAATGTATGAGTACATGATAAAATAAGAAATAATAATACAAAAATCAATCAGTGTGATATGATTAATTAACACTCTATTCTCTTCAACTTATTATGATTTTGATTAGAAAAAAAAAATATATATTCAATTTTTACATTAACATATTCAGACATACAGAGTAATAATTTTGCAGCAACTTTTGTTAAGATGATTTAAGAATGAACCGAAGAAATTGAAGAGACTGTAGACTAGATGTCTTAAAATCCTCTCTTTTAAAATTTACTTATCCATATTTTCTTTTCTTTGTTATCATATAGAGTAGGCCCATAATTGAATAAATATTTACTTCTTATCCGCTTATAAATAGAAACCCAAGTTTTTGACCAATGTACTCAAATCATAAGCAACATCCACAAACATCTCATCCAATCAACTAACAAAATGAAGATGTTTTTGGGTTTCCTAAGTTCAGCCGTACTCCTTTTGGTGGTAATTTCTCTACTCCCAGCTTAAATTGTTTAGCGATATAAATTGCAAGTCTTATTTATATGTACAAAAAAAAAAAAAAAAAAAAAAAAAAAAAAAAAAAACCTACTTTAATTTAGGAAAAGTCCATATTTTGAATTAATTTACAACATAATTTAATACATCCTACATATACTAATATTTATATTTGAAATGTTATTGGATTTGTCGCGGTATATTTTCATATTATCAACTTTTTATAATTCCGTTCCATGCAGGTTGTGAGTGCTAGAGATGTTGATTTCACCAAGAAGTCCGAGTTCAAAGAATCCGACTATGTATTCTTCAACTACAACGACCTCAAGGTCGGAGCAAAAATGCCAATTTACTTCGGAGGTGCATTCGACACCGAAATCCCACATTTTCTTCCTAAGGATAAAGCCGAAATGATCCCATTCTCATCCCAAAAACTCCCATTCCTCCTTAACTATTTCGGTTTCCAACCCGAATCACCTCAAGCTAAAGCCATGGAATACAATCTCAAAAAATGCGAGGGAGAAATCCCCGACGCTAAAGGAGCCAAAAAATGTGTCACCTCCTTAGACTCCATGATCGATTTCGTTCGCCAAACCTTTAAAACTAGTTCTACAAACAACGGTGGTCAATTATTTGATGACCTTAAGGTGTTGAGTACTAGTCCACTCCCGAAATCGGCTAAAGTATTCCAACCTTACACAATCATTGAACAACCAAAAAATAGTACCTAGTCCTAAAATGACCGCGTGTCACATGCTGACTTATCCTTACGCGGTGTACTATTGCCATAACCCTGACCCTGAAAACTGAGTTTACGAAATCAGTTTGGTGGGTGAAGATGGTACTCGTGTTAATGCGATTGCTAGTTGCCACATGAATTCAAATGCATTTGACGCTGATCTCGCCGTGTTCCGTATGTTTAACACACAGCCTGGTTCACCAATGTGCCATTTCCTTTTCTTCTGATGGACTACTTTGGGTGCCTGCTAACCCATCCTCGGTCTAATTGTACTGCGGCTACTAGTACGAGTTCATTTAATGAGGCAAGAAAGATGGTACTTCACTCTAATCGGAATTGAATAAGTCGATCTGTTAGTGTTGTTTTGTTCTTCTTTTGATGTATGTTTTTATTATCGATCAACCGTGTACTTAATCATCGATTAATAAAATCTTGTTTTATGTACTTGCTATTATGTTTTATATTTTTTGTATTTCCTTTGTTCACTCTTAGTTGCAACGTTTTACACGCGCCAATCACCATTTTCCTGGAATGATCAGTTTGAAATTTTTCATTGTAAAACTTTAAATTTCAAATATCTTTAATCAAATAACTAACATTAATAAAAATAAATTACACTATGAAAGCATAAACCAAGTCGAATCTGATAAAATCTTAAGTAATTACTAGATCTGTCAAAAGTTGATCCGACCCGAAATACCGACTCAAATCCGATTATTAACCGACCTATCTGAACCCAAAAAAATGGTGACCCAAACCTGACCAGACTCGACCTGAAACCAACCCTAGACCCGAGTTGACCCGAGTATGTGATACCCAAACCCGAACATATATGAACTGACCTGGAGATAACCCGACCCGAATGTAACACGTAATTTATTGACCTGAACCGAACCTGACTTGAACCGAAATTGACCCAAACCTGTTTTAACCCGTCAAAACCCGAATTTAACTCGACCCCAAGATGTATTCCCTAGAATTTCAAGACTTTTCGACACCTGAACCGATTACTCCAAAAATTCTCAAAAAGCATAGATATAGCATTCAATAATTTATGAATTTTTTGACTTTTTTTTGCCCGGAAATAAAAATTTCCGAAATGTTCACCAAGGTGTCTAATACCCTCCGGGAGTCCAATTGGGTAGGTATAACCATCCAATTTGCCTTTAAATGACCAATTTACCGGTTTACAACTTGCGCCGATTTCATTAACTCAAGTCTACCACAAACACTTATGACAACATATAATGATCATATATGGTTCCAAATGCCATTATATGACCCTAAGATGTATACCCTATAATCTAATGACTTTTCGACACCGGGCCACGAAACCTCCAAAATTTCTTTAAAAACGTGGATATTAGCCTTCAATTTTGGAATTTTTTTACTTATTTTCGCCCAGGAATAAAAATTGCCGAAATGTTTACCATAGTCCCTTATATCCTCTGGGAGTCCAATTGGGTGATTGGAACCATCCAATTTGCCTTTAAACGGCTAATTTACCAAATTACAACTTGCACCAATTTCATTAATTCAAGCCTACCACGAACATTTATGACAATATATAATGATCATATATGGTTTCAAACGGCATTATATGACCCCGAGATATATCCCCTAAAATCTCAAGTCTTTCCAAAACCGGCCCCGAAACTTCAAAAAAAAATTCAAAAATCGTGTTTCAATTTTGGAATTTTTTTACTTTTATTCGCTCGGAAATAAAAATTGCCGAAATTTTTACCATGGTCACTAATACCCTCCGGGAATCCAATTGGCTAGGCGGAACCATCCAATTTGCCTTTAAACGACCAATTTACCGGTTTACAACTTGCACCGATTTCATTAACTCAAGCCTACCACGAACATTTATGACAACATATTATGATCATATATGGTTCCAAACGGCATTATATGACCCTGAGATGTATCACCTAAAATCTCAATGCTTTTCGATACTAGGCCCCGAAACATTCGAATTTTCTCAAAAAGCGTGGATATTAGCCTTCAATTTTCGAATTTTTTTGACTATTTTTCGCCCGGATATAAAAATTGCCGAAATGTTTACCATGGTCTCTAATACCCTCAGGGAGTCCAATTGGGTGTTTGGAACCATCCATCTTTTAAATGACTAATTTATCGGTTTAAAACTTGCACCGATTTCATTAATAGCCTACCACGTACATTTATGACAACAAATAATGATTATATATGGTTCCAAACGACATTATATGACCCCGGGATGTATTACCAAAAATTTCAAAACTTTTCGACACCAGACTCCTAAACCTCCAAAATTTCTCAAAAAGCGTGCGTGGATATTAGCTTTTAATTTTGGATTTTTTTTTTTTTTTTTTTTTTGCCCGTAAATAAAAATTGCCGAAATGTTTACCATGGTACTTAATACCCTACGGGAGTCCAATTGGGTGTGTGGAACCATCCACTTTGCTGTTAAATGACCAATTTACCAGTTTAAAACTTGCACCGATTTACCGGTTTAGAACGGCTAATTTAATTAAATTGCATCGAGCCTGACTTGGACTGAAATTTACCCTAACCCATTTTAACCCGTCCTAATCCGTTTTAATCAAAACCCGAATTTAACTCGACTTGTTACTAACCTAACCTATATTCAGCCCGACCCGTTTCTAACCTGACCCGAATTTAACCCAACCTGTTACAAACCCGACCCGAAATCAACCCGACTTGTTATTGACCTGACCCAAATTCAACCCGACCCGAATTTTGCCAGACTTATTACTTACTCGACCCAAAAATTCAATCGATCTGTTACTAACTTGACTCGAAATTAACACGACTTGTGATTGACCCGACCTAAATTCAACCCAAATTGTTCCTGACCCGATTTCAAATCACCTTAAATACAATTTAGACCACCTTATTGTTGTTGATCAAAACATTTTGTATATGAAGACCAAGTCGGTCTAGGCCAGCAAAAGAAAGGAGCATCATCCTCAAATTTAAGAGTTAAATATAGTATATATTTGTTGTATGGCCAAAGGAGATAATTATCTTCCTAAATTATAGACAATAGTTCCCTAGTATATCGTCATATATATTATAGTCAAAGGAAATAATTAGCTTTATAAAAATGATAATTATCTATTTATAGTTAGTTGAACCCGAATATGACCTGACTTGGAAATGATTCGACCTGATTGTAACCTGTAAATTATTGACTTGAACATAACCTGACTTGAATCCGAGAATGACCCGACTTAGATTCGTTGATTTAAAGATTCTTCTCTATTATCCTTTTTTTTTAACCATTTTGCACATTTTCAAGCTAAATAATAATTGTAAAAAAAATATAAAAAAAATTGGAATGTATTATTGCATTAAGTTCAAAGATAAAAGAACAGATGAAGTAAAAATATTGTATACCTCAATTTCTAAATACTCACAACACTTTTTTTTTTTTTTGTCGGTTTAGAATATTTGCAACACTTTCTATTTGATGACTTAAACCACTACATATTGTTTCTTCCTCCCAATAAGCCACTTCACAAATATTTAATTATTTATCCCTTTCACTACTCAATTAATCCTTTATTATTCTATCACCTATAAACTATTAAAAATACTCTCATTAAGGACATGTTCCAATAAATTCAATACAGTTCAGTTCTATTCAGTTCAGTTCCATTGTTCAATAAATTCAGTCCAGTTTAGTCAATCGGACCCTAAAAGCACATATATTGATACACATAAAATTATTCATTTTCATACATTATCCACAACACTTCTAAAAATCACCTTCAAACTCAAATATTGCAAACAATGTTTAAAAAATGGAGGTAGTAGTTACTCATCCATGTCAGAAAAAATTCCCCGGGATATTCAAGAATGTCACGCGTTACTTCAATTCCCCCAATCATTTCTCTTGCAATGCATCCTTTTTTCATTTTTATTTAAAGACAGGATTCTTTCACTACTTGTTGAAAACAGACTAATGAAAATGCCAAGTGTTAATCTAACCCATAAACTAAGAATTATATATCTAGCCTTTAACAATGGCTAGATGATCCTGGCCCTTAACATTCTCCGGAGCTATGCATGCACATGCATAAATAGGCTAATAGCTATGCATGCATTGTATATATAGACATGCAATACGCACAATTGTCATTTCTTATCTTATTATTTTTTTAATACTATTGTTTTATTTTTGTTTTTTAGAAATAAATTAGGAACCAATTAAGTTTGTCAAATAAATTAAAATTAAGGATGATAAGATTTAACCAATAGGCTATGGACTTAATTTTCAGGTCTATATATTTCCATTTATTAATATGCAATTGTACAGGGATACCATTAAATATTGCATGATTTAGTAATTGAAACCTACTTCAAATCTTCAATAATGCATATCTTTAACCGTTTATATTGTTAATTAAAAAAAATTACAATGTGAAAAATATAAATTAAAATGAATAAAACAAGGCCTAAATAATTATATTTTTCCTTACGAAAAAATAGGGATTATAGTGTGAATATGAAAATGTTTCATCTTAAAAATGGAATAATATGTAAAATTAAGGTCATGAAATCAAATCTTAAACAAAGATTGTTTAAAGGTTTTCTAACACACTACGAAATTATAATAATCACTCTTTACTTGACACACCTTTTTTTTTGGAAAGCTTGGGGCTTTATTAATGCAAAGTCAAAGTATTTTAGAGCATGTAAGGGGTAATTAATCTTATATGAACAATGATTAACCTAAATTTGCTCTACTCCAAAAGCACTAATCTAGCGAGGTAATGAGCAACATAATTGCACTCAATGCATCAACTTTAGTTGGACACACTAATTACACTCAATGCATCAACTTCTTTAGACTACACACTACTAGTTACACTCAATAACACACTCAAAATTTAGAAGGATCAAATCAAATTAGAGAACAGACTAAAATTTTATAGACCAATTAAACCTTAATATTGCCTTACCAAGTACGGAGTATACATTTATTAAGAACATGCACTTGTTAAAAATCTACAAAGTACTACTTGTATTATTTCTTTTTTACCCAATTCCTATAGTGTAGGCCCCATGCTTGATTAAATTACTAATTCTTATCCGCTTATAAATAGCAACTCAAGTTTTTGACGAATGTACTCAAAACTAAAACTAATATCCACAAACATCTCACCCAATCAAATCAACAAGTAAGATGAAGATGTTTTTGGGTTTCCTCAGTTCAGCCGTTCTGTTTTTGGTGGTAATTTCTCTATCTACAAACTCTTAGTCATATATTGTTGAGCAATATATAATGTTATTTGTACATATTATAAGGAAATACTGTATACTTTAATTATTTACGTACCATATATTAATATATGAATGCATGCATGCAGGTTGTGAGCGCTAGAGATGTTGAGTTCAGCAAGAAGTCTGAGTTCAACGAGGCAGACTATGTGTTCTTCAACTACAACGATCTCAGAGTCGGCGCGAAAATGCCAATTTACTTTGGTGGTGCATTTGATTCTGAAGTCCCAAATTTTCTACCTAAGGAAAAGGCTGATATGATCCCTTTCTCTTCACAAAAACTTCCCTTTCTTCTTAACTATTTCGGCTTCCAGCGGGAGTCTCCTCAAGCGAAAGCAATGGAATACAGTCTCAAAAAGTGTGAAGGTGAAATCCCTGATGCCCAAGGAGCCAAAAAATGTGTTACCTCTTTGGACTCTATGATCGATTTTGTTCGTGAAACCTTTAAAATTAGTAACACCGGTAATGGTGGTCAGTTGTTTGATGATGTTAAGGTATTGAGTACAAGTCCACTCCCAAAATCCGCCAAAGTATTCCAACCTTACACCATCATTGAACAACCTAAAAGAGTACCTAGTCCTAAAATGACCGCTTGTCACATGCTGACTTATCCCTACGCCGTCTACTATTGCCATAACCCTGACCCTGAAAACCAAGTGTACGAAATTACTTTGATGGGTGAGGATGGTACTCGTGTTAACGCTGTTGCTAGTTGCCACATGAATTCTAAGGCCTTTGACCCTAACCTAATGGTCTTCCGTATGTTTAACACTCAGCCAGGCTCCCCTGTTTGCCACTTCCTTTCTTCTGATGGTCTACTTTGGGTTCCTGCTAACCCAACCTCGCTCTAGATTGAACTACTGCTACTTCTAGTGCACGTTGATTTATGATTCAAGAAGATTGGTACTCCACTTTCATAGTCGGATCCCCTCTATCAAGTAAGGAAAAGTCGAACTGTTAGTGTTGTTTTGTTCTTGTTTTAACTTTCTAATGTTTTAACTTGGTCATGTACTCATGTAAAGGACTCCCATAAACTAGCAAGTGTAGCTAGTGTTAATTGGGTCCTCTAAGTGTCTGTTTTTATCAACAGATGTGTACTTATCATCGATTAATAAAATAAACTTTGTGTACGTACTACTGTGTCTTCATTCTACCTTTAACTCAGATTAAAAGTCACCAGATATCGAGTTCATATCAAAGATAAACAAACTGATTTTCATAAACTAGAAGCCAGTGCTACTGATAACATATACAGATAACAGACCATCTGAAATATACTCATATAAACAAGCTGTTCAAAATGATACTCATATAGTCATATGTACAAATTTGTACACGAATTCAGGCAAACAACATGTAATATAAACACTAAATGGTCTGTTGAAACGACATGTATTACCTGATCTAGTGCAAAATCTCCCAATGCAAGCTTTGCTGCTAAGTTGACCGATTATCAGTTTTCCATGAGTACCATGACAGGGCAGTATTGATGCAGGAGACCAAATAATGGCTAGCAAATTTCGTAGATGAATGCTTCCGTATATATCTCAGGTCGAACATACAACAAGAGATCGTGTCATTCGTTAAGTTTGAGTCATCCATTAGCAAATCGAAACCCATCAATACACATCTCTAGCAGAACTTGCTTACAATATCACATAGGATCAGTTCTGTAACCCGGGTTTGATATTATCATCCTTACAAAACTGTTCCTGTTAGTATTCATCATGTTATTTCTAGCTTCAGACTACCACAGGCAAGCCTGACTTCATCCATTACTGATTTCTGTGGTTTCAGACCTGCAGCCTTCATTTCGTACAAGGTCTTTAAGGCGTCAATGTACGATCCATGGTGTATAAAACCAGTAACCATAGCGTTCCAACACGCATTGTTTCGTTTCCTGTGATCCATACTGTCAAAAACTCTCTTAGCATCATTCAACAATCCACATCTACCATACATGTCAATAAGAGCACACATCACAAAAACACAACTGTCCAACCCGAGTTTTATAGCATTAGCATGAACTTGTTGTCCAAACAATCCACCATCACCAACTCTTCCACAAGCCTTAAGAACATTAGAAAATGTATACTCGTTCATCCTAACTCCGGCCTCGCCCATCACCCGAAAAAGTCTTATCACCTCTCCAAAACATTGTTTGCGGCCATTGTTAACAATAACACCAGTCCAAAGCACAGTATCGCGGTGATCAACCACTCGAATAAGGTCAAAGAACACATGATTAGCCTCCATTAAACACCCAGATTTTCCATAGAATTCAACCAAAGCAGTATCAACCACTAATCCTCTATCATAACCCATTTTAAGCATCCACCCATGAACCATCTTCCCTAAATCAACCTCCTTTAAATGTACACAAGCCTTAAGAAAACTAACCAAAACAATTTCCAAACCCGAATCAAACTCCTGATAAACAAAATATCGATGCATATTCACAAACAACTCCAAAGCTTCCTCAAAAAGATGATTATCAATAAGGGCAGCCATCACAATAGCCAAAGAAATAAAATTTCTGTGCGGCATTTCATCGAACAGTTGGTGTGCAACATCAAAACAACCGCAACTTACAAGCATCAATAAAATTCGATTAAGCAAACACAACCCAGAAGAACCCTTTAAAAACCTAACAATCCCAGCATTTTTCTTCATGTGGGTATAAATTCCTGCTGCTTCAATGGCGTCTTGCTTTTGGGTACATTCAACAACAAGAGAAGCATAAATATCTGGGGTAACAACAACTCCAAGACCATCCATTAAGCGTAGAACATCAAAGATTCTGTTATTTATATTGCAAATTTGATTATTTTGATGTTGAGGCGGCGACGGCGGCGGCGGTGGCGGTGAGATGGTGGTGGTTTTATGCAGGGGTTGTCGGAGAAGGGTGGTTTTAAGAGGGAAAATGGGTTTGAGAATTGAAGGGGGGTGTTTTTGTTTTGGGGTTGGTTGAATGAAACGAGTAATGGAAGTTGTAGTTGTAATTGGGGAGTTGAGATTAATGAGTTCCATTATTCTCCACCATTTGCGTTTGGGTTCAAGGGATTGTCATACAAAAATAAGATGCACTCGACTACTTGTACTCTTTGTAGGTGATAAAGAACAATGTATCAATTTGAGGATTTGGGTCGGGTTATTTGGTCACGCCACTCATGTGGTGCGGATGTAACCAAATCAAATTAAGATGTGATTTTTTAAGTTAAAAAAATCCATATTAAAACAAAGTAAGACTTTTGGAAAATTTGCAAATTGCAGGCATTTAAAATTCGTATTTTGCAAATTGCAGCCATTTAAAAAAAATTTGCAAATTGCAACCCAAAAGTTCATATAAATTGTAAATTGCAGTCCGATTCAACTTTTTCATCGGTTTACAAGTCGAAAAATCTTCGATTAAAGTTTTAGGGGTCATTAGGGTTCCGAATTGAGCTCGGAATTAGCAAAAAAAATAACGCAAGTATCTCGTTTTGCGTAACAAAAATGTATCAATTTTTGGGAAATTGTAAATATGAGATACTTACGTTATGTTTTTGCTAATTACGAGCTGAATTTAGGTCCCTAAAGGCTAAAATGACCCCTAAGACCTTTATTGAAGATTTTTCAACATGTAAACCGATGAAAAAATTGAATCGGACTGCAATTTACAATTTATACGAACTTTTGGGCTGCAATTTGCAAAAAAAAAAAAATGGCTGCAATTTGCAAAATATGAACTTTAAATGGCTGCAGTTTGCAAATTTTCCAACATTTTTTGTTGACTACAAAGGAATAGTTTAAATTTTTAACATGTTAAATTTCAATTACTTATTAAGGCCCTGTTCTCTTCACCTTATTTTTGCTGAACTGAAATTATTTTTAGTGAAACAAAATTATATTTGCTGAACTTAAATTATTTTTACTGAACTTAAATTAATTTTACTGAACTGAAATTATTATTGCTGAACTGAAATTATTTTTACTGATTTTCTATTATAATTCTTCTTTAAGAAAACCGAATTTAACAATTTTTACTGAATTGAAATTATTTTTACTGAACTGAAATTAATTTTACTGAACTGAACTTATTTTTACTGAATTGAAATTATTTTTACTTAATATTATTTTTTTTAAGGTGAAGAGAACAGGGCCTAACTTTTACATTAGTTACAATTTTTTTTTTTTTTTTTTGATGGGGTTACAATTTTTTGATAACAATTGAATTATATTTCATTTATAATGCTTTCCCTTTCCTATGTTTTTCCGCAAAATATATATGGTGACAATATAAAATACAAATGGTGATGAAACTATTTGCTAGCTTTAATTTATATCGTTTATAAGTAGAACAAAATGGTAGATTCTTGGCTTCCTTAACACCTTAATGTCTTGGCGGCTTGGCCCATTAATTAGTTAAAATCAAGGACTTATGTAGCTGTATACAATAAGTTACAAGTCATATCCCTCCATCATCATTTATATTTTGTATTGTCTTTGTGGCTCATTTGGACCGACTAAAAAAAAAGAATTCCGCGGTCTTTGTAGTTAGTAATTATGAAAAATTATCTCTTGATTGAAAACAAAGAGTTGTTTATTCATATGTATTAAGGATGTAAGCCATATTCTCGTGTATGTATGATTGGAGATTGGACATTTGCGTGCATAACCCTAACTTTTATGCATTGATTTTTGAAAAAACTAAATATAACCAGTCACCACTCCCCAATGTTTGTTAATCGATTATTATGCAAACCAACCAAAGATAACACCCAAATGACCCCATAGTACGTTCATAAACAAGATTTTATTAGTCGATGATTAAGTACACGGTTGATCGATAATAAAAACATAAACTTAGTACCCAATGTACGGGATATACCGGTAGTATCATAATATGCCGGTAAAAGAGTGCCTTGCAGTTTAAAGAAATGGTTAATCATTGAATAATTCATGTCCTTACCGGCATTAGTCTCTACCACATGGAGAGTTGCTTCTCGGAACGTGGCATGCCCCACTGACACGTGGAGAGCTGCTTAGTGCCGCGTAAGCACCTGCTAGTACCAAGGTCGGTGTGCCACCTATCTGTATAGGTGGCACCTGCTTGGTTGCGTTCCTATAAATACCCAAACAAATTCTCATTCCAAAGGTAGAATTTCTCTCTCTCTCTAAAACACTTTCTCTCTCTTCTTTCACTTTCTTCTCACAAAGGTACTGACTTTAGCATTGGAGTGGTTATTCCCGGATAACCCCCGAGCTAGCTAATCTGTATTGGCTGTGTAGGTGAGCAATTGGACGGTAAACCATTACCAGCCCTCAGGCAGTAACGGAAGCAGAATCCAGCTGGAACAATTGGCGCTAGAAGGAGGGGAAAGTAATAACTTCTATCGTCCAAAAGGACCTCTCACAGTCATGGAAGGAAGTAAGGAAACTTTAGTACCGGTGCCTGAAGTTGATAACCGGCAATATGACAACGGCAATAAAACCGTGCTACCAGAAATCATGGTCGAAGATGAAACTCATCTCCTTCACGGTAACACAATGAACAGACCCGTAACACCTGACCGTAGTAGAGCATTAACCCCAGATCCCCTGGAGGGGTTTACCCCGGAAGTGCTAGAGATAACGGCCAAGGTCATGCGGGCTATGTCTAAGAAAAGAAAGGAAGCCGAGTTAGCGGCAGGGGGAATGCGGGATGAGGTACCGACAAAGCCGTTGATAGTGAACTTGGAGAGTCAGTTCAATCAGGCGGGACAACAACAACCGTCAAGAAACCGGGGCCGAGAAACAATACCGATTGAGCGCCAACTCACACAAAGCGCTCAGGTAGGGGATTCAGGTTCTTACCGGCACGAGGTCTCTGGTGGCTTGGAAAGGCGGACATTCAGGGCGATCATCAGGCCCAGAATATCTCCATTCACACAAGAGGTACTTGACCAACAAATGGAGAAAATAAAGATGTCGTCCTGTACGTATGACGGTAAGGGGGAACCAAAGCGGTATGTGGCTGCGTTTGAAAGTCACATGTTGCTATATACCGACACCAATGCTGTGTGGTGTAAAGTTTTCCCTACGACTCTTATCGGCTCAGCTTCGGATTGGTTCTCCAATTTAGAGCCGGGATCAATTGACTGCTTTGAGACCCTTGTGGAGTTGTTCACAGGTCAGTACATAAGTAATAGTGCGAGACAAAGGACATCTGGCGAGCTCATGGCTATTCGAAAACGAAAGGATGAGTCGCTCAGGGATTTCATTAGACGCTTCAACAACGAGGCTAACACTATACCAAAATTGCAGCAAGAAATTGCCGTGATGGCACTGATGAATGGGCTGGAGGACAACGAATTCAAAAAATATATGTCGCGGAAGTCTTTCCCAAACTTAGGGGTAGCATTTGCTAAAGCTCATGAATACATAAAGAGTGAGGAGCTGCTGAAAACGAGCCGTCAGATATCGTCGGCAGAGCCCTCCAAAAGGCAAAATGATAATAGCTCGAATTCTCAGATGGGTGGGATAAACAGGGTGCTGCCGCAAGGCCAACAGAGATTCGGAAGGCCGACACGGGGATTGGGTCGTTATAGTAGTTATACGCAGTTAAACACCCCGAGAGCGGCAATATATTCAATAAACCAGAATAGAGAGGATTGGAGTCGACCGGCACCGATGATAACGAAGGGCCGAGACGTGAAGAAATATTGCATGTTTCATAGAGACGTTCGTCATTACACCGAAGAATGTGTTCAGTTAAAAGAGAACATTGAAGATCTCATAAGGAAAGGGTGATTATCCCAGTATCGTACCCAGGCAGGCCTCGGCCGACAACAAAATTCACAGCCTAAACAAATCGAATACCGAAAGCAGGAAGATCCATCAATGCAAGATGATACTTACAGACAGAATCACGCGGAAACATCTAGACAACGAGGTAATCCGACAGGGCGTAAAATAACAATTGACGTTATTACGAGAGGGCCAGTATATGGAGGTTCCGTAAGCGGGGCCAAGAAGAGTTTGTCGGAATACCGACACCTAGTTAATGCTTTGAGCGTAAGGAACGACCTCGGTCTTCTTCCATGCTTTCGATATCTTTTTCGGAAGAGGATGCTAAGGGAGTAATTTACCCTCATGATGATCCGTTGGTGCTAATATTGACGGAAAATGGAGCAGATATCAAGCGGGCACTCGTTGACGGCGGAAGTTCCGCAAATATCCTGTTTGCTAGGGCTTTTGATGCCATGAGGATTGGCCGAAAATACTTGACGCCAGTGTCCTATCCCGTGATAGGTTTCAACGGATCGACGGTAAGACCAGAAGGTAGTATTGTTCTTCAGGTTCGAATGGGAGAGGGTCCGGCAGTAAGAGACGTTATGGCGGAATTTTTGGTGATTGATGTGCCATCCGCTTACAACGCCATTGTCGGCAGGCCTCTAATTCATGACATGCAAGCTGTGGTCTCAACGTACCACTTGACGATGGTGTATGTATCCAACGCGGGAACGACAGAGCGCGTACGGGGTAGTCAAACTATGGCAAGAGAGTGTTATGTATCGGCACTGAAGCAGCCAGGCCGACAACCAACTTGTGAACAGACACCAGCCAAGCGAGAACGAATTCCCTCTACACATGACTTGGCTATGGAAAATTTTGATACCCGGCCGGTAACAGCGCCACGTCCTTCCCTAGGAGGCGAAACTGTAAAGATCGAATTGCAGCATGGAGTTCCCGGTAGGTTAGTGCGTGTCGGATCCGATATTGATGTCGACACACGCTGCTATTTGGTAGAATTGTTGCGAGAAAGTGTTGACGTGTTCGCTTTCTCAGCAGACGAGATGCCAGGGATACATCCCGACGTCATAGTACATAAGCTAAATGTCAACAGGAGGGCAAGACCTGTTCGGCAGAAGAAGAGGAACTTCTCAACAGAGAAAATGGAGGCTATTCGTTCAGAGGTGAATAAGTTGCTAGCGGCAGGGTTTATCGAACCTTGCACATACCCCGAATGGTTAGCAAATGTGGTTATGGTGAGGAAGCCGTCAATGAAATGGAGAATGTGCGTGGATTTTACAGACTTGAACAGAGCCTGCCCGAAAGATTGTTATCCCTTGCCGAGGATAGATAGATTGGTAGATTCAACCTCCGGTCACGCGCTATTGAGCTTCATGGACGCTTTCTCCGGATATCATCAAGTCAGCTTATATGAGCCGAATCGAACCAAGGCGGCATTCATTACCGACTCCGGAGTTTTCTGCTACAAGGCTATGCCGTTTGGATTGAGAAATGCAGGGGCTACGTACCAGAAGCTGGTCGACAAGGTATTTACGAACCAGAAAGGAAGAAATGTAGAGGTGTATGTGGATGATTCAATTGTGAAAATCCATTTGGCTACAGACCACGTCGCCGATTTGAGAGAAACTTTCGAGACACTTCGGCGTTACCGGATGAAGTTAAACCCAGAGAAGTGCGTGTTCGGCGTGCGGTCAGGAAAGTTTCTCGGTTTCATGGTAAGCGAAAGGGGGATAGACGCCAACCCCGATAAGATTGAGGCGATTCTTAGTGTACCAGAACCAAAGTGTATAAAAGACATACATAGGCTCACTGGTCGGATGGCCGCGTTAACGAGATTCATCAGCAAGTCAGCTGATAAGGCCTTACCGTTCTTTGTGATCTTGCGTCAGAACAAGCTGTTTGAATGGGGGAAGGACCAATCCAAGGCGTTTCAGGCTGTGAAGATTCACTTGAGGTCCTTACCCACCGTTGCAAGGCCAGAACAAGGAGAAATATTACATCTTTATATCTCTGCGTCGGCAAAGACGGTAGCGGCGGTGCTCCTGGTAGAGCGGCAAAAAACACAACTGCCGATTTACTTCGTGAGCCACGTCTTAAATGCTGTCGAGAGAAGGTACCCGTTAGTAGAAAAGATCGCGTACGCAGTAGTTGTGGCCGCACGAAAGTTGCGCCCTTATTTTGATGCACATGCAATTGATATCTTAACGAATCAGCCGTTAGAGAAATCTTTGCAGAAGATGGAAACGTCTGGCCGACTGCTTAAATGGGCTATTGAACTGTCTGAGTATGTTATTACGTATAAACCAAGAGTATCAATTAAAGCCCAGGCCTTGTCTGACTTCATTGTGGAAACGTCCTATTATGAAGAGGAGGATGCTATCGGCGTATGGAAGGTATTAGTTGACGGCTCTTCTGCTTCAACCGGCTTAGGAGCTGGAGTAATTATGATCTCTCCCCAGGGAGATGTGTTCGAGTATGCCGTTAAGTTCAAGTTCAAAGCCTCGAATAATGAGGCAGAATATGAAGCAGCGTTGGCAGGAATACAGTTATGCATATCTGCGGAAGCAAGGCGTATTGAGATGACAACTGACTCGCAATTAGTAGCAAATCAGTTCAATGGAACTTACGAGACTCGAGAGCCAAGCATGACGGCATATTTGGCAAAACTCAAGAGTGTTGCATCTGGTCTGGATTATTTCAAAATAAAGTTGGTCCCTCGAGCAATGAACACACAGGCAGACGCCTTGGCTAAACTTGCAAGTTCAAGCTTCAATGACTTAGAAAGGACGGTTATGGTAGAGATTTTGAAAGAAAGAAGTATTGATGAACAACCTCCTAAGGACGTATGTTTTACAACTGCGGGACGAGAATGGTATGATGATATCTTGGCTTAAAAAATACATAATGCCCTTCCTGCCGGCAAGACGGAGGCAAGAAAGGTCCAGAAAGATAGTGTCTGGTTTATCATGTTTCGAGTTTGTTGTATAAGCGGGGGTTTTCGTTACCGCTGCGAAGGTGTATAACGGCTTATGAGTCGGCAAGACTGATAGAAGGGTGATTGCGGAAATCATGCGGGGGTCGGTCAATGTCCTTGGAAGCAATGAAACGAGGCTACTACTGGCCAACGATGAATGCAGATACCATGGAATACGCGAAAAAATGTGATAAATGCTAGAAGTACGAACCGGTAATTAATCAACCTCCCAATGATTTGTCACCTATTCTTAACCCAATCCCGTTTACTCAGTGGGGGATGGACATTATAGGGCCGTTTACATCGGCAACAGGTGGCCGTAAGTTTTTTATTGTAGGGATAGACTACTTCACAAAATGGATAGAAGCAGAACCGGTAGCAAAGATTACAGCGAATGAGGTAAAAAAGTTTATCTGGAAAAGCATTTTTACGCGGTTCGGGTTGCCGACAGCAATGGTGTTTGATCACGGATCACAATTTGACTGTAGCCCGGTAAAGAAATTTCTAACCATATACAAAGTAAAGTTTGCGTATGCGGCAGTATGTCACCCGCAGTCAAATGGCCAAGCTGAGGCCGCTAACAAGTAGATACTAGGGGCAGTTAAGAAAAAAGTAGAAGACGCTAAAGGCTTGTGGGCAGATCTGATACCCGAGATTTTGTGGGCGAATCGTACGACAACAAGAGAAACTACGGGGGAATCTCCTTTTAACCTCGCTTTCGGCTCAGAGGCAGTGGTTCTGGCGGAGGTGGGAATACCTTCTTTTCGGGTACAACACTTCTGCGAAAGTCAAAATGATTTGTTGCTCCGACAACAATTGAATTTTCTACCGGAAGCAAGGTTGACAGCTGCCATAAAATCTGCGGCATACAAAAACCGAATGAACCACGCTTATAACCGGCGCGTCAATTATCGGCCCATGGAAGACGGTGATTTAGTTCTGCGCAGAACGGCCGCAACCGGCAAAGGAAACGTAGAGGGTAAACTTACTGCAACCTGGGAAGGGCCTTACCAAATATACGAAACACTTCGACAAGGGTCTTATCGGCTAATGTCCCTTGAAGGTGTTCCTTTGAAAAATGTTTGGAACGCTAGTGTATTAAAGAAATATTTCATGTGAAATGTGTGTTCTATTTTACGTAGTATAAATTTTGATGACATGTTGTCATACGTATGTTCTCGGCATTTATTAGTATTGTAACCTATTTCAACACTTATAAAATCGCATTACCTACTTTCGATACGATCTGATCACAGCCTAGCTAGCTGACTCGGTCGTTCAAGTGAGGGAAGAATAATAAAATAAGATAATAATGGACCTCAAGGGGAGTTGAAAGTGCGGTCTGATCCACTGCCTTTGCTCAGCCTGACAAAGGTTGGATACTTTATCTCGGTATGTTTCATATCCGATGTTCAACACAAGCATTACAGAGTTTTCCCAGAATTTGTTTACGAAATAAATCCTGCCGAAAAACTCGGGAAGTATTATTGGTCAGGTGTATCTTGAAAACACCGATAACAAAGTTGAATGCATTCTTTGATTTTCCAAAATTTTGTTAATTTTGGTCAGGTGTATCTTGAAAACACCGATTAGAAATACCGAGAAATGTAATTTTGAAATGCCGAAAAACGTACATTCGTGATAAAAATCAAGGAATAACTAAAACACGATTCATAAAACAAAGTAATATGGTAAGGAAGTAAATAAAGCTGATTAGAAATAATGGTAACGAGTACAGACACGCAACTACAATATTTAAACAATCAAAAGAAAAATTGTTGCATAATACAAACAGGTGTAATTGTCAAAGACATGGAAAAAGGTACAGACAAGCATAAACATTGTAACCCAGAGATGACTGCCCTCCTGATTAAATCTTGTCGGCCTCCTTGGTTGGTTCAACTGCATTAACAGACTTTTTCTCAGCTTCTTTATTGGAGGGACCGACAGACCCATCTTCACCAACATGAGTGGTAGCAGGACTATTGATAAGGGCGTCATCAAACTCCACTTCCGGCAACTCGCATGGGTCTAGGTTTGTTATCACAGCATGCGGGGGGAGCTCGTCAAAGTACTCACTCTCATAGCTGGTAGGAGAGTGGTTCATCTCTTCGTTAAAAGCCCTCTCGACGGCCTGCCACTTCATCGAATCCCACCCCTCCGCTTTGCACACGCAACGATGCGCAGTGACCCAGCCGGCAGTATACCGGTCAACTAGCAAGTTGGCGTAAAGGTCGGTCTGCAGGAACCGATTAACGGCTCGGCGCCTGATTCCCGGCTTGTCACGCTCCATTTTCTCAACTTGGCTGGCCAGCTGTGCCTTAGCCTCCTTTTCTTCCTTCAGGCTCTGCTCCAGGCTGGTTACCTTCTTTTGCAACAGCTCCTGGTCCGTCAGCTTCCTGTTTAGGCCAGACACTCGCTTCTGCAGGGTCTTCACATCAGATATAACCTTTTCGTGCTCCTTCACGACGAGCTTGCAAGCGTCGTCATCCTTCTTCAGCCTGGCCTCAGCATTATCCGCGGCGCGCTGATAATGTTGGTACATGTGTACCACCTCGATAGCAGAGTTGACGGTCTAATTGAAATTGCCGTTAGTAAACGTTATTTTATAACGTAGGAATGATAGGTATCTAAAGGTAATGATAATGTCTTACCCGGAGCATATTGTTCATAAGCTGGCCACAGGGAGCAGCAATGCGATTGGATGGCCTATCGGCTGGAGTTTCCAAGTCCTTCAGCACTCTCCACCCCATGCTCCCGCCAGTGCTAGGGTCGTCACTGAGAACCGACTCCCCACGATTAACATTGATTCGGGGATGCCATGGGTCACCGGCAGCACCGACCGGTACAACCAACTCCTCAGCAACTCCTTCCAGGATTCTGACGTGCGAAATCTCGATGAAATCACTGACAAGAGCAGGGACGAAAGTGCCCTTGACGAGACCGCCAGAGCGCGTCGGGATGACCGCCAGAGTCTCCTTGGGCGGAGGCTTGTCGATGCTGGCCAGCTGGCCTATTTTGGCCCCTAAGGTGACCGTCAGTTTTTTCAGCGGTTGGGTTTCGGTCTCATCTTCCAAGTTAACGACCCCTTCCGGCCAGCTCCCTTGTGCATTCTTTTCGAGGGATGCCGCCTCATTGTCATGGTGTTTTTGTTTTTTTTTTTGTTGTTGTTCTCGGCCGGAGGACTCAGATGTCCTCTTCGACGCATTTCCTCCACCCCTTTTCACAGCTAGGGTGCGAGGTTTGGTAGCACGGACGGTAGGAGCCATGTCCTGTACTCTGGTTCTTTTTCTTTTACTGGCTCTGGTGGCGAAGGCGGGGAGAGTGTCGTATGACTTTTTCGGACGATCGGGGCACTGTTGTTTCACTCGCCCGTCAGGATGCAAGCCTAGTCGGCTGAAGTCGAGTTTCTCAATGCCTGACGAGAGACATACCCGATAAGAAACGTCAAAAATAGACATTATAAAGGTAAATTTAACATAAAAATAAAAACGAAAACGCAAAAATTAATATATATATATATAATGTGTTTAGGTACAGTAAGAGGAAAAATAGGCAAGGTACTTGTCGAAATGTTTTTCAGAGGCAAAGTACATGCATAGTAAAGATATATTTAAATACATGTATATAATTTAATAACATTTCCATACCAAATGCATCGGTATGGCATAGACCGACATGAGAGAGAGGGGCGTTGCCCAGTATATAATTACAATGGGGCAACCACACCCCCGGAACGGCTTTATTCTTCTTACCAGCTCTAACATATGTACAATTAAACCATTTAAAAGATTTTTTCTCCATCCGTCCTAACGCTCTCGACCGTATGGTCGCAAAGATGCTGTGTGGATGATGAAAAGTCCTACGGACGGTAAAATCGTCAGGCACACTCATAAAATAAAATTCATTCTTCCAGTTCTTGCAACTGGTCAATTTTGGCCACACTGTGCATTTACCGGGAGCGGTAAAAAGGGACCACCATCCGGATGACTGACTATCTCTTTTTATCCAATGTAATCTCCGGAATAAGTTCAGGGTAAGGGGAAAGTCCATAAATATCATAACCCAGACAACAGAGACAATATTTCGGATGGTCGGAGGCGTTAACTGTGCAATTGAAACATTCCAAGCCCTAAATATTTTTTCGATGTAATGATGGAGTGGAAACCGTAAACCAAACTCTAAATGTTTTGCATACACAACAATGTGGCCGGCAGGACAATCCAAAGCCGTTTGACCGTTACTTGGTAGTCTCAGTTCGTAACCATCAGGGAGACAGTTGAAGCGTTTGCCATGTTGGCAATAATCCTTTTCGGTGGCTGTCTGCAACCATACCGGATCCACAACTGACTCAGTTATTTCATAGCTGTTGGGAATTTCTTGAGGTTCCAGATACTTCGGATCATCTTGATCTGAGTCGTATTCCTCGTCAAGACATTCCTCTTCTGCAATCTGAGCTGCAAGGTTGAAATCTGTAGCAATTTCCTCGTCGGTCTCGCTGTTCTCACCCTCATCATCTTCCTCCCCCCCTACCTCTTCAGACCCATCTGCATCGTCTTCGTTACCGATGCTTTCACCCCCGCTTTCTTGCCGTTCTAGGCTATCTTCGACTGGCCGAATATCTTCTTCTCGGATATCCGAAACTTCAGACCCAAGGTCAGCCATTTCTTCATCAACGGAAGGTTTACTGCTTCCACCAACCTCACGTTGATAACTGGTGTGTTTTTTTCTCGGCATCCTGTCAATATTAGTGTCGTATTGATTAAATAAATCCAAATTTGACCTCAAATGATATTGAACGCTAATATGCTCAACATCAACAATCTCTATGTCCTCTGGAATATCAGGGTTGGTAGGACGCAAAGCTTTCTCGGCGTCAGTTAGAAACTTATGACGGTAATAAGCTTCTCTTTCTTCTACGGAAGTTAGGGGTGTACAGAGTTTAGCCTCATTGGCTTTACCCATGTTTGCATGCATTCCAGAACCAGACATTCGCAAATAATGAAATAAACGCAAAATTTACTTAACCACAAACCAGTGAGAAATCAAAAAGAAAGTTAGGGTTTTTTACCTCTTTTTGAATTTAACTCTTGAAAGCGTAACTCTGGAATTAAGTGTCCTCCGTTTACAAACACCGGTCGCAGCACAACTGAACAAACCCTTGACAAATTGAGCCTTGAATCGCAGGAATATAAGCACACTACGAGCGAAGTGAAGTCGAAATTTTTTGAAATTTTTTTCGCAAAGAACTGAAGGGTCAAAGTACGAAATTTACTATTTATACTGTACAAATGAAGCGGTTGATGTGACATTTACTGCATACAATCCAACGGCTGTAATAAAACGCCTTTTCAAAAATAACTTACTTCGATGACTGACACGTGCCCCATTACTTTATTACGTTTTCCCGCCAAGTCCTGGGGGATAATTTTCAAATATGTGAAATTGTCTTCACTCTTATTTTCGGTTCTCGTATCTTATTGAGCCAAGACATGTCGGCATTTTGCTCGATAATTGAGCAACGTACTATCGTCAATTTGCTCACTTGGGGGGCAAATTGTAGATTTTTTCATGTCTTATTGAGCAAGGTGCTATCGTCAATTTGCTCACTTGGGGGGCAAATTGTAGATTTTTTCATGTCTTATTGAGCAAGGTGCTATCGTCAATTTGCTCACTTGGGGGGCAAATTGTAGATTTTTTCATGTCTTATTGAGCAAGGTGCTATCGTCACTTTGCTCACTTAGGGGCAAATCGTAGATTTTTCTTTTCGTTTTCTAAGAATGCTTTTATGCTGCATTGTACATACCACCACTGTGTTCCATCACAAGTGAGCACGTCAGTTTTACTCACGTCCTCACTTGGGGGGCTAGTTGTACGGGATATACCGGTAGTATCATAATATGCCGGTAAAAGAGTGCCTTGCAGTTTAAAGAAATGGTTAATCATTGAATAATTCATGTCCTTACCGGCATTAGTCTCTACCACGTGGAGAGCTGCTTCTTGGAACGTGGCATGCCCCACTGACACGTGGAGAGCTGCTTAGTGCCGCGTAAGCACCTGCTAGTACCAAGGTCGGTGTGCCACCTATCTGTATAGGTGGCACCTGCTTGGTTGCGTTCCTATAAATACTCAAACAAATTCTCATTTCAAAGGTAGAATTTCTCTCTCTCTCTAAAACACTTTCTCTCTCTTCTTTCACTTTCTTCTCACAAAGGTACTGACTTTAGCATCGGAGTGGTTATTCCCGGATAACCCCCGGGCTAGCTAATCTTTATTGGCTGTGTAGGTGAGCAATTGGACGGTAAACCATTACCAACCCTCAGGCAGTAACGGAAGCAGAATCCAGCTGGAACACCCAATTAAACACTAGCTACACTTGCTAGTGTATGGAAATCCTCTTCTTAAACCAAGTTAAACCATTAGAAAGTTAAAAACAAGCTAGAACAAACAACACTAACAAATCGACTTATTATTATTCCGATGAGAGTGGAGTACCATCTTTCTTGCTTCATTAATCAACTCGTACTAGCTAGTAGTCGCAGCAGCAGCAGCAGTCGTACTATTAGATTGAGGAAGGGTTAGCAGGCACCCAAAGTAGACCATCAGAAGAAAGGAAATGGCAAACCGGAGAGCCGGGTGTAATGTTAAACATACGGAACACGGCAAGGTCAGCGTCAAATGCATTTGAATTCATGTGGCAACTAGAAATCGCGTTAACACGAGTACCATCTTCACCCACCAAACTGATTTCGTAAACCCGATTTTCAGGGTCAGGGTTATGGCAATAGTACAACGCGTAAGGATAAGTCAACATGTGACACGCGGTCATTTTAGGGCTAGGTACTCTTTTAGGTTGTTCAATGATTTTGTAAGGTTGGAATACTTTGGCCGATTTCGGGAGTGGACTAGTACTCAACACCTTAAGGTCATCAAATAACTGATCACCATTACTGGTAGCACTAGTTTTAAAGGATTGGCGAACGAAATCGAGCATAGAATCCAAGGAGGTAACACATTTTTTTAGCGTGGGGAATTTCAGCCTCACATTTTTTGAGACTGAATTCCATGGCTTTAGCTTGAGGTGATTCGGGTTGGAAACCGAAATAGTTAAGAATGAGTGAGAGGTGGCTGGATGAAAAGGGGATCATATCGGCCTTTTCTTTAGGAAGAGAACGAGGGATTTCAGCATCAAATGCACCACCAAAGTAAATCGGCATTTTCGCCCCGACCTTGAGGTCGTTGTAGTTGAAGAACACATACGGATTCTTTGAACTCGGACTTGTTATGGAAGTCGACTTCTCCAGCATTCACAACCTGCGTGGAACAGAATTATTAAAGTTGATCGATATTATGAATATTTTAATAACATTTTGAATTATAGGGAGTAATGTATGTTGTATAGTGCAAATTAAAAGTAAAGTTTACAATTTGTATTGTTAAAGAATAATTTTAAGAGTAGAGAAATTACCACTAAAAAGACTACGGCTAAAGTGAGAACACCCAAAAACATTTTCATTTTGTTGGTTGAATGAATTGGATGAGATGTTTGTGGATATTACTTTTTATTTGAGTACATTCATCAAAATTTGAGTTGCTACTTATAGGCAAATAACAATTAATTATTTTATCAAGCATGGGGCCTACCGCCTACACTATACGAATTTGAAAATTATTAAAATAAGTATTAAGATTTTTTTTTTATTATTTATTTATTTATTTATTTATTTGACGGGAAGAAATTGTTGTCTTTGGCTAGCTATTTGCCTAAATAAGTCGTATGTTATAGTTTGATTATTGTATTATAAAGATATGACTTCTTAATTAAGTAGGTAAGAGAAAGTTGTTTAAAAACATGTGTATTATCGAAAATCTTAAATGGACATGTAGTGGATAATAAGTGAAATTAATCAAAAGAGAAGATTGTAAGTATTGAATATCAATAGGCAACACGCCTACAAAACTAAGCTAGAGTGAGTAAAATTAAAACATACTTGTACTAAGTAAAATTTTGTGAAATTACATAATGTTGTGTATATGTTACTTAAATATAGTGTTTGTAAGTCTCTTTATCTTAAAGTATTAATCAACTTTGGTGGGATTATTGCATGTTAATATCCAATTAAGGAAATTGTTTAACAGTTTTAAAAATATAGAGAAATGAACTATTTAAATAAGTGGTGTATAGTTGTATACTTGTGTTTCGCATTTGATCAAATCTTGTAAAGTGTGAGAGTTTGTATATCCTTTCAAAGCTAAAGAAAATCAAATGTTGCAGTAATTGATCGAAATACATCAATATTAGTGTCATCTTTTATCAAAGTTAGTGTTGTTGTGTGTCCAAATGAAAGTGTGTGAAGAAAAATATACCAATGATACATCTTTGATAAATGAAATTTTACACACTCATCTTATGCATATACATAATTAGATTATCGTACATATAGTTTATTTTTACTTTATTGAACCTAAACTTAACTAAACTTATTCGACCTTATTAAATATATTAAACCGTATTTTATAAGTTGTATATTACCATATGTACTGATCAATGATATGAGTATCTTTAAAACTAGAGAATAATTATTTTATTTAAAAAAAAAAAAGGATATGCAATGCCACTTGTACGAATTGCATGTCTACATATATGCATGCATAACTATTGGCCTACTACTTAGCTTGCATGTGCATGCGTAACTGAAGGCAACGATTGGATAATACTTGCATGTGTTTATGTCATAAACTCATAACAATTTATTGTTTAAGTTTAAAGTTGTTTAACACTTGGCAATGCCATTAGTCTGTCTCCAACAAGTTTTGAAAGAATTCTATCCAAAACATAAAACCACGCAATGCAAGAGGAAAGTAACGCATGACTTACAATCTGCCTTCATATCATCATGTCAAGTTACAGTTTCTATCAGATCACGGGTAGTGTATACTTTTGGTGGTGAAATTTAACAGCGTTTTATGGATTGTTAAATTAACTAAACGAAAAATACAATCAATTATTTTGTTAACCACTTTGTTCCTAAGCCTAACCATGTTCTACAAAATTTAGTTAATAATCCAAAATTTGTATTTATGATTTATTGTTTATACTTGTTAATTGTCTTTGATTTACAATTTTGTAAAAGGGAAAGATAATTTTATTAAGTGAGGTTTGGATTTTGAGCTATGAGGATATGTGAAAGTTTTTCTGAGAGGTGGTATTAGCTCAACTTGATTCAATACACTATAATATGTCAAAATAGTAAAATATAAAATTATTACATTGGTTAAAATAATAAATATATACAAAGTTAAGAGTATCGTTTATATGTGCACAACTGTACACCATACAACTAATTTTTTTAAAAGAAATATTAACGCTTTATCACCTGCACTAGTAAAAAAAATATAATTATTGCAATCAATATTCTATTCACCCTTCATAATATTTAATTTTTTGAGATTTTTACAAAATTTTACTACAATAAATCCAACCTATTTGGTAAATTATATAAAATTTCTCTGTATGATTAGATAGTATGGTAACTTTTCAATATTTATTTACATGTATACATGACAATAAATTCTCAATGGAGGGGGTTGTATACTTGTATACCATGCTAGAAGTTATTGTACAATTACAAAGTATTTCATAATGTAATCTAGGTAAAAAGGCTTAATATAACCCTAGTCTAGATTCTAGTGTTTGAATATGCGAGCACTTGGAACAATTTTGTCTAATTGAAGAAAAAGAAAAAAAAAACAAAACAAAATTTTCAATTTCCCTAAAAGATAGGAGAGTCTTCACAACATTACATGATATCATCTTAATTTCCTTAAAATAGCATATTTTCACTATCTAAGCAAAAAAAATTCTAACCACAAAGATATGCACAAAAATTGAATGGACAACCAAAAGAAGCTAAATTTTACTTGTTTCTCCTAATTTTCTTTCATTCTTCCAACAATCAAAAAAAGAAACCAGTTTTTATTGCAATTACCAACAATAAAAATAGAAGCTTTCACATGAAAAAATAGCTAGAATAAAACTCTCCACCTTCATTCTTCAATTCTAGCACACAAAGAAGGCATTATTGTTGATTCCATTCGAGGTGTTGGCGTGGTGGTTCGAAGCATGAGGGCACCAATTTAACCACCATAATTGGGTTATAATCAAGGGAGAAAGAAAAGCACCAAATATTTTTTTTCAAAGAATAAAGTTTGTTATAAAAAAGAGTGATCATTTTCCAAGAAAAATCAAGAATAAGATACAACTACGTTTGCATGTTCTTGCTCCCTTGAAAAATAAATAAAGGTAATAAACATAAAAATTAAAAATGGCAGAAAGTACAAATGCAACAAATACAAATTCATTGGAGTCTAGCCCTATAGTATGTTATGCACCAACAATGATAACAACAAATGGGGTGTGGCAAGGAGATAATCCCTTAGATTATTCCTTACCACTCTTCATTTTGCAATTAACGATGGTGGTCGTTACTACTCGTGTTCTTGTTTTCATCCTCAAGCCACTTCGCCAACCCCGAGTCATCGCTGAAATCCTTGTAAGTACATTTTCATAATCGAACAACTCTTGTAAGGGTCGTGTGGGGAGACAAATTATTAAACGATTTAAAATTATAAAATAACACAATAGGGTTGATTTATTAACGTATTATTTGATCAATGATGGGCATTTGTGAAATGGTATATCTCCGTCTTATTGATGTATCATAGAACAAAATCAATTAAAACATAACATGGAAAATGTCTTCCTAATTTTCAATAGAATTTTGCAATTTTGCCAGTACTGCTTGCTCTGATCTTCAAATGATGATTATAAAAAGGAAATAGTTTCCTCTCCATTGAAAGTAACCCCACTATTTTGTCAACCCTTCACATGCTTTACATAAAACAATAACATAATTTGATGCAACATAAAAAAAATTCTATAGAATAATTGGTAAGTTTATGCGATTTCAAACTTATGTCTCAACTTATATACTAATCTCTAGTGCATTATGCATAGTGTGTGTTGGTGTAACAAAACCATGGTTTGATGTATGCTAAAATATGTTGCTTGCTTATGCTAAATTAATCAAATAGGGAGGTGTTATACTTGGACCTTCAGTCTTGGGGAGATTTGAACGCTTTGCCAACACCATATTTCCTCTAAGAAGTGTGATGGTGCTAGAAACTATGGCGAACATTGGCCTCTTGTATTTCCTATTTCTGGTTGGGGTTGAGATGGATTTAGCAGTTATCAAACGTACTGGGAGGAAGGCGATCAGCATCGCAATTGGGGGAATGATCTTACCCTTTGTCATTGGATGCACCTTCTCCCTCTTAATGCAACACAAAGATGACAGCACCCACCACGGAACTTTTGTGCTCTTCCTAGGTGTTGCTCTCGCTGTCACTGCCTTCCCTGTGCTAGCTCGAGTTCTTGCCGAGCTCAAGCTCATCAATACAGAGTTAGGGCGGATTGCCATGTCATCAGCACTTGTCAATGACATCTGTGCTTGGGTGCTCTTAGCCTTGGCCATCGCGTTAGCCGAGACCAACTCAACCAGTCTCACTTCCCTCTGGGTGATTCTATCGAGCACTGCCTTTGTGGTCGTGTGCATCTTCTTGGTTAGACCCACCATCATGTGGATGATCCGCCGCACACCTGAGGGTGAGCCGTTCAGTGATTTTTACATATGCCTTATCCTCACAGGGGTTATGATCTCAGGGTTCATCACTGATGCTATAGGAACACATTCTGTATTTGGGGCCTTTGTCTTCGGCCTTATCATCCCAAATGGACCTTTGGGAGTAACCCTCATAGAAAAGCTCGAAGATTTCGTATCAGGCCTTCTACTTCCTCTGTTTTTTGCAATCAGTGGTCTTAAGACCGACATTGGTCAAGTTGGCGGCCCCAAAGTCTGGGGCAATCTCATGGCTGTCATTGTACTGGCTTGTTCTGGCAAGGTTGCTGGCACTGCTGCTGTCGCCTACTACTACAACATGCCAATCCGTGAAGGAATCACCCTTGGTTTGCTCATGAACACCAAGGGTCTAGTTGAAATGATTGTCCTAAATGTGGGCAAGGACCAAAAGGTCAGAAAGCCATTAGATTCGTATATTTCCTCATTTCATTGCTATATAAATAAAATATGGAGATATCAAACAGCACAGATATGCAGCAAACAGATATGAATGACAATATTGAATATACTGGTATAATTAACAAAGATAAATGAACTTTACCAGTTGATTAGTCTTGCACTTCTGAGATTTTAATTATGTTGTCACAGGTATTAGACGATGCATCATTTTCAATCATGGTGATATCAGCTTTGATAATGACTGGTGTGATTGCTCCCCTGGTCACCGCAATTTACCGGCCAGCAAGAAGATCTGTGGCATATAAGAGAAGAACCATACAAAAATCAAAACCACATGCTGAACTGAAAGTATTGACTTGCATCCACACCCCAAGGAATGTCCCGACTATAATAAATCTCCTGGAAGCCAGCAACCCGTCAAGAAAATCTCCAATATGTGTCTATGTGCTACATCTAGTAGAATTGACAGGACGAGCATCAGCAATGCTCATAGTCCACAACACCAGAAAGTCAGGTCGGCCTGCTCTCAACAGAACACAAGCTCAGTCAGACCATATCATCAATGCCTTTGAAAATTACGAGCAGCATGCTCAAGCTGGATCAATCTCGGTCCAGCCCCTGACAGCCATTTCCCCTTATAACTCAATGCATGAAGACATTTGTCACTTAGCACAGGAAAAGCGAGTGGCATTTATCATCATCCCCTTCCATAAGCAACAAACAGTGGATGGGGGCATGGAATCAACGAATCCAGCCTTCCGAATGATAAATCAGAATCTATTAGCCAATGCCCCTTGCTCAGTTGGAATCCTTGTCGACAGAGGGCTAAGTGGGTCAACCCGTTTGGCTGCAAACCAGGTGTCACACAACATAGCAGTGCTCTTCTTTGGTGGGCCTGATGATAGGGAGGCACTTGCATATGCATTGAGAATGTCAGAACACCCTAGCATCACAGTAACTGTAATGAGGTTCATACCAGGTGACGATGCTTCTAGAACAACATCTGTGGAGCCAAGTCGTGAGCCAGGGGATCCTAGAGTGCTAACTGTGATAACTGATGCTGAACAAGAGAAGCAAATGGATGAAGAGTTCATCAACGACTTCAAAACGAAGACCGCCAACAGCGACTCAATCACCTACATGGAGAGGGTTGTAGATAATGGGGAGGAAACTGTGGCTTCCATAAGAGCAATCGAAAGTGTTCACGATCTTTACATAGTTGGAAGAGGGCAGGGCATGATATCACCACTAACAGCAGGTCTAACAGACTGGAGTGAGTGTCCTGAACTTGGAGCAATAGGTGACATGTTGGCATCATCAGATTTTGCAGCAACAAGTTCTGTTCTAGTGGTGCAACAATATGTTGGTTTAGGGCCACAACATGAATCTCCACCAACTCCTGATAGCCCTACTGCTCAAGCTGATCTTGATGAGCAATTAAATGCAGGAGTGCATCAGACGAACCAAAGACAACCACCAGCAAAGGGTCAGAATGCCTTCAATCTCTAAAAATTAGCCGTAACCTAGTGATATCTAACAATGCTGACGCCGCATTATCATCTGATAAGAAGTAATGAGAACAATTTATTGCGGCATTTTCTAGCAGAAATAGGACCCCCCCCCCGAACCCATATGCGACCTTTATTCTTCTTTTTTTAAAAGTTAGTTTTCATGATTTCATCTTCTGTTTACACCTCCCTCTAATTCACTTCGCCAAATTGACGCTCTAAGTCTCTAACTATCCCCACACCTATATGGCTATACCACTAAATCTATATTCAAGTTGTGTATATAACTAATTGTTACAAGAGCCCACTTGTATAGTCAGTTAGTAATCGCTTGGGAGGGGGGTTTTGACTTTTGAGTATAATTTTTATATTTATCATATATGGGCCAATGGTTGCTTTATAGTACTTGCATTAAGTACCATATCATCTGAACCTGGCACCCAACCCCCCTGCAAGATATTTTATATCTCAGAATATAGATGATGCATTTTCCATCCACAGAAGCCTCACATGATATCCATACATTTGAAGTGACAATTATGCAGATAACAATCTATTTCTGTTTGTTCCACCATCCTCTCCTTCACCAGGGCTTAACTTTACCATTCGTCTAGTTACTTTTATAAGTGTATCATATATTAAGCAAGAAAGCCATTCTACAAAAGACAAATTAATGTCGCCGGACATGAATTAAAAGCAAATCACAAACTCACTCCAAACAATTGTGATTGAATTGTCACCTCAAATGAGTAATTTCACCCGTGATAAATGACAGGTTAGATTTGTGCCTTATTGTAAATTTGTAGAAACTTGGATAAGCGTGGAATTATTACAAAGAATCTATTTTACTTCTTTTATGTCACATTAATATTTTGATATGGCTTCTTTGGTTTTCCAATAACAATTATCTCAAAAGCCCATTTACCTACCACCCCGGTTTTCCTGGTCTACTCACTTTAACAAAGGAAACTAAAGAGAGCTCAAAAGGGGGACAACTCATGTGGATACTTTTTCTTTTTAGATTGAGAGATATTTGTTAAAGATAACTGGTCACAAAAGGTGGGGTGGGAGATGATATAATATGAATAAAAGGTTGATGTAAATGGAATGGAGTAAAAGTGAGTAGAACTTAGGAAAACGGAGGAAGTATATGCTTTTGTGCATTGTATTTTCTTAAAAAAAAAATGCCTAGGGGGTGGATCTAGCATCCACATATTGACATACATTGAATATTTACCTTACATAATAAATGATTAAATAGTACTCCCTTTGTTTTGGAATTATTGGCACACTCCCTTGGGCACGTAGTTAAAGAAAATACCATAGAATGAGTTGTTTAATGCAAAGTAAAGTCGAAGAATTTAGTTTATATTATTGAAAAAGGGAGTATGTGAAAGTAGGAAACATTAGAGGGCCATTGTAAGTATGGTTAATATAATTTAATAATAGTGGGCCCTTGCCATTTATGGTAGAGTACTCTGAAAAGGCTAATAGAGGGAAGTTTGTCAATTTTTCCGAAACGGAGGGAGTATACATAAGTCTTTTTGCAAAGTTGTCTAGCCCTTTATAACAAATACAATTTTTTAGTCCAAGGAGGTAGAATATGTTAAGTCCGCCAGTTCAAATTAAATTATCAACAGAAAACCTGGATTATACACGATCTTCCACTGTCTTTGGTCGTACAAGATACAGAATATAAACCATAAAATCCAGAAAAAAAAATCCTCATGAATTAATAGCAAAGTACTTAAAGGTAAGTGTAATAGATCAACATAAGGAAGGGTAGTATAGGTATTCTACTAATATTAGCTCACTAGGTTAATAGTCCTTAGTATAAATAGAGAGGGAAGGAAAGGAAATGGGTAGGCAAAAATTGGATGAAACTTGTTGAGAGTTGAGACCTCAAGTCACTTGGAGAGTGGTAACCTAAAGTTACCGATTGGGAGAGAATCAAGCCTCTCGAAAGCTTGATAATCTATCTTACGAGTAGTTTGTTTAGTGTGTTAGAGTGTGTCATTTCATCTCATCAATTATAATATTTCACATTTAGCTTTTATTATTCCTTCCTTAATCTGCAATTTTCTGCCATTAGTTACTGTTTAATACCTAGCCATGTCGGTACATGACAGTAAGATGTGCACTAGTCACCACACTATACAGCTCAAATTGAAAGGTACATGAACTTTTCATGCAAGATCACAAGCATCTCACTGCAAAAAATTTTCTAAGAGGTAATCTATATCTTCTATCATGACTCTTTGCTCTATAGAATGGTGTGAAACTAATAATTCCATGAATGCATATGGGAAGGTTGTATAACATGTACAGATACTACCAAAATTTCCCCTTTCCTAGAACCCAATACAGTAAATGAAGGACAAAATCTGATCACCTAATGTGCAATACATATATGATATCACAGAAAATGTGCAATGGAAGTAACTTTGACAAGAATTGGAAAACATACCTAGAAAGACATCAAGCTCAAGCGTTCCCAAAAACCAGATTTTCTTTATATGCTTCTCAATATGAGCTGACAGTTAAAAGGGTAACCATTTATATAGAAAAGCCTCCTCATTTCCATGAACCAAATTCAATGGACTGAAGTGATATTTCACCTAGATACAGGTCTTTCAGATGCTGCTTACACAACCCAATACGCCTTTTATTCAAACTGGGGTGAATACAAGTTGAAAATCCCGTATTCCAACCAGGAAATTTCTGCCTTTCCATCACATGAAGAATGTAAACACATGGTGCTGCAGCTGAGCAACCCATAACGAAACAGTTACATGGCCTGGACAGGCTCACCATCCTGGCAAGAGACAGTTGGCACAACCCACTGTAAGAAGTTCCATACATAAATGCCTTATCATGATCAAGAGTACAAGAATTCAATGTATCTTCACATATTCCATACTCTCCGTCCTGGCATAGCGAAATCCTGCTCAGCTGAGAGTCAAAACTTTTTTCTATATCAGACTCATGAATTCTGTATTTAAGCGCCAGTGTCCGGATGCAAGACTTCCTAACTTGGTCTGACACGATAATCTTTAACTCACCAAAGTTTTCACACTCACTGTACCATCTCATCCATCTATGTACAATACCAGTAAACCAATCAATTATTTGGCTGCTATCCTGTAAAATGAGAACGCGAACTGCACGGGCATACCCTTCATCATTGATCAGTCCATAGCGTAACAAACGTTTCTCAATGACATTGACAGGAGCTATAACCTTTGTGACGGTCTCACATCTTGGAGATAACCCAGAACTTGGCAAAAGGGAAAGAAGAGATTCGGTTTCAGAAGAATTGTATTTTTCAACAAGTCTCTGAAACTCATAAAAGGACTCCTGCAGAGATGGTGGAAGTGCAGGTTCAGCAATGCACTTGGACAAGATGTATTCTTCACTGGTTGCAGCATTTGTCTTTACATCTTGCATCCAAATCTTTATTAATTGCTTATACCAGTGATCGGTTTCCATGCCCGACTTACGGTAGCAGGATATTTTGCTCAAAAGAGAGTTATTATCAGAAAGATGCCTTATCTCTGACTCCTTGACCTTTCTCAAACCATGACCCAAACACTTCTTACCTATTCTCACTGTCCCTGCATCCCAAACCTCCTGTTTCTGCAAAGCAAATAATTTCACCTTTTCCTTCAATTTGTGAACTGCTCTTACTGCTGGACTGTCTTTAATGGTTCTAAGAACTAATGCGCCGGCAAAACGAACACCTTGGCTGTAGTTACATGGTACTATCTCCATATTGCTGTTAACATCTAAATGAAGACAATTCTGGAAGTAATTCTGAACCTCAGACTTTAATGAAATTGCAGCCTCTTTGGAGCCAGAAACAGCAAAAAATATTTCATCCATGAAGCGACAAGAATAGACTCTAAGACCAGAATTCTCATGACTTTTGGAGTTGTCAGCACTGCATTTTATTTGTCTCCTAAACCAGCTTCTCAACCTTGACTGAGGCTGTTTTTCATCAAGCTCGGAACTAGATTCAAGAGCCTCGTATCTCATTGACATTCTGTGGAACTCATCATCAAAGAGATCAAGGTAAATATTCATCAATATAGGGGATAGTGTTCCCTCTTGAGGCAGGCCCTGACCTTTCGGAAAGCCTCCAAATTCTACATTGAGTACTTGAGCAGCAAACATGCTACGGATCATCTCACATAAAGAGTGGTCCTCAACCTTATCCTCTATGGTCGAGATTAGTTTAGCCAGTACGACAGAATCTAACCTCTTGCTTACTAGCACGGTGAACCACCAATCAGGATCAGAGATCTCCTTGCAAATGTACTTAAAGGCTGATAAATGCCCTCTTCCACTTCGACCACCATGAGAAATTTTCGAGAAATGAGGCTTATAAACAACTTCCAGAACTATTCTTAATGCTTCTTGAACTACCTTCAATTTCAAATTAGGAAGGACAAGGACTTCCTTTCTACCACTACCCTTCGTCGAGATAGTAAACGTATTCGCTTCCACATCAAACCTTTCACTCGCAAGCTCTTTGGCCAAAGACTCAAAACAAATGCCCGAATCCTCAAATTTCGTGACATCAACATTCGAGCTAACTCTAATACAATTGTAAGCATCCAAAAGGGTCTTAGGATCAGCAACAACTTTCATAAAAAGATCATAAAACCTCCCATTCATATACTGCTGCTTCACTCTCTTCTTTACTCGCGTTTCGAACAGCCGTTTCAACCTAACTCTACCATTTTTTTTGCTTATCAGTGTCTTCAACATCATCAGGAGGTGAAGACTCAACAACTACAGAAGCTAAACTCTTTGCTAACCCCAATTTCTCAACATCATTTTTGGCCTCTTGAAGGGTTGATAAATAAGATTGATTTCTACCCAGATTAATTCCTGACCCAAATTAACAAAAATCAACCCATATAATGCAAATTTCACTAAAATTAAATTTACCACTATATTTGAAACAAGTATTAATAAATCAACAATTGGTATTATTCAGCAACAAAAAAATACGAAGTATAATTAATAATATATGTAAATGCTTGAAAAATACTTACTTGGAGAAACATGCAATTGATTGATGATTGCAGAAGCTTTTGCAGTAGAAAATTCATGAAATCCAAGAAAGAAAAACCCTTTTTTGCTGAAATTTGATAACCTCAGGAACCACATCAGTCAAAAAAAATTAACAAAAAATAAATAAATTTATTGCATTGTAATTGGAGGGAGATGGTGGTTAATGTTGGTGAAGATGGTGGTGAAGTAGGGACTAGGGAGAGATAGAAAGAGAGAGAGGACCGGGGGGGCCTAAAGGGGAGTTTGAGAAGGTAGTAGGGAAAGTCTTGGGACTACAATGTGGGTGGTAAATTGCTAAGAGCAAATGGAGCTAGCGCCTTGCTTACAATATTAAATAAATTCTCGTTACAAGCTTAATCATTGTAGTTAGAAAAATGCAATTAGATTGACTAAGCATCAAACTAATTTGTTTCAAAAAAAACTTGCTAAAAAAACAAATTAGAATAAATAAAATGGATTTAATCTCTTTCACAAAAAAAAAAAAAAAAAAGAATTTTATCAACTTAATTTTATGGGAGTGTGGTCTATTTACATAGTAAACTATTAGCTAACCATTAGAGCTAAATAGACAATTAGCTTAAAAGTTTATGTGGCATGACAAGCTAATTTGACAATTAGTTTACCATTGGAGTTGCTCTAATGTGCTATGCCTATATTCGACTAAAATACATGCGATACGTATTTTAAATTTTAGAGGCTATATTGATTATAAGTCAAAGGTTGATAACCAGCTAAGAAAATGAATAGCAGTATGTTCAGGGATTTGGATCTAAACTCGTTTGGTGTGATGATTGTCTTAAAAAGAAAACTTGTTCATCTTCCTTTTATTAACACCTTCACTATCTCATTTAACTTATGCCTTAACCTGATTGTATGTTTAAGGTTTATGAAAGGCTAAGGAAGCAAGTAGATGAATTGAACATCGAATGAATTTCTCCACTATAAAATCGTCCACTCGCTCAAGTAATGCATTTTGGCAAATCATTCATCACCATACCACTCAAAAAAAAAAAATTAGGGTTGGTGCTATTGTTTTGTTTGGTTAGATTTATTAACTTGTTTGAAATCAAGAATTTGATGCTCTTGTTTGGTTTGGTTAAAATAATTAATTCATTAGAATGTGTGACTAATTGATTGTTAATAATGTGTTTGGTAAATAGTTGATTTTTTAAAATTGTTTGAGTATGCAAAATGACCAATAAGGGCCTTGTTTGACAATTGGTTGTCAGCTGTTTAATTTGGCTAGTTTGACCGGTTGTCTGACCATTGGTTGTATATAGATGTGTTATTTCTTTAAGTTGAGTTTTTTTTTTTTTAATTATAGTGGTCATTGTTGTTGTTATTCATTACTCTCATTAGTCAATCACTTAGGGTCTGTTCTCATACGATTATTTTTTATTTTAATTCAGCTCTAATAAGTTCACTTCAACTCCTAATTTCCTTCTCTTATAAAATATTTATTTCAATTCAGTTTAGAATAGACCTTAATATTTGTCAAATGTCAAATAAGTTAATTTTGCTCAAATAAACCCAAACACCGCCCAAATGCACATACACTTTTACCAACGTATAGTCTGTCCCAACCCCAAACTCCCAACTTGTTTGCCGCCTTCGCCAAATTCTCTCTCCGCTGTCTGACTGAGCACCGCAATTTGTCGTTGATAATCAAACACCGTCGTCAACTTTCCCTCTTCGCCGGACATGCCACAAGGTACCCTTAATTTCATTTTCTTCTTTGGTTATAATACTAAAGATTAATTCTTTGCAATTTTTATGCACAACTTATATATTCTGAGAAAAAAAAAATCAAATTGTTTGATAAATGCAATTGCTGTGTGAATTTGCAGATTTACCTGGGTTTTATTACGACCCAGATAAGAACAGATACTTCCCAATCAAGGGTCCAATTCCTGGTTCTTCCCGTAAACCTAAATCAGTTCCTCCTGATCAAAGCCCTGTTTCATTGCCAACCCAGGTCAGTTTTCCTTGTAATTTATTCAAAGGTTCAATTTTTTTTTGATTTGTAAGTGATACCCATTTCGTTGAATCTTGTATTTTGTTAAAATTGAATTGCTTTAGGGTGTCATGTTAATGTTTAATCATTAAATATATTTCCTTGTGACAAAATTATGCAACGATTGGTGTTATATTGTTACTTACTGATTAATGTTTACTGCGTATTAGTTTAGCTTCTTCTATTTAGCCCTTGCTTGCATCAATGTTCATTAAAAATTGGCAATTGGCATATCAATTTATTTTTCTGATTTTGTAATATCTATTTTAGGTACCAAGCAAGCTTAAGAAGGATATTAAAATTTCTAAGCTGCTTCAATGTAGGGAATTGTATGGTAGTACTGTTGATTTAAGTGATCGAAAGGGTAGCTTTCAAGAAGAATGCAAAAAGAAGCTGGTCTCGAAACCAAAGGTATTTTTTTTAATGCTCTTTCTGCGTGCATCAGATCCTAGATAGAACAAAGCCCTTTTGCAATCTTAGGGTGAGGCTGTGTTCATCAGATACCTCTGTGTGACTAAGCCTCGCTATAGATGAGAGCCTCGTTAGGGGCATTTGTCTAACTCTAATGGTAATAATAATGACATTGTATACATAATGTCTCTTTTTTGGTACTTGTTCAGCTGTTTGTAAACTACACTGTCCATCTAATGGTGAGCTTGGCATCTAACAGTGTTATGATTCCAAATTTCCGGAGCTTATATTTTGAAACTCTTTTTCCATGAGAAATTTATGTCCTTAGAATGTTGAGAAAAAGCTGAGGAGCATTTTCTTTAGGTGTGAATATACTTGGTTGATGATATTCTTATAGTGAAAATATACCATAGTAAGAGATTTCCAAAGTGACCATCAGAATGCCTGCCGAAGGGATAGTCCCTTCTAAAGAGTATTTTGGCTAGTTTGTCCACATATTTTGTGTCCATGTTCAGTATATCAGCTAGTTTGGCTTGCAAACTGGAGAAGATCGAGCGAATGTACTAGTATGTATGCCTTTAAAGAGAATAGAAAAGTTTTAATTGGCAGTTAGGAAAAAGTCAAGTTTGTACGTATGTCGAGCATGATTGGGGTCATAGAGGATATGTCAAAAAGTAAAATGGGGGATATAGTTGGCAAAGCTGTGATGCTTAAAAAGATTTCAAAACCAAGAGGGACAAGAATTCCATATTGTTACATCAAAAATATAAAATTTGAAGGCATTTTATAACACTCTTCCTCCCAAAACAACTCCTGCATTAGAAAAGCTCTTAATTATGAGGCTCACATTTAAGTCTCTATAAACATCTCAAGCAGTCAGGATTCATGGTTAGGGAAAAGTATTTATGTGGTTGCGGCATTTATATCTTTGCACATTGCACAATTAGAATTTGCTTCATAGCCGTCTGGTTGCAGGGCTTTGTAAGGAATTTGTATGTGCAAGAAGCTGTTGCCTTGGTATTGATTCTGTTGGCAGGAGGTTGGACTACAGACTTTACCTTGTTAGAGCTTTTAAGTTCCACCAGAGGTTGCAGAGTTTGAATGATTAAGAATTTGTCACTCTTATACAGTGACTGTAAGGATTTACACAAGAATATGTCTGTGTTATGTATACTCTAGATATTAGTGTTTTCAGAAAATTACAAACAGGTGTAGAAAAGTCATTAGTCCTAACCCCAATCATTTAGTCTCTTTCTTCCATGACATGGACCCCAACCCATGTTTGAGTCAAGGGGTTCTCCTTGAAACCATCTCCTCATACGTATTATTCTATCTTTTTCTGATAGAAGGATAATTATCTATTACAGGTTTGGAAATATCAGGATGTAGAAAAGGATGCTGACTGTTCGCTGGCCTTAACACACATTGCCGTTGAGACACCTGAGGGCCAATGTGCTGCAGATGCATTAATAACAGGTGGTATGAATGGTTCCTTGAGGTTTGTTGGGTCTAATATGTTACCTTTGTATTTACTGGCCCGTTTGGTATCAATGCTAATTTTCAGTTTTTGGTTTTATAGCTTATTGTAAGCCATACTATCTTATTATAGCCTGTATAATGAACTTAATTAGTCATACTTATACTAATCATGTTAGTTTTGAAAAATGACAACGGAAATTTGGAAACTATAGCATTTATTGTTTCTAGATGTTATTATTATTATTATTATTATTATTATTATTATTATTATTATTATTATTATTATTATTATTTTATTTTATTGTTGAAAACCGAAAACAAAAATATGGAAGGATGAAAAAGTAATTTCCAGTTTTTTTTTTTTAATTTTTTATTGTCAGTTTTCAATGCACTCAGTTTTGAAAAACCCAAGTTAGATTATGTTGCTTTCTGAAACAAAGTATAAAATAGCTGCTATTGCCTATCAGTTCTGTTCAAACCGTAACTTGTAAGAGTGATATGCTCCGTGTAAATAATCCTTTGTAGATTTTTTGAGTTGTCAATTGCTACTTATGTTGTAACATCTGAAGGCTTTTCTTGTGTAGTCTTTTTGATGTTGGAGATGTTGGGCAGCATGGTCACAAAACTGCTGCAGAGTTTGTTTGGCCTGAACAAGATGACTCTGGCTCCAACCAGACACTCAAAGATATTTGGAAATTCAACGGATCCACATTGATTATGCCATCAAGCATATCTTCAATAAGTTTATCCAGAAAAGAATACGATGCAGCAGATAATAATAGTTCAGCTCGGCAACATGCATTGTATCCATTCATGATCTACCTATTCTATGTCTTGCACAATTTTGTCAACAAAACTCTCCATTTATATAGATCATATACATGAAATTCTGTAAATTGTGGTCCTTGAATTCTAGAAACATTTTACCCACCATATAATTTGTGCCTTATTTATAAATTGCATTATGTGATGCCACTTTCTGTCTTTCTTTTAGGCAACTTAATATATATATATATTTTTTTTCACGAATAGCACAGTTGTGAGTAATTGGTCAATAGCTATTAGTGTTGTGCACCCGTACTGTTTACTGAAAAATATTTTATTTGACACCAGGTTGTCAAAAAATTAGAAATTCAAGTACCTCCTTTTGGAGGTAAGGAGTGTTGTCATTAGACATTCATTCTCTTAGCTAGGTCAGGGTCTAAGGTTAGGTGCAGAGTGGTGACAGAGACTAGGGTCATATGCCAGATCACGGCTGACTACCTTGCATTGGGGCTTATGTTTCTTTTTCCCTAATATCATAGTTAGAGGCAAGGGTGATAATGAGGGACTAATCAGCGAGTCCATTTGCTAGCTTTTGGCATGCTCAAACTTTGATTTAAATGAGCTGCTTAGTCTAACTTCACTTTAGACCTTAGCATGTTGAGCTCAGCAGACTTGACTTGGATTAGAAAGCTCATAAGCAATTTAATTTATTTTTTTAGTTACAATTTATTTGGTAAATAATGAGATATGACTTATGAGTCATTATATCTAGTATAGATTTCACAAAATGCTTATGAGGATATCATAACAGTAGCCAAAAAAAAAAGGAATTTTGTAATATGAATTAGTATTTTGCTGGCTGCAACTTGTTTCTTGCATTCATCTTTAGTTCTAGCTTGAGTGTAGTTGTGAGCTGAACCAAGTCGGATCTTCTAGCTCAACAAGTTCTAGCTTAGGCTTGAGTTGCTGCTAGTCAAATCAAGCTATGCCACGCTCTATTGCAGTTTGGGTCAGCTGCTTATCTTCCCTACTTGAAGGTGTGGGAGCTCTGCAATTTTATCTCTCCTCTCACCCCAGCTTTCTTGATCTATGTGGGAATGTACATGTTGACGATGTTGTCTGAACTGGGGTTCTGGGTTCTGTTGCTGGATTATTGATGCCTTCATGCTTTTGTTGTTGTGTCGATTCCATTTTTCTTTAACATATGATGACAGAATTACAACATTGGGGTCAGAATTATCTGGTGGTGCGCTTTATATTCTAAATCTGGCTGATCCTGTGGATCTAATTTCAAATTTTGCTGTCGTTGGGAGATTGCGAAGACATGTTGCACTCAATTGTACTATATGGGGGGCAGAGACCAGTCACACTGGCCATAAAGCTGTTGTTGGTAAGTTCCTGAAAATTCTGAAATCGTGTACTTTTCACATGATTTATTGTTCACCCCTTCTTACATTCTGTTATAGAACCATAGTAAGTTTGTTAATTAGCATTTACTTCTTAAATGAAAAGAGTGCATTGTGTTTGCCTCAATAAAAATCTGGCAATATTGCCGTGGGTGCCATGTGCTGCATGCCCCCCCCCCCCTCTCATGGGTGCCCTCTAATCCTCTATATCTTTGTTTATGTGCATTCTCTGGACTCTGGAGTCTGGACACTGTTGTCATTCTCCTGCTTAATCTGTGATGTATATATATATATATATATATATATATATATATATATATATATATATATATATATATATATATATATATATATATATAGGGGGAGGCTCTCATGAGAAATTTTCTTATGTGAGAACACTCTTTATGTTCTAAATTTTAAATCAAATGTTCTAATTTAGTACTCACATGTTCTAAACCATAAATTAGTTAAGTTTAATATCATAAATTTTAAATAACTTGTTCCAAAATTTTAACTTATATGTTTTAAATTTTAAAATGTGTGTTCTAAGATTTTTAATTATATGTTCCAGATTTTAAAGCGTATGTTCTATTTTTTTACTCATATGTTCTAAATTTTTTACTCACACTTTTTATATTCTATATCAGTTTGTTCTAAATTTTTATTCACATGTTCATAATCTTAAATCAGATGTTCTAAATTTTACTCATATGTTTAAAATTTCATAAAGCATATTTTATAAATTTTTAATCACTTGTTCTAATTCTTAAATCAAATGTTTAAAACATATTACTCACATAGATGTTCTAAATTATTACTCAGATGTTCTAAATTTTAATTTCAGACACATGTTCCAAATTTTTATTCGTATGTTCTAAACTTTTACTCACATGTTCTAAATTTAAAACCAATTCTCATATAGCACATGCTACCCCCAGAAATTTGGTATAAATATTTTTAAACTCTTAGTTACACAAGATGTTTGCTATTGCTTCAGTGGTTAAAGGAAACTCGGCGTAAGATTTGATTGTGCAATAGGTCAGGGTTCGAATCCCAATTTTGGTACTTTCACATTGTTTTTTTCTTCTCCTTTGTTATCACCTTAACTACTACCCTTGCTCTTTGTTCCATTACTTTTTATTGATAAAGATGATTTTTTTTTTCATTTTCACAAATTATTTACGAAAGTATGAAGTATTTATTAATTGAATGTAATGATTGTGTGTTTTTTTTATACTATTATAATTTTTTAAAAAAGTATAATACATCTTAGTAATTGTTTTCTGAATAAGTTCTTAGTCAAATGTATCAATATCCAAAATCACATTATTGTCAATTAATGAGCACAACAATGTATTACTAACACATTGCGTTATATCCAAAAAATTACTTGGTTTATTATTTTGCTTATTGTTTTTTCAGGAATTTTTCAATATGAATCCCTAAAATAAAGTACGGTATTAATTCAGTTTTAAATTTCTTAAATAACTACTCTTACGTGCTACCCCTGATTGGAAATCCTGGATCCGCCACTGTGTATATATATATATATACAAGTATACTTATGTTACACGTTTGATATTCTAATCCTATCTTTTCACCCTACTGTATGGTAACCTACATTTATAAATCTGGCTGATCCACTTTTTATTTGATGTGGAAGTTGTTTGCTGATAGATTTGTCTCTCTAATTAGAATAATCTAGGTGACGAAAATGCTTTAGCTAGTGGCAATATTTTTTTGATGTAGCATTTGAGGCGATGAGATTATTGCTTGTTATTTGTGCTTTGTTAAGGTATGTGATAGGGTGACTTGACTCAGTTAACTTTTCATTTAAAAAAAAAACACAATGGAGTGAGTCTATGATAGTGGCCAAGTGGTGTTTGTTTGTTTTTTGCCTACTTATGTGTTAAGGAATGGCTAGCCTACAGGTAACGAGACAGAATAGAGGCTATTTGTGACGAGGGTTTCCTAATGTTTTTTGGCCTGCTTAAAGCGTTACGGAATGGCTAGCCTAAAGGTAAATGAGACAGGTCAAAAAAAGGCTATTTGTGACGAGGGTTTCCTATTGTTTTCGTTTTTTGTTGCATTTTTCTGATAGTGTTTTGTCCACTATGGTAATCGCTATAACTCAAAGTGTTCTTACTTCCTGTTGGTCTTTGTTATGTTTCAAGACGTAGGATTACCCTAGTGAATTCAAATTCATGAGATTCTAGTATTCAATTTGGATTCTTCTACCCTTGATGTGTATTGTTCTATATATCATCTGTTGCACGTTTGGAATATATGAAAAATGAAATTTTTGGTGAGGTAGTGCAAAAAGCCCAAGGATTATCTGGTGGAAAAAAGAACCAAAGGCTTGACTAGTGCCACATATCTCTTTGCAATATTGTGCCTTTTTTTTTTATTGTAATTGGTGGGAGATCCTTGTAAGTATTCATGCCTTCAATTTAGTGTTGGAACTTCCCAGGTGTCATCTTTCTTGCCGAATGGGCTCATGGAGATTAAATCAGCTTTGCAGAAAGACTTGTAAGGTAGCTTGGATATCAGCTGCCTTTTCCATTACCTTTTTCATGTATATTTTGGCCGCTTTACAGTATGTAGGGACTATAGGGTGATACTCTTATTATCAGGAAATGATGCAGGAAATCTTGTATCCTTAACTAAATCTAAGGCTGTGAGAAGAACTGAAGAAAGTTATTGTGTTTGCATGTACATATCTAGATGGGCAAACTGCGCAATATTGGTGACCAATGAAGTGCATTTAAGTTGATAAATTCAGTGATATTGTATGGGACTTAGAATGGTTTATAATCCCAATGCCATAAAAGTCTTATATGCCAGACAATTATAGATGCTGTGACATTTTAGATACTAGGAATATGGTAAATTTTTGGAAAGATCCACTTCATAAGCTGTGGTTTATACAAGGCCAGGATAAGAGGAACAGGTAAATTAAGGACTTTAGAGTCTTTACAAGTTGAGTAGTTGAATTCATTTGATTTAGAAGAAGATATTCTGAATTTTACAAGATTAGGATTGAGACTTGACAAAATTTGATGTTCTGGCTATCTAGGTCCTGGAGGCTATGCAAGATATCATTTAGAAATGCAAATATGTATGCACAGAGCTGACTTCTGATGTGGGGCATGTGGCTGCCAATCTTACTCTAAATCCTTTAATTCCTGCATGCAAATCATAACAAAACAACAGATCTGCATGGATTTTTCGTTTCTTGAACTTTACATGATAACTCATTCTTCATGGTTTTTGTAGGCACCAGTCTAGGAGCTACATTGGTGGATTTGGAAAGTGGAGTATCATCTACATTATGCCGTAGTAAAAGTGATGTGTTATCAGTGAAATTTATTCAGTCGGTAATTTAATTCTCTTGAAGTTTGGTTTGGTTCTGCAGACTTTAAAGGTGCTATCCCGTGTGTGCTGATTACTTCATGCATGACTTTTCTTTCCATGATCTGAGGGCATATCTTTTTGCCTCGTGTTTCCCTTTTCTTTTGCTTGGTTTTGTGTACAGTAGATGGCATAAACTTTTTGTGGGAAGTGGATGACGTGCTCTTAAATTGCCTAGTAGAAAGCATGGAATTGATTCATTCACGATGTAGTGTATTATAATCTAAATACTATTGTGTCACCAAGCACAATTACATGGATGAATTTCTTTAACAGAAAAATTATATTCTTATCTACATTATTTGTTTCTTAACAAGTGGTTGCTTGGCCTGTTCCTTAGTGTGGTGTCTCTTTACATATTACCTACATTTTTTTTTTCTCAGTCTCTTATCCCTTTCCTGACAAATAATAGATATAGTGAGTTTTTTTTTTTTTTTTTTTTTTTTTTTTTTTTTTTTTTGGAAACGATAACTCTCCTGGATTTTGGGTGGAAAATTGTCGTAGCTCATAGTAGATGTTTTATTTATTTATGTTGAATTTCTCCCACGACTCCACGAGCGAGCAAGCTCTGAATTTCTACTTCTCTCTGCCTTAGTCTCATGTTTTGAACATCAATTTATCTGTTTACATAATATACAATTTGCATGTTGATGTAATTATATTAATGTAGCACTGGTTGGCAATATGGTTGCATAGTGCCATAGCTGATCTTACTGTATAACTGATGGATGCAGTCATGATGCTGATTTAAACCTTGCCATGGATTTTATACTGTATAAGGAATATAAACCTTTTTATTTCCCTATGTTAATGTTTGGCATGTACATTAATAAGCCGGCAGGTGCTGGGCAAGGAGTGAATCTAGCTTGGGGCAAGCCTGGGTCGATACATGTGTTAGGCACCTCCTTAGAAATTGTACTACTAGACTACTGGCATATACCATGTGGAGCTTTTATTCGGAATATTAGAAATAAATGAACCTATTTACTCCTTTGATTCATAGCACAACTTTCAAAAACTTTTGCTATTTTTCTTTATAACAAATTTATTTTGAGGAGGCTTTCCTGATTTACATCCTATTCTGCTGAGTGCTGACCTGTGATAATACTGATAACAGAGAGAAAGATCTGTTTAACTTTTTATTCCTTCATTTTTTTTTTCTTTTTCTTTTCTAGATCCAATATATGGCTATCTCTTTGCATAACTTTCCAGAAATATCGAAAGTTCACAATTTGAACTTGTTAAAGATGATACCTTTTGATGTACGTACTACCTTTGGTTTCAGAATCATCTTATATTTTACTGTTTTTAGACAAATTAAGCCAATAGGGGACCGAGAGAAAGTGTGTTAATGTGGTTAGGGGGTGTAAGAAAAAAGGTGGATAAAGTGTGTGTGTGTATAGATAACGAAAATTTGTTGAGGATTTGGTTGTTGATTCTCCACTTATGCAGCCATTGGTAATTGGGGATTTTAATGATGAGATGTTCGTTTACAGCCAATATGTTGTCGAAAAGATGGCTTAGGATGAGAGAGGTGAAGTTGGGGGGGGGGGGTGGCGGGAAAACCTGTTTTGGGGTTGCTAAAAGAGCTCTAGTACATATGTAAAGAATATGACATTATGATAAAAGAAAATGTGGTATGTGTTATATAATAGCAATTGTTAAAAATAAAGTAGCAAATACACGTTTTTTTTTGTCAAAATGTCATGCTCTTATATATATGTACGTGTATTCTTTTAGTGCATACTGAGCATCATGCCTAAATCCTACCTGCTGTGGGCATTTTGCGCAAAATCACTAGCCAAAAACTTGGTGCATTAGTTAGTACTACTCGTTGATGTATTTCTTAGACTATATTTCGTATATGTTACAACTTATAAGTACTGCCTGCTATGAAAAATCCTCAGCTGAAAGTGGATCTTTCTGTTTAAATCTATCTTATTTATGTACAGCTATTATGATTTTGAGGGACTTAGGCTTTTTAGTTTTTCTGAAGTAAACGAAGTATAACTGGTTTAACGTTTTGATGTCACAGGGGAATGTTGCTCTCTGTGGACTGAGAAAGGGAGCAATAATAACAGTTGACATTCGGCAACAGCAACGTCATCTTGCTCGTCACAGTTTATTTCACCCTTCTGATGATTCAAATAGACCTGGTCAGAAAAGGACCAAACCTTTTGTGGTAATTGACACAGATTAAGAATATATGGCCTTACTGTGTTTACTTTTTTTTCTTTTCACTTTTCTTCTCACCTCTATGTCTGGATCTGGCTGTGTTCTGAAATTTGTAGAAAGTCTACTTCGAATAAATTGTCATTTAATTCATGATCTTTTTTGCTTTGTGATATCCCTTTACCTCTGCTGTGATTCAAACTGGATGTTTAATTATGTGTTAATTGTCTCAACCTTTCTATTTTTGTGCAGCTTAAAGGAAATATACAACCTTCTTCTACAGTATACATGCCTTCATCAATATGCTGGTTAGTGTTCCTTTCCAGAAATAGTTATCAATTATTTAATGTATTTTTTTCCTACTAAACTTTGCTAGGTCAAAATTGTAGTTTGGAGTCACTTCAAATGTATGACCAATACTTCTTGGCAAGCTCAATGGATGGATCGGTCAGTAACCCAATCTTGCATTTCAAGCATGTTTCCTTACATGTCTATCTTCATGAGGTTTAAAATGTATATTTTGGCACTAGTCAGAGGTGCAATTCTTGCTCATTGCACTATGTTTCAAGTTTTAAGGAGTTGTTTCTTTCTGGTAGCAGTCCTTTATGTAATTCTGGTTGTGCGCAATTGAAAATCCAGGTCTTGCATCTGGAAAGTGGAACTGATTTGGGGAAATGTTTGCCTTGCTTTTTGAAATGGTGCATTACCATATGTGCAAAAAACATGTTAGAAATATCCTCGTAATACTACATTAAAATTGTAGACTATCTTGACACGAACTCTAACTAAGAGGAGGATTACTTCTCACACATATAAGGAAAATATTCTTCATCGGAAACGGGCTCCTTTAATTTATTGCATTAACATCAAGTTTTATAATACATGTGCAAGAAATTATCTACATTATAGAGCTTACTATGGAGAAACTTATTATTCTACAGATATATCTATACGATCATCGCCTGACTAAACGAGGGCCTGTACAATCTTATGAAGGTCACGTGAACTCCCACAGTCATATCAAGCTTGCAACTGATGCAAGTGAGCGGTATCTTATGTCAGGTATGTCTTGTCGCATGGCTATTGTGCTGATCGTGAATGAATTTTGGGTCTAACAGTTGGAAGTTTGAGATAGTTTCCTAAAACCTATGTAAATTGACCTAAACTAAAACCATCCTTAAATTATCCAAACCTTCACAGCTTATAATAATTTAGCCCAATAATTAAGTCTTAATCAACCAGGTTGATCTCAGTCTGAAATTACTCCATCAACATACCTCACTAACTCAGATTTTTTATCATGTGTTTGATATACTTTTTATACATGTACTTTCCATAGGAGGTGAGGACTGCAAAGTGCGCATTTGGAATATCAGATCAGGTGAAATGCTGTTTAAGGAGAAACTTTCCAGCTGTGTCCCGATGGCTGCATGCTGGCAAGGATGCGCAGGTAGGTTTTTCTTGGTTGCTTTCTGATGTGCAATATATGAAACAAAGCTGTTTTCTTTTATTTACTATTTATTTAAATTTTATGAAGGCATCAATACGGATGCGTGGCTGGGATCAGCAGAGGGATTGCTTCGTATGCAATTTTGCTTATGACTGATATTTTTCGTTCCCTCAGGCCTAGATGATTTTGAATTTATTTATTTATTTATTCGGTTAGAAATGAATGGGCGATCTTGTATATGCAAGTATGTTGAGAAGATTGATTTACTTGTATTCAACTCTTTTTACGATTTTGAATACCAAATTATACAGAACAAGGATCTCCCTTCCTGTTGAAAAGTGAAATTGTATCATCAGGGATGGATTAACAAATTAACTTCCTTATGGTTATGCATACTCAATTGTTACAGATATAATACATGATTCTTTCGACAATGCATTGAGATAACAATAACAATTAATAAATTGAATCTCTTTTCTGATGGATTTTCAAGTTTCAAGTGGACTTTTCTCACGTTGGATGTCAATAACCTCAAATATGATCATAATCAACAACAATATCATAAAGTTTAATTTTATGTACCGAGTAAATAAAGCTCACTGAAGATCCTTAAGATATGTACCTTCATATTACATAACGGTAAAATAATCATTTAAATTATGACCACTAAGTACTAACTTTACTAGATTTTATTAGCTCACAACAAAAATTAAGTAATCAACTCATTGTTGGAATCCCCCCTTCCCTGTTTCCACCCTCTCCCCCACGCTCACAACAAAGGTTACGGAGTAATCAAAAGCATAACAATCCGAATCTCTCCTTCCTGCCCCCTCTCGCCCCACGCTCACAGCAATAGTAAGTAATCGAAGCATAACAACCCAAATCCCTCCCTCCACCCTCTCCTTCAATCCATCCCCCCAACCTAGAAGAAGAAGAAAAAAAAAAAAAAACCCTCTTTAAAACAATGTCTAATAACTAGCACAACTTTACAAATCTCTAATGAAATCAAGCAATTGGAGTAATAAACTCGAAAAAACAATTATTAAAACACTAAATTTTTATTTCGTACTACTTGTATATTAAACCAAGATCTGTATCGAGTTAATCAGTCCAGCTTCGCAAGTCAGACTCTACTAATCCGTAGTTCCAAAATTCTTACACAACACAAGAAAGAAAAGAAAAGAAAAAGGTGGCAGGTGCCTGAAGGCTGAAACTAGCGAAGTCAAAAAGCGGTCATTTCTTTTATTCTCGGCGGTTCGTCTTACTTCCGATCTTCACATTCACGCTTTCTCTCTCCTAATTTCTTCTCTTTCATTTTCACATCTCATCATATTTACAATTACTCAGGTAATTTTAATTATGTTTATCACTTTTATTTTTCTCTCTTTTATCTTTTATTTTTCTTTCTCCTATTGATTTATTTGTATTTTCTCGTTTTGTTTATTTTGCATTGTTAAGTAATTGATTGATTTTTTTAAATCTAATTTCTGCTTGATTATTCATTGAAGGATTATGGATTCAAATTCCCCAGAATTCGATTATTTGTTTAAGTTATTGATGATTGGTGATTCTGGTGTTGGAAAGAGTAGTCTCTTGTTGAGTTTCACCTCCGATACTTTTGAAGATCTTTCTCCTACAATTGGTACGCATTTCTTTTTTTTATGTATTATTTTTTTTGCAATTACAATATATCCTCTTTTTTTAGGGTTTTAGGATAAAGGGTGCTTTTTTTTTTCTTTTTTGATTTTTATGGATTGATAAGTTTTGATTTTTAGTGTATCTGAAACATGGGTTATGCTTAATTGTGAAGAATTTGGATTAAAATGATTTTTATTAGTCATATGTCACAATGATTTGGAATCAGCTCATTGCAATTACCAGTATCTTAAGCAAGATGATTGATGAGATTTCCTATTTGAGGAGTATTGTAATGACTAATGAGAATGTATGTATAGGTATTGATAATTTGAGGAATATAATTGAGGAATAGGACAGGAGTGTATATGTAACTAATGTAAGAATATGTTGAGTTTTTGCCGTGGGAATTGGGAAGGATCTAAGACTTTACGTTCTGTACTACAATGGTGTAGTCTGAAAAATAAGGAAAAGAACAATATGTTATGAAGTTTGCTGATGTTTTAGTGCAATAGTGCAAAGTGATAATGATGGAACGGAATTTAGAGGCATCATTGTAGAATGTGTGACGATGGAGTATTCTTTGGGACCCATCTGACCGGGTAAGTAATGTCCATGAAGCAATAAACACAATACTAGGAAGTGGGCATTACTATAATAGGGTTCAGGAAGTAGGAGTAAGGTTTGGGTGTACTCCGTGACATGAGATGCAAATGATGTTGAGCTATTGGAGTAACTTGTACTTAATGCATAAAAAACATGGTTGGTTAGAAGAAGAGAGTATAAGATTAAAGGTTGTGAGAAGAGGAGCCTAGAGTGGGAGGGGGGCAAAGGAAAGAAGAGAGGGTAGAGAGTTTTTTTTTTTTTTTGGCCGGCGGAGTGGGTGGGGGTGGGGGGATGTGCTTGAATACTTAAATTATGGAAAAGAGGATGGGTTTACCTTCATGTGCCTCACCTATGGATAAGTAGGCCACATGTCTCCTGGAATTAGCCATGCAATGGTCTCTAAGGTTTGGTAATTGGTGGATCTTTCAGCAAATCTCATCTAGCATATGCTTTTACATAGCACTATTCTCACTGTGATAATGGATTGGTTATTTATGTTGAGCTGGAGATTTTGGGAATTTATTTTAGCTTAAAATTAGTTTTCAGATGCTCGGGCGTCTCATTTCAGCTCAAATATTTATGTCGGATACTTGACACTCTAGAAATATGGATATTGGAGTTTGGACATAAAATCTGACCATGAAATGAAAAACCTTTGAACTTATGTACACCCTCTCTTCTTTTCTTTACTTCCTATTTGCAATTTTCCCGTTTCTCAATGTACCACTTTGACATTAATATTTCTATTATCGTAGTTGTAAATTTTTTAAAAGTTGATATTATGAGGCTGCATATTTAGAAGAATGTATCCATTTTCACATGATTAGTTTTATTCTTTATAATAACAATATATGGTGAATGTTTTTAAAGTTTGGCCAAATGAATTGTAAAAAAAAAAAAAAAAAAAAAAAAAAAAAAAAAAAAAAAAAAACGGGGGAGCATAAGTTTGTAAATTAGAAATGTATCCTTGTCCACACCTTCTAATAATAATTTTGGACATTCTGATCTTTTTCCCTATCAATCAATCAATCTAAACCTTAATCCCATACGAATTTCCATTTTAGACTCTTAGACCCATACCCGAGTTCCAAAATTTGACACTTGTATCCTAGTATGAGCATCATGGGGTTGTTTGGCAATCAGTGGTTGGATGTTGGCTTGTTTGCCTAGCGGGAAGTATTAGCTGTATGGGTTGGCTTTTTAAGTTATTGTGTTAAGTTGGCTGTTTTCAAAAGTGTTTGGTAAAATTATTAATGATTGTTAGTTGTTTATTAGTGATAAAGTGGGCCAACAAGCCAAAAGCCAATAAAAAAGCTACTCTTATTAGCTTTTGGCTTTTGGCGAAAAGGCTAGCTTAAAAGCCAACAAAAAAGCCAACTACCAAACATATTTTTTGGCTGTTTGACCAAACTTAAAAGCCAAAAGCCAAAAGTTAGGCAAAAAGCCAATTGCCAAACAACCCCCATATCTTGAAAGTCTTGAAGCTAGTTTTTTTAGTTGTTATTCGTTAGTAGTGGATTTGAATTTCTCAGTTTCTCTTACACCCATATTGAACGCCATCAAGTTGTGAGGATCCCAAAATTACTTAGATCTAGAAGGTTCATTTTCTACAGAATCAATGTGAAGTGTAGTAGGTATACAATACTATGATTTTTGAATGTTGAATATTAGATAGGTAATTGAAGGGTCTGTGTACAATAAGTAGTGGTTTATGTATTTTATTTTTACATAATTCAATTTGCTATTTTGGTTTATAATGTTGATTACAGCCATCTGCTGTGGTTATATGAACAATATCTTCACTTGTTAATTGCTGTCATACAGGTGTTGATTTTAAGGTCAAGTATGTAAACATTGGTGGCAAAAAGCTGAAGCTTGCGATTTGGGATACAGGTAACGGAACCTCGCTATCACTGTTTGCTCCTATTCAGTAATATTCTTGAATAATGTCCTTGTAATTTGTCTATGATATTCTGAACCTATTTATACCAACTTTGTAAGTGTTCAGATTGTTTGTTTCACCTGGCTTATTTAATTCAGCTTCTTGTTATAACTTATAAGATGTTGTGAAATTATTTCCGTGACACAAGTCTAGGGAGAATTCGCTCATGTTATTGGTTATTTTTCAAGTAGGTTTTCAATATTGAGAAATATGTAAACTTGCATTTGAAGTTTTTCTTGGCCTATTTCATGAATGAGCTCTTGATGCTATACCCAGTAATCTTCAGCCTGCCATTGCACAATGAGCCATTGCCTAGTGTCTAAGAGTACCAAATGCCTTTCAAGTCGCTCTCACCTAAGGCAGGGAAAGAGAGTGTATTTGAGACCAGATTTGTGTATCTTATCTTTTTTTGATAATCAACTTAGACACTAAGCCATCATCTAAACCAATTTTAAAACTGCACTGCAGTGTAGGCTGTTCATGTTATGTCACTCCTTACGTCTTCACTAAGTGTATAAGTTGTAATCCTATTGATCCTAGTAAATTAATATGTAGAAGAGTTTTCCAGTTATCTACTGATGTTATAGTGAAAAAAAAAGAGTATTTTCTTAGCTCCTTTTTAAAAGATTGTTGGAGTATTCAGTCATTTTTCTAATTTCATCTTGTGAAATATTTGCTTAAAAATTATACTATATGTGATGGACTGCAATTCTACTGGGGAAGTAGGTTTTTGAAGTATCTTCTAATGGAGTTCTATTGACTTTCTTGCAGCTGGGCAAGAGAGATTCAGGACCTTAACAAGCTCATATTATAGAGGAGCACAAGGAATCATCATGGGTATATATATGTCTTCTTTCTCGCTTTGTCTATTGTTTCTTAATGCAGAGAGAATTATGTTTTAAGATTAAGGAATTTCTGTTGATAATGTTGCTTGGATTGTTTTTCATTATCACTTTTTTTCTGATTGATCTTGCTGTAAAATGCTAGTTTATTTTTGGTTCATCAGAATAGTACACTTTATGAGGAACAGTATTATTTTTGGTTCAGTTATATCACTCCTTGATGTGCTTATACCATGGGAACTAGTGTATAATGGACGGTTATAAATTTTCAGTTCAATGTTTCTTTTCTTTATCTTTTGCATAGTCAAAAAATTGCTATAGACTTGCTTGAGCTCCGTCGTTTGTTTGTGATGTGATCACTCATGTTGCTTCATGTGATGGGAACAGTATATGATGTGACAAGGAGGGACACATTTACTAATCTCCGTGACATATGGGCAAAGGAGATTGATCTCTATTCGACTAACCAAGATTGTATCAAAATGCTTGTTGGAAATAAAGTCGATAAGGTACTTGGTGTCTCACATTTTGCTTGCTGCTTTTTCTTTACGTTCTGTTTTTCCTCCTGTCCCTTTGAATGCCCCCAGACCCCAAGATCCCAACATCTTGTCTGGTAGAAACAAATTGAATAAACCTAAATTGAAGAAATGCTGTTTAATTTATAATGATTTGCTTTGTCATAAAGAGTATGTGTCTTTAATTTTTTGGGGGGCCTTAGTGCTAGGAGCTTCGTTTCAAAAAGGACTGGGTAAGATATGAAGATGATTGACCAAGCCCGAGTCCAGTCTGTATAACAAAATGTTAATGTTGCTTTGACCCAACTGAGCTGCGTTTTTTTTATGTTTCTATTTCTGAAGAACCTATTCTGAGAGCAACTTGTATTGATGTACATTTAGTGCAAAGCCAAAAAAATTGAAAGGCACTTTAACTAATACGTTTGTATGTTTGTCTTTTCCTCCCTTCACCTTGTTTCTTTCCCTGCTTGATTTTTATTTTATTTTTTTCTATCAAATGTATGTTGGCCTTTTTTTGTACAAACCTTTTAACTGGATGCTTTATTTTCAAATTTTGAAAGGAAGGTTCTTATTCCATTGTACCAAAACTAGAACAAAGGTGACTTTCGGACATTAGATAACTGCATAGGTGTCGTTAGAAATGAAGAGCTGTGGAACAAGTCTAATTATTCAAGATACTATACTTTGCTTGTCACTGTAGTGTATGTTGTTGCTAATAAGTAAGTCGAGTTGTTATGTTATGTATAAATTGAATCACCGACCTTTTATGCTGTCTTGTTAGGAAAGTGAAAGAGTTGTTACAAAGAAAGAGGGAATCGACTTTGCTAGAGAGTATGGATGCTTATTTATTGAATGCAGCGCAAAAACACGTGTAAATGTGCAGCAATGCTTTGAAGAGCTTGTATTGAAGGTGAGGTTTTCTGGCTGTTTTTTTTTTTTTATTTCATTTTTTATATTTAGGTTGCATTTGGACATGTACTTCATATCTGACACAGTGACCCTTGCACCTGAGTCAGTAACAATAAGAGCTCACTTTCATTTCTGTTTTTTGTTTGTTATAGGTCTGAGCTCTTTATTCTACCCCCACCCCCCTCTCTTTTTGAAGTATACAATACTTTTTTGTTGAATGATGAAAACATAAGATGATATGAGAATTGTTCTGGTGAATTGCAGGTTTTGGACACACCAAGCCTTTTAGCTGAGGGCTCAGCAGGAGTAAAGAAAAACATCTTCAAGCAAAAACCACCCGAGGCTGATGAATCTGCAAGTGGTTGTTGCTAATTCTGCAGGTTTTCACTGTAGTTCTTTGCCTTTTTCTTCTGGGTGTGGTTGGTGGCTGGGTGGTTTCTTTGTAAATCTTATGCTTGATAAACTGAAATTGGAACTTGTAATGTTGAATTTGTTTTGATCTTTGATATCGGTAATACTGACTGGTCATGCCTTGATTTGAAAGTTAGTGCAGATATCACCTTGGAAGAATGCAGAAATACGCATGTATTTCCATGCTAGTATTCGTAGCGTCGTTGCACCACTTATTCTTCGTTCTCTGTTCTTTTCTTTGGTGGTACAGGTAGTGAAATGATGATTATATGTAAAATTGTAAGGCAGTTTTGCCAATGCTCATTTGAATGGACATCCACCCCAAACATGTGTTTTCCTTCATCAATTTTCTTAGTATTATTGGAAATTTATGAAGGAAAAGAGATGTTTGGGAGTGGATAAGCTTGCAGCGAACATTGGCATAAGTATTGTCCTTAAAATATAAGACTATATCGACTTATTTCTATTGCCTCAATTTGTCGTCTATAAACAGAACATTGTACGTGAGGTTGTGACTTGTGAGTAGAAGTTTTTGTTAAATGTAATTTATTATTTGTATGTTTTTATCAACCAAACAACTACTATTGAATGGTAAAATAAAAATAAGTGTTAGAAAATCAAGTGGGACTTGCATTATTATGCAGGATAAAAAATGTACCAAAATAGGTAGAGAGAGATAACTAATGACTTGCAAATAATAATGAAAAACTCCATATATAGTAATATAAAAGCATGGGACGGTAATTACTTACTGTTTAGTTTAAATAGAGACAGGCATCTGGTGGATTTGTGGAGCGTGTTGTGGGCCCACTAACACACTTGATTTATTTATTTTTTTTAAAAAAAAAAAACCTTGTTCTTAAGGAAATAGTGACGTTGATAGTCAAATTTCATAATTTATATTGCATGAGTATGGTTGAAAATGAACTACCATTTTCCCCATCTTTTTATTTGCTTTTTTGCACTTTTTTTTAGGTAGTACATGACTGCTAGTTGGCCTAACTTGTGTTTAATGTGACTAAATTAGAATCATAATAATTTTTGGGATATTTTATTCTATGATTGAAAAGTAGGAAGATCAATATAGAACTTAGATATTAGCGTTTAGTGGTCTTTTTTACAACGTTTGATGTTTAAGACAAAGTATGGCAAAATTGTTTCAAAATATTGTCTTAATTGATCGAGTGATTTATTGTGGAGCGAATCTGAATAAGTAGTTTATGGTTGTACTAAATTCATTTGTATGAGATTAACAAAGTAGACTATTAACTTTATAATCTTGGATGCTTTCTCAATTACATTAAAAGGAGTGGTTTAAATGCACTCGAAGTGATCTAGTAAGACAACTAACTTACGAGTAATTTTATTTTATTTTATTATAAAGTGAAAACAGGGACATAGAGAATAAAAGATGGAGATATGTTATTAACTTATAGTCTTATAATGTTAGATTTACTTATATAGTTATATAATATTAAAAGATAGCACGTAATCGCATCTCCAAATACAAAGATAAAGGCTACCAATATGATTTGACAATAGTTGATGTCTTTTTTAGTGCTTTGATTAGCCAATAGATGGAAAATTGTATATAAGATAGAAAGGTTATGAGCACTCTCAAATTAAAGTTATTTTATTCTTCTCAATGTGTTATCACAATATTGGAATTTGGGAGTAGTGCTAATCCCATTAGTATGTCACATAAAAAAATATATTCTCAAAATAGCATGTCCTTTTATGAGGAATAGTGAATACTATAGTAACACTCTCTAACATGTAGCATTTATATGTCAATCTTCATAGTAGCATAGCAGGTGTATCAATTACTTGATAGTGTTTGTATCGCACATAAAAAAAAAAAAAAAAAAAAAAAAAAAAAAAAATTGTATTTACCTCCTACTTGTAAATTTCACAATTGATTTTTATGGATTCATTCAACATGAGTTAAAATTCATATGTTCTTCCATAAACACATCAAGTCGTCAAATGATATATATTACTGTCTTTCTCTTAAGTTATGATTAAAACCATAAAACATTTACTATACTCTTCAAACAACTTATTGAAAAATTGAAAGATGATACACTTGTCGTGAACTTAACTCGAGGATGGAGCATGGCTATTGCGTCCATCTTCCTTATGGTTGTCAAGGACTTTACTCTCAATTAAGAAGATGAGAAGTTTTAAATAAGCTATATCTAGAATCAGCAAAACAAAACATAACCAACATCATCATAAACAAAAATGGTCGTAAATAAATCAAAAAACGATTCCAATACAATACATAATATTTTTTTTTTCACTTTCAATCTTATTTACTGAAAATTTCAACTTCCAAAATCAATTTTCATTAGGGCCACAAGGATTACAAACTTGCAAAAAAAAAAAAAAAATTACACTTTCTTTCTTGACCTTTTCATTCCAAACATAGAACTTTTGGCCCCACATTTATAACATAACATAATCCTAACTACACATGTATTGGGTCCTTAGCCCACATGGATCTTAGCAGCTTTAGCAGCATCCTGGCCCGACCCTTGGCCCGCCCACTACACTGGCTTTGTAGCAACAACAACAATTGTGTCAAAATTCCACCACAAATTGCTTTTTCACTAACTTCCATTGATTCATAACACAATTTCATTAGACAATTTACTGCACTTTCACTCCCTAAATCATCTCCTGATACTCTAAATACCATCTTAATTAAGGCCTTAATCCCATTATTAAGCACCTCTTTTACCAAAAATGCTTGTTTACCACTTTCTAAATCTAGCACCAATTCTAGTGCCTTTGTTGCCTTTGGTGCTAAGTCCTTGTGATCTTTACCACTTTCGACTTCGAAAATGTATGTGATCAATGTATGAACCACCCCTTCTTTGACCAAATTTTCGCGGTATGGCTCCTGTGATGAGCTTGATACAATGCTTAAGATGGCCTTAATTGATGCCTCGGCGAGCTTGGAGTTCTGTTTATGATCATCAACATACCCAACCATAGTTTTGAGTACTTTTGTGTCATTTCCAATTTTGGTTGCTAACTCTTTTGTTGCTAAACTTGATTGAACAAAAACTTTCTCTATAATATTGCACAATGTTGTCTTGATCATACAACTTCCTTCTAGTAGTAAAACTTTGAAATTTTCAAACTTGGAATCTTCCAAAAGCATATTCAAATCTCCTAAATTAGAAGATTGCATCAATTTTATTGCACAAATAAGAGATTTTTCCACCAAACCAACCATTTCTTGGGTAATTTTTGCACCAAAAATCATCCCCAAAATCAATGAGAAAAACCCCATTTGAATTAAACCCCCATTTTTTCTTGGCAAATCTTCTGACAACAATCTAATTTGCTCTAAAACTTGTATTTTCTTCTCCAAACTAGAATCCTGAAATTCAAGAGTATGCTTTAATGAAGAAAAGGAGACATTTTTTGAATTACCCACTTTGTAAAAATCATCATAATAATAATCATCATTAAATTGATGATAATTATGACTACCCTTAAGATGCCATTGTTGAATTAAATGCTTAAGGGTATGATTAGGCACCATTGATAAATCTTGAAGCTTCTGCATTGTAACAGGACATGTAAGATTCCCAGCTGCAAGCCATTTCTCAATTGAAGGCCTGTCATAAGTTTGTCCTGTGCAAAGAGTCACAGGATCATTGAACAGTTCTAGACTAATTGGACATGTGAAGAATTCTGGGATTGACATTCCAATTTCTCTCATCACAAATTAGAAAAAATAAAAAAGGGGGATTTTTTTTTTTTTTTTTTGGGGAAAAATGAAAAAATAAAAAAAGGGGTTGAGTAACTTAGGGCTAATGCATTAGAATATACTACTAGTATGTTTATTTATATAGTAACACGAAAGCGTTAATATATAAATCGATTCACTAGTGAAAAAAACCTCATTTGCTGCGGCCCTGTATTCGAGGCGGGGTTTTAAAAAGAGAAGGTGATAAGGGGTTGATAGAGAGGATTTTTATGGGAGACAAAACACATGAGACATGGGAGGGAAATGAGGGAAAGTAAAAATATTAATCAAAGAGAGAAGGAACCAAAAAAATACATCAAAATTTTTGAGGGGGGGTGAAGGGTAGAGACTAGAGAGAAGAAGTGGGGGTGTTTTTATTATTGTTATGATAGTGGGATAGTCAGACTATATTGCATAGATTAGGATTATTGAAAAGGTTGGTCCACACTATTTAACATTTCCCTCTATGTGTTCTTGCATTCATCACTAAGAGAGGTGGGAAAAATGGACAAAAAAAATGAAGTATAAATTAGTGATAGTGATGGAGGCATAATGACCCCACTTAAAGGGAAAGGGTAATTGATGCTATCTTTGAACTTTGAATCAAACAAACATGTCATTAGTATACATGAGTTATACTCTTTCCGTCTCTACAATATAGGTTTATTCTGATTGTTTTACTACGTACTTTATCAGAGACTGATTTAGGTGAATGGTTGATTTTATCTTTTAATATGTGAGATAGAAAATTAAGTAGAGTGACATTTTGACTTTAATGCGTGACTAGGTTAAGATTCAAGTGTCCACCCTCATAACAAAAGGGATTTTTGTATACCTCTCCTTACCTATAATAATATTTATGACATCATAAATTAAAGATATGGATGTAGAGAGTAAGCTAGAGATGAAATTAAAGATGTGGAGGGCCAAGAGTAGGGAGTGATTAATGGGGGTCATGAAACTCATGAGTGAAGCAATAAAACGGGAAAGCTAATCCACCCAAATTGTGATCCAAATCAACATTGCATAATTTATGGAGCATTAAAGATTGATGGATTTAACAAATAGTACTGTTTGATTAGCTTACATGGCAACAAAATAGAGCATAAAATTCCTTGCCTAAATCATTACGATTTACATAATTAATTGCATTATCTAATAAAGACAAACTATAAATATCTAGCTCAGCTTATTACTACCTATTATTATTTGTTTTGGGTGCAAATCTGGCTTAGCTACTTTGGTTGTTTGCTTATGCTATAATTTTCATTTTAGTTATTCACTCATTTTCATCAACATATTCCAATTTACTATCTATATATATGGTCAAAGATTATAATTGTAATCACTTACAATAAACTATACTTTATATGAAGTTTATGTGGTCAGACTTATCAAGTATAGATCCATTATTCTAACGTAAATTCTCTCTCTTTTTTTTTTTAAAGCTAAGACAAGGTTCAGTCTTGAGAGAAAATTTCCCTAATCTTGGTGTATTTTTCATTTTAATAAAAGTCATTTAAGTTATTTATTTATTTTTTATTTATTTTTAAATTCTTGTAGTATGCGCATTAATGTATGTATTCATAACTTCAAATTCATTACACGTATGAAAATAAAGGTATTGATACTCTAAGTTACAACTGATGAAAACTACTTGATATATAATTAAGGTTGAAGACTCTTAAGCTATACTATAATAATAGCATAATTAAGAGTACATTTAAAGCTCGAAGACAATAATGAGACTCAAAACTACAAGAGTTTGCCACCCTTTTGCCAA